CCCCTCCCCCCCGCGGGCGGCGGGCCGCGCCCTGCCCCGCGCCCCCCTGCAAAGATTTACAACCGGCCGGGTACCGTTTGACGAATGATTGGCCGGCCGTTCGCTTGTTACAGGAAGGCTTTACGGATTGTTTTGTTTTTCGACCATAGATATGTATAAATATGGCGCTGGCTCGCCACTCGGACTGTGCGGTCGTGGTTAATGTTAAGTTATTTTTAGCTAATAGATTGGACTTCAGTTTAGACGGCTACGAACTCAATTACTAGACATTTAAATACTCTCCTGTTTCCAAAGTATTTGATATTTAACACTTACTTATATTAAAAATATATGACGGCTAACTTGATAATCGAACTGAAAATCATTAACATTGTCTATTCACATACTACCTCTGCAAAACAAACCACGACAAAGTATCCGAAATACCATCAAAATCCACATACAACAAAGCCTAAGACTTACGACCTAACATGACAATCCTTTAACTTCTAACACAGTTCGTTCAGAAAATGGTTGAAGAATTCTGTTTGAGTAGCATATCGGCGATATTGGCTTAAATTCAACCCTCTCGGCGCTCGGACGCGGGGGTAAGTCCGTCTGTAGCCGGCGGCATGGCGCGCGTAGGGTTGACTCTATACTTATCTCATTTGGATTGTATTAACTGAGGAACGCTGTCTCATCATCTATTTTCGTGTTAATCATATTACAAGTAGGTATATCATTTTGTGAAGTATATCATTTCATATTTTTATCTGAAAAGGTTGACATTAATGTGTCGGTTGCATCGTCATGTTTGGATCCCATGTGGATTGACAGACACAAAGAAATAACAGATACAGAAAACCTATATAACATAACATCACGCCTTTTATCCTCGAAGGGGTAGGCAGAGGTGCACATTACAGCACTTAATGCCACTGTAAAATGTAACACCGACTTGTCACTATTCATGTTATGAGTCCCATGTAATAAGAGGTGAGCCTATTGCCGTATACCGGGCACAATTCCAGACTCCGTGCTATTACTGATATTTTTTTAAAAACCCAATAACATTTTGCCCGACCCGGGAATCGAACCCGAGACCTCTTGCCCGGCAGTCAACCTTGCGACCACTCGGCCAACGAGGCAGTCAGAAATATTATGATCTGGAATAATACATACTTACATAGGCTACTTTCTATCATACGGAAACGCGGGCGAAGCCGGGGGCAGAAGCTAGTGGCCAATATAGTTAAGCACTTGGATCTTCATACAAAGTAATACTGAACAATCACCTTAAATAATCACCGTTTCATTGTGATCAAAAATCGCTACAACTAAACTAATTTCGGATAATTGTAGACGGTTCACCTTCCTATATAAAGGACCTCAGAATATTTTTAAACAACTCTGTTTATAGGACAATTCCCTAAATAGAATTTCTCATGAAAATTATTTTTAGGTGACAGGTAGACAGTGACTTCTAAGCCTGTCCTGAAATTTGCTGAAAACCCCTTCATCTGATCCAATCTGACGCCCACGTTATTTGTTTTATTTTTGCTAGTGCTAAAAACGATTTTTATAAATTGTTTAACACTTTTGTATTTTTTAAATCTATACAAACAAACAATACAGCTTCCAATTCATATAGAATGATCTCTTAAACTGCTGAACCAAATTCGATGAAACTGAAACAAAATTATAGCCCAACATTAAAGACTACAGAATTACAATCAGTGACTATCTACGAAGCAAATACTATCCTACAGAAGTTCACAACTAAAATCCATTAAAGTACAAAACAAAAAGATCAATTACCTACATATCTGTATCAATCGACCGTCCGTCTGTCATCGGCCGTGCATTAAACGTGTTTATAACAAATGTAACAAATCCACCATCAATACGTATTGTTACATAACAAATATGTATAACAATACTGTTTACTTGTATGCTCCCCGTAAGTACCGTCTGGGATTTTTCTCACAAACTTCAAAAGAATGGTTTGAAGGAAGCTTTCGATCTTTGTTATTGCAAGTAAGTACTTATGTATTGTTGCATAATTGAGTTTAATCATACTAGTTGCTACTGTTTTTTTATCTGAAGGACTAAAAAAATGGCAAGGTTTTTCATAATTTGAATTTAGATACAAAATATATTGCAATTTGTAAAGTAGTAGGCAGGGCAAGGTATCCAAATCAATGTATACATGATGGTGTGTAATGTATGAAATATCACAATCATAAAAAGAATTCTTCTATTGAAGAAGACATGCAATATATTCTGCAACAACTATCTATCTATCTCCTAGTCACCAGTCTATACCAGAAGTCTCTAAAGACGACTGATACACACGATAATTCCTCGGTATCCACCAGTTCATTCAGTAAAAGTATGCATAATTATTATGAACACCACTCGAAAACACGAAATCATTGGCAAGTCATTATCATCATCTTCACCATCAACAACCATTGACAGACATAAACCTCTCCAATAACAACCCGGCTATCCTCAACCTTCAGCTCTTCACAACCAGCTAGCCTCTTTCAGGTGCGGATGGTGGCCACCGGCAAGGTGAGGTAAAAATCCCTCCCTAGTCTTTTACCCCAAAAAGTTAGGCACTGTTTTTATAATACTATCGTGAGACATATTAAATTAAGTAAAAACGCGGGTTACTCACATGAATATACTGAGAAAAGCTCTACTAGTTTCGAACCACAGAGGGGTTCTTCCTCATAAACAGCATGCGCGACGTCGCCGCGACCGCGCACGCTGCTCATGAGGATATTCATGTAAGTAACCCGCGTTTTTACTTAAGTTAGGCACTATTGAAGGTTTCTCTCGTCAACAAAAAAAGCACAACCAACCACTATGACACTCATCCCCTTTGCAAATAAAAACGTAAAAAGCATGCCTGCAGTGAAATTGATTTACAATACAGTACAGACAGACAAATCTATACATTTGTCTAAACATACTAGATAGATATGCTACTACAGTACCCGTCTCGCCACCCCTGCGGTTGGGGCAAGCAGACATATAGCTACGGGAAGCGTAAGTACGCAATACTCTCTGTACCTAATCGTTAATAGGAGTCTAGATGAGAGCATTTTGTTAATTGTGACGTTTAATTCAAAGTGGAAGTGACTGGATAATTCATTAGTTATTTTGAATATACCTTCTATTTAATTAACGTTTCGTTGAATAGACTGAATAGTGACTTTGGTTAATAACATAACATATAACATCACACCTTTCTATCCCCGAAGGGGTAGGCAAAGGTGCACGTTACGGCATTTAATGCCACTATACAATGTAACACCCACTTTTGACTATTTATGTTACGAGTCCCATGTAATAGGGGGTGAGCCTATTGCCATATACCGGACACATTTCCAGACTCCGTGCTACTACTGAGATTTTTAAAAAACCCAGTAATACTTTGCCCGACCCGGGAGAACCCGAGACCCCTTGCCCGGGAGTCGCACTTGCGACCATTTGGCCAATGAGGCAGTCTCTTTAAGGTCGGTTAATACTTAAAGAGAATACAGATAAAACTCAAAGTCAAAGACCATGATGGTCGATCTTTGACTCGTATGGTTGTGTAAGTACGAACTAATCGCAAAATTATTTCACCCTCATTTAACCTTTCCTCTTACATTATAATTCTGTAAAAAAGTTATCTGTCAATAAGGAAAGTATAAATAACACTTATTACGTGAATCTTAAGGATAAAAATACAGTGCAGCTACAGGATATTCAATTAAGAAAGTCTCCAGAGACCAGTACGAGATTGTTTTACGTTTAAAGTAATATTAACGAATACGCGTTCGGCGCTGTGATTGGTTAGTTCACTGGAGCCGGCCAATCAAATCGTACTCGTACGTACATCATAAACTCGTACTAAGCCTTCAGAAATGTTATGTGTTTCGTAGCCGAAGCGCAGAAATAAGTTAAGTGACAAGTGCTTAATTAAAGCATGCTTGAATTGGTTCCATCCTGGTGCTTGAAATTATTTACAACTTGAAATGTGTAACAATACCTTAACATTGGATCTTAATAACATAACTAGCCAAACGTTACTCCGCGTGTTATAATCGACCTCTGACTACATATGTATTTCAGTAATAAACGAAACTACGTTACATATCACAAATATTTAAATGTGAGAAAGAATGGGATGGCACAACCGGAGTGATACCACGGCGTCGCAGAAAACCAACGTGAAACAACGCTTGCGTTGTGTTCCGTCGTGTGAATGAGGTTATCGGAGGCCCAATAAACACCTCCATTCTGCCCAATCCATTAATCCCCAACAATCCTCAAATTCCTAATTCCCAAAAGGCCAGTAACGCACTTACAACGCCTCTGGTGTTCCGGGTATCCATTTACTAACCATCAGGCGATCCGTCAGCTCATTTACTGGCTTATCCGATAAAAAATATTTAACTGTTTTTTTTCGAAGTAGTCCTGCTACGCCTAATTACTACGAGTACTACGACACCTCTACGAACCTCTATGAAGGTAAAAACATCGTTTATTATATTTCAGGTCTTAAATGTTGGTGTCTGGACTAAGTCTAGATCTTCATCGATGCACTCCACCCGACTGGATTTAATGTTATTTCTATCTTCAAGTCAGACGAATTTAGAATGCAGTGACGTCAGCAACTCTGCACCTAGTCTATGGACGGAGCATAAACAATCGCTCTGTGTTATGCAAATTATGAATAATTTGACATTTGCTTTAATTAAGATGCAGTTACAGTCAAATAGTGTCTTAGAAGTACAAACTCTATGACGCACCTACACCGAACGTTATCTTATTAAAAGGCGATATTACTACGAAGAAGTAATTTAAAAATACTCTTAAAACGAATTTAACGTTTATTCGGCTTAAGGATGAAACCAAGAACATTGTGTTTTACGGTTTCGCTTGCAACCAACTACATTAATGAGATACACGTGTAAAAATATAAAAAACCGAGTAATTTAGTAACTTATCTAAGTGATACCAATATGACGGAAACGTAAATGTTAAGTTGATAATGTAACACGGCAGTAACATCACACGGACATACACAGATTTATAATAAAACCGGATTTCATTAATACGATTACAGAATGATCACTTGTCGACCAAATTAATTACCGAGATGTTCTCAGTGAATATGAGATTTTATTGAGCCTGTCCAATTTATCCACTAATCTTTTTATATCATTTATTTTAATGCTACTAAAGATGTAATAAATGATTGAACTAATTTCCTGTTGTAAACTTGTTTCGTATATCTTTGAAGTGATATACGGACTGAGTACAGGCAGTACAGAGTGCGGACGGCACGGTTGAAGCGAAAGTCCTTCCAGCAATAAATTGCGGGCGCACGCGTTATTGGGCGTCGAGATGGCACGCGTCGAGCGATGACGTCCTGAAACATCCATGTTTCATCGGCGTCCGGCGTCCGGCGTACGTCCGGCATCGTCCGCGAAGTCCGCGCGTCCGGCAGCCGTGGGCGGCCGCTGTGGGCGTGCAGCCGCTGCACCGCCCCGCCCCCCGCGCGCCCCACGCTGTTTATTCTCGGCCCGAGTGGCGGGGCGCGCGACAGTCGCCCGCGTGACGCGCTCCCGAACGCACGCGTGCGTCAGGTAGATACCGGACACGGTCGGCCGAGCGGTGCATCCTATACCGGACATCACAAAAAATACGTTTGTCAACATTTTCGGATAAATTCGAGTTACTACGGTGACGGAAACGCGAGAAGGGTGTAGGGCGGTGGAATCGCGGAAAATGCATTTCCCGTGTGCATGGCGCAGGCGGTGCGGGCCGGGGGGTGGGTGCATGCGATGATGGACATCGTATTGATTTCTATCTGCCCGCTCCTCCCTTATTGTGGCGGTGCAGGGCGCGCCATCGATCGTTGCACCGGCCCTACACATTAGCACCACCACCCGCTGGACACCACTTGGACTGTGTACTGTACACCCGCTGCGTGTACAGCGGTGCAGTGCCGTGCGTGAACTTGTGCGAATTCAGTTTTATGTTTTATTGCGTCACGTGGATGCCAGTACGTGAGTTACTCACACAGTTGCAATTACTCCTAATTACATTTTAATGGAAATACATATTACTTATGTGAATTAACCATTTCAAAAATTTACTAAGTACTTACAGTTAGTTTTAATAGTGTTTTAAGTTACATATTTAAATATCAAATATCAGCTGTTAATTAAAGTAATTGCGTTATTTTTATTTATTAACAAGTGTAGTTTACAAATGTTCTAGTTTTGTGAATAGAAATTTTTAATGATGGTTATTTGTTACATATTATTGCAAAATGGCATGAAGTGATTAAAGTTCGACAATTTAAATTAAATTTCACCGCAAAGCGAACAAACTTCCGCTTCGAGTAAATTATAAATATTTATCACCGCTCTTCCACCCTTCTCGTCGCACACAAACATAAATTAAACGCGAATTACAATATAATTAACTCGGGATGTCACCGCTCGACCTGCCGGCACAGCGTGAATGTATTCATCTCTCACGTTCATGAAACTAATGTGGAAAAATTTTTCAGAACAAAACATCCAATAATTTGCAATACTCACAAACAATCAAGCTTTAAACAAAACTTCCAATTTTTTTAATTGACGGATAAGTTGTAACGGATCAAGAGAATTGGAGCAAGTGATCGTGCTGGGGGCACGATACGGTGACACGATAGTTTTCTGTGCGAAGATTTACGGAAGGCATTACGGTGGCGGCGGTACTGGGGGGCAGGCTGGAATGCGCCGGATTGGACACGTTTAGCGCGCGCGCACGCTCCGACACGGTGCCGCCTTCAGAACACCCGGCCATGGCGACCGAGACCGGTGAGTACCTAAACATCTTCTCTAATTACCTATACACCTTCCGATACACACGCAATACTCATAAAATACACTAAAAAGTTGTATCAGATCGTGTTTCACGTACTGTATTAGCTTCAAAAACTAATTCCTAATACAACATCTGCCAAAAATCAAAAATGTATTCAATATCGTAGCCATAAACTTTCTTAATATGCGAAAAAAAAGTTTCATATCTTTAGATTTAATGTTTTTATTCATTTGAATATCAAATGTTTCGATATTTTCTAGCATGACTTCCAGAGGTCCTCTACCTCTTCGCATCTAAATTCAAAACTTAAAATTTCAAATGATTAAGAATTAAATTAGCATTACATTTAAAATTTTCATTCGTACCAAAGGCTCATAGGTAAAATCTTAAAAAAAGCATTCATGACTTTAAGATGTAGACATTATGTTTAAGCAATCGACCTTATCTAAATTATGGAAGAAATGCTCATTCATTAAAATAAATTGGCTTAAAACATAATTCCAGCTCAAAATAAGATTTATTCGGAAAAAAAATATAAAAAATCTTTTAAACATGCCACTTTTTGCAATATGCTCTCATGTCGTCAATTTATTCCAATCGATATAAATATATGCATCAAATGTATCTTTACAAAATTAGTTTAAATTGCAGCCTGCCTGAACACTTAGCCATTTTCCGAGCCTCATATAGGAACACAATCAAGACCACAGACGAAACCAAAAAAAAAGTGAAATTAAAAATATAAAACGTCAATTGCAATGAGACGCAATTGTTTACCAACAGAATGTATACTATGGTACGTACGCGTGGCTACGTCACACGTCCGTATGAGTTCGTTGATATTCTCGACCCCCCTCCACCCCTCCTGCCCGCGCCGTCCTGCCCCAGGATCAACCCCCGCAGGATCAGGGGGATGGGGTGGCCGTTCTTGTTTAATGACGTCGCTTCACTCGAGACCCGAGTTTTTCTTTTATTTGCGCCGAATGCATTTACAAATAATTGTTCGCGGTGAAATGTTTTCAATGTTTTGCTTTTATTTTTAGCAGCTTGTTTCGGTACAAATAGCGTTTACCCAGCAAATTGCGTGTTTACTACCCGCCTTGTTTTTACTGATGTTTAAGTAAAACGAAGTAACTTAGGCGGAATTGTGGTTAGAATATTTTTTAATTTACACAGCTAAAACATTTGGCCAATTTGAAAATGTATCTAATACATTAAATCGTATTTCGAAATCAAAGAAGGAAAATTAAAACGACGTTATCATAATTCATGAGTATGGGAGGGCACTATTGTATCCATTTTACTGCCATAACCCCGTACTGCGACGCGATTTCCTAACGATTCATAGGGTTAACACAGCGCTGACTACAGATATACGCGTCATAAAACGTTCACTCCGACGCGTTGCGAGACTCACCCTTCCAGAGGGTGGCACGGACAGGGGATCAAAAGCCGTGCATTCACACTCAAAATATATCATGACCTTTTTGATATGAACCTTTTATGAACAGTGTGAATGGGTATTTAGAAACAGTTAAAGTGTATCGATTTTATCGCCTTTAAAAACGATAAAGATCTTTAAGAAAAATATAAAAATGTTTCTAGGAATCGCTGATTAGTTTTAAAACCGTTACTTTTGAGAAAAATCGTTTGGATGTAAATTATTACTGTGACTCATTTTTCGTATGAACTTAAAACAACTTTAAATACAGCTTTTAGGAGAAGGGGCACTTTTTCAGTACTTTATTGTGTCACTTACGAACATAAAGTCTCATTAATCACCTATATTTTAAATGTAGCCATTTTATTTCCATCTATAAATAAATTGCGCGCTAACTAAGTAATAAATTCAATCCTTCAGTGTGACTCTCGACCGGATATTCTGAGATTAATTAGATCCCTAAATCGTTGTAACAAGACCACGACAATCTCAACAACGCTGGGTTACAAACTTCCATTAAAATTTTAAACTTCGCCGATAGACCCGAATAATTTTAATTTTAGCTAAGTTCTTAAAAATTACAACATTTCTATGAATCACATTGAACGAATGGGTTTCATTGCTAAAACTAATTTAACAAGGCGATCGGAGCTTATCAGATTATAAATGGACAACAAAAGACCTTTGATACAATAGGTTAGACACAAAAAATCGTTCCAAGGCTTTTGATGACACACAATTTGTGAACAAAAGAAGTTTATTTTGTTGATATTGTTGAGAACATGTTTATATTAAGGAGCCAAAGTTGATACTAAGACTAAGAATTGATTGACAGAAAAATAGACAGTAAAGTAGAAACATGTATTTCTGAATCGAAATATTTGAAAAGAAGAGATATGAAATTGAATTCAATTGATCAAATAATTTCAGCTTATGAAAACACAACAAACATTGATCCTAAAAATAAAAATACGACGTTATACAAAAAGAAATTTAATCTTGGCAAAGAAATTTCGATGTTATTGACTCATGCAAAACAGTTAGCATTAATAGTAAGTACAATACATTATTTATGTCGATTTGGACATTTGTAAGTCCATTTCAATTTTAAAAAACTCTCCCGTTGTTTCCAAGATGTGGTAGTGGGCGACCGTGCGCGAATTTCTAATGTATGGAGCTGTGACCGACCATTTGTGTTCTCGAAACAAAATCGGGGCGATATTGGATACAAATCGTTATTCAAATATTTTTGTAACATTTCATCTTTGTAATTATTAAGAATAATAATAGAATTTAAATAAGTTACGGTTTTTCGGTCAGAATTATTTTAAGACGTAACATAACATCACGCCTTTTATCCCCAAAGGGGATCCCAGAGGTGCACATTACGGCACTTAATGCCACTGCCAATGTAACACCCACTTTTCACTATTATGTTATGAGTCCCATGTAATAGGAGGTGAGCCTATTGCCATATACCGGGCACATTTTCAGACTCCGTGCTACTACAGAGGTTTTTACAAACCGAGTAATACTTTGCCCGACCCGGGAATCGAAGACCCCTTGCCCGGCAGTCGCCCTTGAGACCACTTGGCCACTGAGGTAGTCAGAGGCAGAGTTATTTTACTTTATAACTATAATACGTACGAACGTATATTTCTTTAATTTGAAATGTAATTAATAGTTTCATTTAAAAATCCTTCTTTGCCTTAATCCCATTAAGTACATTCAGATAAGTAACACTATTGTAATGATATTAACAATTTTGTGGCGCGTCATTGACGCATCGTAAAGAAACATTAGCTTAAATTTGTACCTAATACTTGTCGATTACTGATCGGAAAATTCCTAAAACATTGCATCTATGTAAAACCCATTAAAGATCGTCTGCATAAACGAAAAAATAAGGAAAACATTAAAATAATAAGTTGTAACATCACGTATGGAGCATTCAGTGTCTAAGTATTAGTCACTGGCCGTACCTACTGAGATCCTTGACATTTCTCATTATTTACTACCTGCTAGAGATCAGCAACTATAAATATATCACCAAAACTCATTTTTACTTCAATACGATTTACCTTCATAATAAAATTCAAGTGTCAACGAAATAAAATTATTTTTACGACATCTGTAAGGTTCATTTTTAAATGATTGCCATCTTGGGGTCCTCAACATTTTTGGGTAAAGACTGCGCTTCACTAATGTGTTTTAAAATGGATATAACTGATTATTGCAAGTTTTATGTTTCAATTTTATTTTGCTTTTTGATATTCAAGTTTAAGTTTAAGGGCTTCGTAAACTTTGCAAATGAGGGCCGACTGAGATCATAACATAACAACATAACATTACGCCTATTATCCCCGAAGGTTTAGGCAGAGCTGCACATTATGCCACTGTACAATGTAACACCCACTTTTCACTATTTATGTTATGAGTCCCATGTACTAGGGGGTGAGCCTATTGCCATATACCGGGCACATTTCTACTACCTACTGAGATTTTTTTTAAAAAACCCAATAGTTTGCCTGACCCGGGAATCGAACCCGAGACCCTTTGCCCGGCAGTTGCACTTGCGACCACTCGGCCAACGAGGCAGTCGACTGAGATCACTGTAAAATTATGTTGTTTTTATAAGTAAAATCTAATTATTTGAATAAGTTTCATTTCATAACTTAATCATAAAAAAATTTACATAAATGTCGTACATAGCCAACTTCCTGTATCACGTCTGCCATATTCAGATTTATAATATCTATGTAACTATACCTAATAGCAACATAGATAAAGATAATAATAAAGTTAGGTCTTACATCTCATACGGTGACATTTCAAAACGAGAGACGTCGAAATGAATAATAAATTGTTGATATCTTTTTATAAACAAAACAATAAATTAGAAATTATTATGAACCTAATTAAAAATCATTTTTGTTCCTAAACATGGTTGGTAGATTATATATTGCTAGCGATCATATAGCACGTTTTATTACTCTTATATATGTAGGTATTATATAACGGCTAAAGATATTTATCAAATACATTAAGCTAATCTATGGCTTCTTCCACGAACTATGCGACCTCTTGTGAAATACTTTTTTATAAGTTCTCTGACTTTAGCTCTCAGCATTTTCACTTACGAATAAATCATAATACGCTACCTTATAGACTTTTTTTAGTTGTATATAAAACTACTAGGTTTTACGAAAAAGTAGCCTATGTGACATATACCAATACGTACAGCGCCATCTATACCAATACTTTTGTTTTCCCTCGGGAATATCAAATTTTTTCGGGATAAAAAGTACCCTATTATTTAATCCAGACTTCTAACTTTACGTCTGCAAAAATTCAATGCAATCGGTTTAAAAGTTGCGGCGTGAAATCGGAACAAACAAACAAATTATATAAAGTAAGGATTGGTAATCGTTTTGTGTTAGTATTCTATAATTCAAGAATAACAATTTAGTACGAATTACAATTATAAGTCACTTGGATTTAAGAAAATTACTGTTGAATCATTATAAACATGGTTATAATAATTCTAGAGTAGATCGATCGACTGCCTCGTTGGCCGAGTGGTCGCAAATGGAACTGCCGGGCAATGGGTCTCCGGTTCAATTCCCGGATCGGGCGAAGTATTACTGGGTTTTTAAAAAAAATCTCGGTTGTATCAGGGACTCTGGAATTGTGCCTGGTATATGGCACATAACATAAATAGTGAAAAGTGTTACATTGTACCGTGGAATTAAGTGCACCTCTGCCTACCCCTTCAGGGAAAAAATGCCGCGATGTTATGATGGGTAGATGATTAGGGCACTGACGACTCGCAAGAATAGACTTGTTTCGTATGTATAAATTAGGTACTATATCCTTAGTTATATTAGAAACGTATTAAATACAATATTTGGGCAACTTTTCTATTTTTAGCGTAAAATATGGCGCATATTAAATATCTGTAGGACATAAAAAACTAAATTTGAGGCTCAATAAATTGGATTCGGTGAAAGGCAGGATATGTGCCTAGATTATGCAAATATAATATAATTTGATACTTTATTTAATACCTCCTTTATTGAACCTGACGACATTGCAATCATCCGCCGATTAAGAAATGAATTATTGCTACGTTATTTTAATTATTTCAATCTGTTTTTTATTAAAACTTTAATTAAAAAATTTGTATATTTTTTGGAATTTAATCAACTTTCAAATTATTTTATTTATAAGGCAGTGCTAGTTAAAATGCTATTACCGGTGTTAAGAAGGATACATTTTTGCATTCTCATAGAAACTAAATTAGTAAAACATTACGATTGAACCGTAATAAATAAATATGATTTAGTCATGACTCATGCTAAGAACATCTCGAAATATGAAAGTAATTTCTTCTAACCACCTATGTTTAATGCATATGTTTTACAAGTAAATAAATTTGTAAGGTACACTGACCGCTCTGTATGGCGCAGGCGGCGCCGCGGCCGGCGGCGAGCAGCAATACTCACTGCGGTGGAACGACTTCCACTCGTCCATGGTGTCCTCCTTCAGGCGCTTGCGCGATGAGGAGGACTTTGTCGACGTCACGCTCGCGTGCGCCGGAGCCACATTCACAGCGCACAAGGTAACTTAATACACTACTATTAAATAAAAAATCACTTTTAAATGATGATCAAACAAAGATATTATATTAAAAATTCAATTTATAGTCGGTGTACACAGTGCACCTATTTCCAATAAATTATTTGCATATTTATATCTTGGAAGGGCACGCCAACGTCGCCCGTCGATACCGCATGGGAATTGGTACTTTACTTTCTTGCAGTTTACTGAGAAAATATCAAGAATTTTAATCACGGACGTAGTACTCACGGCGTTAACTTGATTTATTTTATTTTATTGAACTTTCACACGGGAATTGTTTGAATAACTGACTTGTTTTGCCCAGGTGGTGTTATCTGCATGCAGTCCTTATTTCCGAAGACTATTAAAGGCGAATCCCTGCCAACATCCCATTGTGATCCTGCGTGATGTCCACGACAAAGACATGGAGAGTCTTCTTCGGTAAGTCGTAATTTATTACTTACAAAGAATAAACGTCTAGGTTTCGATGAAATCGAGTTTTATGAATATACTAAAATAATTATCAAACTTAATCAGCGACCAGCCGTAGAATAGAATAGAATAGAATGTCATTTATTTCCAAGTATATGGTACATTGAGGTTTTACATTAAATATTGTTTCACATACACTACCATTGCTGGTGTAGAAATATTATGTTAATCATGCTTTATAAAATAAATTTATAAAAAACTAGTAATTACAATAATGCCAAGTAAATTGATTGAATCACACATCTAAGATTTTGCTCGGTACATGACAGTAAATAGAAGTATCAGTGTTATTTCCATCAAAGTGTTAAAATATTTCTTATAATGTTTAAATGCTAAATACAATGTCAATATGTCAAAACATATATTGTCAAAATACTAAACTAAAATACTAAATACAATGTCAGTCAATGTAAAAAAAAAAAATTAAATTAATAAGTGTTTCTCTTTTATCTAGGTTTATGTACCAAGGCGAGGTGCACATCGGTCAAGAGCAGTTGAAAGAGTTCCTGAGAGCAGCCCAGCTACTACAAGTGCGTGGACTGACGGACGTTCCTGCACCAGCACCGATGACCACTTTAGATCAGAAAGCATCACCAGTAAGATTTTTTCTATTTGTTACAATGAATGCGCGGTGTCCCTTGTTGGGCGCCAATTTTATTTATGGCGCCCAACACGGGACAAATATAAAAGTTTTGAATAGGAGACACTGCTTTAAGGATTTGCGTTTTTTCCGAAATTTCTGAATTCATATAAACCAGAAGATAAACGTCATGATTCTTACACAGTCAGCATCATCATGGACGGAAACTGGCAGTGGAGCGTCTCGTGAAGGGAGAGAAGGAGGACAGCAACGTGAAGGCAGGAGACCACGGAAACCAGATGACGGACCCAACAACACACCACCACCGAAACGGGCCAGGTCCTCGGACCTGTACCAAGCGCAGTTGAAGTCCAGGTATTACGGAGCATTCCATGATTATGTCATCGTACTTCCTACTAATATATATATTATTACTAGCGGACCCGACAAACATTGTCCTGCATATAATAAATAACCTAAATACCGACTGCAGCGCCATCTGCCGGGCTGATTTATGAATCTAAACCATCCATTGCGCCACTCAAATGCATACAGAAAAAATCATTTAAATCGGTCAAGCCGTTTAGGAGGAGTTCAATGACATACACACGTACAGCAGAATTATATATACCTAAGAATTATTATAAATGCGAAAGTGTGTAAGGATGTATGTGTGCTTATTACTCTTTCACGCTAAAACGAATTCATCGGAGTGTGATGAAATCTGGAACAGGGGTAGACTATATTTTGAAATAACAATTTTTATGCCAAGGGAAGCTATACTACCTAGAAAATGTGTCAGGAGTTAGTGGTGTTTATGATCGTTTCACATTATTGGTGTAGGACGGAACAGCTACTGTCGGTGCAGGGAGCAAGCCCTGAGCGACTGGGCACTAACGGACACGAGCTGGCTATGTTTGGACAACCTATGGACACTTCGCAAAACCCTCATCTATCCGGAATTTCCAACAACCTGGTAAGTTTTAACAACGAACAAAATAAATATACAAGTTTGCTATTTGCCACAATTTAAAACTATTTAAAACCAAAATGTAGTGCAACATATCTCAAAATTTTTAGAGAAGGTTCATTTTAACCTTTATTAGTCAAACGATATCTTGATGTTTCGTCTTCTATACAGTCTGGCGACGGTGAAGAATCGTCATCAGACGCAGGCGCCAGCGACACGGAGGGAGAGACGCGCGCCAAACAGGAACCCATCGACTACGACGACCCAGCTACCATGGCCAACACCAACGGAACCCTGCCGCACAACTTCCCCGGACTACTTAATCTACCAGGTATTAGAATAGAACAAGCAGGGACTCTAAAAAACCTACCAATAAACACAAACTAATCGAGCGACCCTGCCCTGACAGTACCTTCTATAGAAAGTTAATGGTTCATTTTCGCTTCATTTCCAGGTTTCCCCGGCTTACCAGGACCATCAGGAATACCCGACAATTACGGTAAGTGCATTCCTAACTCACACTAATTACGCACTCTAATGATATATGACTCAATACCACTCCATCGCCCTACAATAATTGTCAAATTGCTCCAAATAATTAAAAACACTGGAATAATTTTCATTTCCAATCAACTATATTAATGACACCAAAAAGAACAAAGGAAACAAATCAAATCATTAATTGTACATTATTGAGTCATATACCTTTGCATGTAATAACACTAACAATTTAATAACGAGAACAACACCAAAGCGCTTAATTACTCCACTTTAATCGTTTCGATAAATAAAAACGTACTTTGCCTCTTAAACGTAAATAAATGCAGTTAGGAAAATTTTGGCAACCGTGGAAGTTACGTAGCGACCGATCGTCCTAGACGTGCCGTCGAATGTGAGACGAGTACCGAGTAGGAGTGCGCACTGACGGAGACCTCGTCTGCCCCAGGAGCGACCTGGCCGGGCGGCGGAGACCGAGCCGCGCCCGACGAGCGCTCCGAGCGGCCGTCGTACGCCGCGCTGGCCAACGGTGAGCCCGCCAGGCCCGCGTGCCCCGAGTGCGGCAAGCTGTACAGCAACAATAGCAACCTCAAGCAGCACATCCTCAACGTGCACGCGGCGCACGAGCTCGCGCACTCGTGCCCCGTCTGCGGCAAGGCCTTCAAGACGCGCCAGTACATGCAGATACACATGAACTCGATACACGGCGTGAAACAGAGGAGGCGCGACCCCGCCCCGTCCGCGGACCGCTGCGACCGATACACTCACCATAGCGCTTAACGATGTTGTACGGATCTGTGTCTAACCGCCGCCTCTGTGTTACAGGGGCGGCTCTCGCGGGCGGGGCGGCGATGGGCTACCGGCCGCAGTGTCCCCTGTGCGGCCGCGTGTACTCCTCAACCTCCAATCTGCGCCAGCATATGCTCAATGTGCACTCGCAGACCGACCGCGACCAGTGGTTCCCTTGCCAGCACTGCGGCAAGAAGTGCAAAACCAAGCACTACCTCATCAACCACCAACTGCAAGCTCACGGCATCCGCCAGCGACAGAACTCTTAGAGACGGCGCGAAGCCGAGCGACCATCGGCCGTCGCACAGCCACCGCTCGGCTCGCTCAACACGCTCGGCTCGCTCGGCGCGTGGTGGTGATCGCCGCTCGGCCCGCAGCCAGCACCGCGATATTTATTGTAATAGGAATAGATGTGCCAAGGACCTACGTGAAGCGAAATCGGAACGGGATTGTTTATCGTATCTATATATTGTATTTAATAATATGACGTAATATTTTTAGAGAGTTTATTGCGTTCGGACGGATCGGAAGTCAGTTTAGGGTCGGGTTTGCCAACCGCTTTGCCCGTAGATAGTTTGTGTAACATGGTGCTGTCGGCATTGCAGATGCCGCGGCGCGACGCGCGTTGGCAAACCCGGTAAGTGATACGGTGCCGAGTGAGGCGGAGGAGCGAGGGCACGAGTTGCTAAAGTTCCTGGAACAGAGCGAGTTGGTGGGCACGGGGCTGTGGGCGGGCGAGCGGCTGCAGTGCCCGCTGTGCGCGGCGCGGCTGGGCTCGCTGGCGCAGGCTCGGCGCCATCTGGACGCGCACTACCCGCGCGACAGCCCCGTCTGCCCCGTCTCCTCATGCGCGCGATACTTCGCGCACCCCAACTCAGTGCGCAATCACATGCGGATCAAGCACCGCCGCCAGTGGGAGAAAATGAAAACATTGAAGTGGAGCTGTGGCTGGGCTAACTGAGACCACACCGACCGATCGGGGACGATGCTCGTATGATATTCGGCTTTCTAAAGTTAACATAACGGCTGTGAAACGGAACTAAGTCGAGTGGGGCTCGTAATTAAACCAGAGAATATAAATGATCTCCTGGATGCATTTTTTCATATAACGCTGTTCATAAAACATTGTATAAAGCAGTAGGAATAAATCGACTGAAAATTATTTTTGTAGTAGAATAGACTGATATTGTTTAAGTAAGGTTTATATTATAAGCGCATTATGACATGTGATGATTGGTGCCATTGATAGGATACGAAGTGCAACTAATGAATGTCGATCATTCTGATCACTTCCTGAACGTCTGTAACTTCCATTGTTGCTTCTACGGTTAGAGCCTATCTGTTATAAGCGTTGCCTGGCGTATATTTAACTAACAACGCTAACTGTAGTTCTTAAATGATCTGCTAACCTCCTAGTCTGATCCACCTTTACCTATCTCTGCTTTGGTGAAGCTGGGAGGTTGCTAGACCGTGTCGCGCCATTTGAGTGATCTCGTAAATAGTCAGCTTTTGTAATAAAGCTTGTAAGTCCGACTGTGCCACATTTCGCTTGTCCAGACAGCGCTTATAAGCGATTGGTATTGTTCTTCGATTAGCTGTTTGTCTTAGGCTCTGGTGTCCTGGTAATGAGCGTAGCGTTAGTAGGTTCGATTCACGGTGGGTTCAAGTGGCCCCTCTAGACGGGACATCATTCTGCCACTCTACTCTTTCTCAAACATAACGGTGCAATAGTTTAACTACGTACTAACAAGTTATACTTTTTACATTCGTTATTTTTATATTCGTTTTTTATTATTATTATTATTTACAAAAAATTGTGTGCGAAGTGATTTACCTATACACAAGACATTGCTTGTGGTTTAGGAGACCTAAACGATTGCACCGGTGTGTGCTTACCTTACCTTACTTATATACTTTCGACCATAGATAAGACAATACGAAATAGATTGTAACGAAATGAATCTAATGCCTTTGAATGCAATAGTTAAGAATAAGTTCACTTCCAAAACATAGAGAATTTATTTTCTAAACGATGTTTGTTCGAGATGCTATGTGCGTGAGTTGAGCACAATCTAAAACATATCTAGTCAGTGTAGACAACCGGAGGATTTATTTTAAAATGTACATAATAATCGACGATTCCATTCGCATATATTTTTGTAAAGATAAAGGGGAATACACCAAGATAAAGACTATTCTGTTATAGAGATATTGTTGACATGTATTATAGCGCATGTATAGATGCGCCCGCTGCTGAACGACACATGAAATGCATTGTTCATAGCAAACTGTAGTGTGCGCACAGAGTGCACGCCGGCGCCGCTACTGCCCGCCAAAGATACTATTACGTAGTAACCTCCTACATGAAACCTTAGCCTTTAAGAAAGCAATAAAGTACTCGACTATTAGAACAATAGGCCTACAAAGAGACTCGCACAATATACTTCACACACGAAGACATACGTTGCCTTAGCATAAAATATTAAGTATTTAGGAATCTCGCAAGTCCATTTCGTAAGCTCGTGTAAATATTAACGAAGATGCCTTCAAAATATATGCGATGGAAACGGATACATTACATAGATCTCCAGAACGAATAAAAAATATTGGTTAATTAGCGAGTAGATGAAATTGTTCCTGACGCCTGAGAGGCAATGTCGTATATCTTAAACTAAAATTAAAAATAATAAAAAAAACATATTTTTAAGCGTAAGTTTAGTCATTCAATAACCAAATGTTCAATGTGAGTAAACGATTCTAGTTGCGAATGTATTAGTGATACGATATATACGTAATAACTTAATTTTTACCAGAAGAAAGTGTCTGCTTATATAAATACATAAACAATAAAACTACCAAGTAGAAAGTTTTCTTTTATTTCACATTACACTTTAGTTCAAAAAAATCTACGTACTAATGTACTATCTACTAACACTACTTGATAACTCTATATGAAACTAAGGTAAGAACTACTTTAATAAAACGCGAATTCGACTCATAAACTTTGAAACTGATTAAATGTGTATTTGTATTACAGGAGGTTGCCGAAGGACTCAGGACTTGCTGCGCGTGAGAGCGACGGACCCGCGACCCTGCCCCAAGTGCGGCAAGATCTATCGATCTGCGCACACTCTGAGGACACATCTCGAGGACAAACATACAGTCTGCCCTGGATATCGGTTAGTATAAAGAAAATAATTTATCTAGTGCCTTCTTTCTACAGGTCTATTTTTTAGTAGGCAATGTTTATCATATTGTTGATAGGATCCATTCTATGATATGATAGATGTCTATCATAGAATTTCATATAACAATCATACACCTAGTACCTACCTACCTAGGTTAGAAACTGAGGTACAGATGATCTTTCAGTCTAACATCTATTAAAAGGATAACTTAGATTCATCTTGTTTCATTTGAAAATAGACTTTGAACACTATGTAATAAAGTATAAATAAATACTTTCTTTGTACAGTTGCGTGCTCTGTGGTACGGTGGCCAAGTCTAGAAACTCGCTACACTCGCACATGTCGCGGCAACACCGCGGTATCTCCACCAAGGACCTGCCCGTGCTGCAGATGCCCACTAGATTCGATCCTGAACTTGCTAGCCAGTAAGTATATGTGATAAGTCATCTTACAAAATGTGTTGCCTAATTACTATTATAACAGTTTAAAACTTATACTATAAATATTTTTTCTATACTGAACTTACAAGTTGTATCGTGGAAAAGAAAATTGGAGTACTAAAAGCCTAATCTTTATAGGTTACTGGCAAAAGCTGGTGTGAAAGTGTCACCAGAACAGCTTCGAGCTCGCGCTTCACCAACTGGTCCTCGACGCTCAGACATCAAGCTGGATGCGAAATCAGCTGCATCCGAGAGCAGTTCTATATGTGGAGACAATGATAACGACGACCTCAGCCAATCTCGATACCAGGACAGCATACCCGTCTCACCGCCACGTAAGTTCACGGGACAATTCACTTTACCTTAGAAAAACAACAGCCAAATAAGAGTTGCCAGTTGAAAATTAGAGGTGATGACCACAACTAAAATTGAAGTTCCTCATTGCTGTGAACCATATACCAGGCATAATTTTATAGAACTTAACTTCAATATTAAAATCCAAATTCTAAGATTCCGTTATCATAAGAACAATTTCCTCCACAGACATAAACAATCTGGCAAATACGACCATTACGAAAGTTCCGGCAGTGCGCGCGGTGACTGCTAAAACAGTAGAGAACCTTCCGCATGGACTGGCTGGCTTGAAGCATGATGACTTTCCTCCGGCGTACGGGGGCAACTCAGCCTTGCTGGACACCTACCTACAGTACATCGGAGAGAACATGTTTGGTACGTAACTATAACAGCACACACGTTCATCAAAGATAACTGGTTTGCAAAGTAAAGTTTCTGATTTTTCAATGTCTTCTCTTCTCCAGCAGGAATGAACGCAAAACTAGCACATTTGAACGCACTGCATACCGACCGGAAATCTTACGAAGAACCGTCACCGCAAATGGGATCCCTCCCACCCCCACCGACGAATCTCGCTCACCAGCGCTATCTCAAACAGATGCAGCGGCAGTACACCGAGAATATGAGCAAACCCGATATTATGCGAGACTCGGACGAACCTCTGGACCTCGGGAAGGAACGGCAACGGAACGATAGCATAAGCGAGACGGACACTGATAAACATGATCTAACGGACAAGGATAACGGCAAGGATTACTATAAAGATTATAATGAGGACGACCGGAGAGGGAACTCGGAGGATCCCGAGAACAACGGTCAGGACGACGGAGACTACTCAGATGAAGAACACAACAAAAACTCATGAAATGAAGGCTAGTTAACTATAAGTGTGTTGAATTAGTCACGTAGACTACGTGTAACACAGATAGGACAATGTTTTGTTGAAATTATCAAAAGGTGCTTGAGTGTTATGTTTTGTGGTCATTAGCTTGATTCGTTTTTTGTAGTAACGGTTTTTATTGTTGACCCGTGGAATGTCATTGGTGCCATTTCCGATATTAATGTAAATTTAAAGTTTTAGGATTAAATCGGTTGCAGCTAGGTTGAGTCTGGTTACTTTGCATAGAAGTCACGAATCTGTACTGCTGGTGTTATGAATGAATATTTGATAGAAGTAGCACGTTGCGCAACCATGCGCTAACATGCGCTGTAATGCGCTACCGTGCGCTTTATATAACCTGTTAGTGAGACATTATTTTTATACCCGATGTGATAACACAGCCATAAATATTCACTTAGCATTTACCTGACACATTAGTTCAGATCAACTCGCCACATGATGTGAGATTGTTTTAGTAGTTAATGACTAGTGAGTAGTGTTTTTGTATTGTGTATGTAAAGGACCCGGTCACGTAGTAGGGCCTCTTACATAGTAATTCCATCCATCTACCTCAGCATTTGGGCCAATACGGCAAACGTTATAAAGTAAAAAAAAAATATCCACACAAATTGTGAAATTCCATCCATCTACCTCACTTCAATAGATTTTATTTAATATTTTATACAATTTATAGATATAAATAACTGTTGTTTTATGCATTTTGCAGATTGCATTTATATATATACTATATAGAGTATATCGTAGGTAAATATATGCAAGTCATTAGGTCATTGTTAGTGCTGCCCGTAGGTACTTGTACTTAATACCGTTATTTTATAGAATACGCACTCACTAGAGGAACTTTAGACTGTGTCACGACCGTAGCGAGTAATGGACATAAACCTCTGATATCAATGAGCACACTAACTTTATACGATGAGAATTGTATACGAACAAATATAACAGAGCTTAAATCATACTATAATTAAAGTAAATATACATATATGTGCGTATACTGAATCGCGGACGGCCAAGTTATAACGCGGTAAGAACACGATGTATAACGATTTACACAATTAAGATTTCACATTGGAACAGCGTGGCCAACTACTGCTGGCCAGTGTAACAAGTGTTGCACACTTGTGCGGCCGACGACGTCTACCTTGAGACTGAGTACCATCCACGGGATGATCTGTTATCGCGTTATCACACTGCGTGCGATTCGTCAAAATGTTCAAATTTGACACTTAACAATATAATATAATGATAAGAGGATAAATAATGCATGTATATAAATTGAGGTGATATGTAAAGTACATATACTTAAATAAATAGTAACAAAAAGCAATAAATAAAGTATACCTTGACGTTGCCTTCGAATTTGTGTAAATACGTGGGTAGTGAACGGTTTGCGTTGGTATTGTGGAAATAAGAGAACCTTATCGTGTACAAGTGAAGGTTTGTTTTGTAGTAATGATGTGGGCTCGTTACTTATTATAACAATTACTGTGATTACAATCTCATGTTAGCCTTCAATACTTATACATATTTTTTAGAGTACAATGTTATAGTTATTTAGTATATTATAAGGTATCGTAAGCGAAGTCACAAAATTATATTTACTTCCCGCCCCTGACGTTAGGATTCACGTTATTTAAGTACTTAGATCAATAGGTAAAAGCATTTAACCTTTTATATGAGAGATATTACATTTATGGAATGATGAGATATCTCAGTTTGCCACCGGGGCTTGCAAAGCTGTCTCGAGCGTGCGGCCGTGGGCACCGCAAGTAGATACATAGCTATATGACTAGAATAAGTTGTACGGGTTGATTGAAACATATTTTTGTTTAGTGTGTTAGTGAGAATTGATCATTAAGTCAGTTTGGTTTGCGCAAATATAACCTTGTTGACATTTAACAGTGTTGCCATAGTGAGTAATAAATTTCGACTGTATATAAATTAAGTTTTGTTTGTTTAGGAAATGAGTGCTTAATATTTGATTATTATGAATAGATGCAAGTATCGTTTTATTTAGATTACTCTGTCTACATTCTACTCAATTATAGTTCTTTTAGATGAATAGAGTTGATGCACGTATTTAACATTTAACAATAGTCAGTTACCAGATTGTGATTAAGGAAAGTATATATTTTTTCAACACACGCCACTTAAAATACAGATTATAAATAAAGGGGGGCTTACGTCGTTACTTTAAAATGTCACAGATTGGTATGACAGACTAGATGTTAAGTCCAATGTCTGGTGCTCGCCGCAGTGGCGACGTAAGCCCCCCTCCGCACTGTACAGTTGTTGATAATGCAGAATATTATATACCAGTGAGGGATAATGAATATATAGGACTATAAGTCAACGATATGCTCTCGATATATAATACTTACGTTTAGTTACCTTGTGAACTGCAAGTTCGACATTAGTTTTTCTTTCTTTATGTTTGGTTATACTAATATACCTCAGTAGCATGAGCTATCATGTAAAACTTTTTATTAGTTAAACGCACAGTTTAATGTTGATTTATGTATCTGTTCGGGTATTGCGCAATTTACGATAACCGTAGGAAATAATAAAGCCAGATTACAGAGTACAAAATAATGAATTGATGTAGTACAGAAATATAAATATTCTTGCAAAACGTTGTTTCTATGTTAATAGATGTGTATGTTGTCGTGAATTGTCGCGAGCGGCTCGAACGGTGTTAGCTGTCGAGTAGGGAGCACAAGATATTAAGTTTGTTGGCCACGTGACCACGTGACCACGTCACCGCAGGACGTGACAGTACCAAGTAGTTCATCTTTATATCCCTTCTATATTATAAAGTCGATGGAATCAATAAATACATACAAATATTAACTCGTCGAGCACCGTATTTATAGACACAATAAAAGAACAATAGGTTGCGGTCACCGGTGACCGCTTGGTGTTTGATAGTTTAATAGATATTTCTAATTCAATTTAATTAAATTCAGACTAAATAATTTGATTAATTATGTAGATACGATTATTTATATGATTCATTCATTTTATTTCAATATATTAAATGTTTATTTCGTTATATTTTCAATACAATAAAAATGCTGTTGATTTTTTAAACTTCTGTCTCTGTGCTTTTGTTGGCACAGGTCTCCCCTAACTACCAACATTTCTTTCTATCACTGGCTATGGCATTTAAATCAGTAGCAATTCCCACGTGAATTTATTGATTCCACTCGACCACAATTCTGCCAACATTAAGTTGAGATGATCTCACGACATCCCTATAATCTGTTTTCTTTCGTTCCGTGTTTCATTTCATGGTGGCGCCACTGTATACGACCGCTGCAATAAGCAAGCCACCATCCCTTAATTTTCAACTCTATTACTGTACTAATTAGGTGTATTTTTCAAAATCATTGAACTTACATATGGTTAAGTATTTATGCAATAATTAATTAAGGTACGGTGGGGATGATGGGTACAAGCCGCCATATTGTATCGTGACGTCACTCCTACGTAATCGCCATGTGAAATGGATATGTCAGTATTGTTATGGTTTTTAGAGATATACCTAATTAAGGCAGGAGATATAAGTTTACGTATATTTTTATAGTTGGAATCACGCCTGAGCCATTGTACATTAGAGTACTAGCTGTACGCTGCTTCATTACATTACTATATACAAGAATAATAAAAATAATTGTTTTGAACATGTTGTTTCATTATATTTTTTAAAACTATCTTCCTTATTAGAAACTAGTATCGGTGTTTTCTTTTAAGAGAATCAGTTTTGAAATACTTTACTTAATTTCAATAATGTATAGAACGTTTCGCCGCTTGAATGCCTGTATATGAGACACAATAGAAAATACATTGTGTCTCGCGTGGATCCACGTTTAGACACACGACGGGTTAATAAACTCGACCTCATCGTTCGCTTGATAAAATTGACGCGTAGCCCCAGATTAGGATTTTCTCCTGTGTCGTGGGTGCGTTTACAAACATACAAGTTCACATACACATAATGACACCCAGACCCGGAACAACAATTTGTGGATCACACAAAGAGTTGGTCCATGCGGGAATCGAACCCGCGACACGTTGCACGGCAGCCTGTTGCCCAGCCACCGCGCTAACCGTGCTGTAAATTCACTTGTTTCACTTGTTTCACAATACCCTGATACTGAAAGATTGCTCAATTTTAACTTGTACTTAAATATCGTGCCGTCTCTGTCAAGTTACATAGGATTTGTAGAGACAGAACTATACTTAAAATTGAGTAGCTCGACTTGAATTGAGTGACGTTTGAGTGTTTGGACATAAGAGTTATATTGTAGCTCTATTCAATTGAAAATTTATTAAAGCTAAGATGATTAAAAATAGATTTTTTGAACTTGCGTAACATCAACTATTATTTAGTATAAAACAAAGTCGCTATACACCGTCTGTCTGTCCCTATGTATGCTTAGATCTTTAAAACTACGCAATTTTGATGCAGTTTTTCCAATAGATAGAATGATTCTTAAGGAAGGTTTGTATGTATAATACATGCATATTGCCCCCGTGCGAAGCCAGGGCGGGTTGCTAGTAATACAAGAATTTGTAACTAAAACAGAAAAGTGTATTTATTTAATGGAATCGCATTGACAAACGTTTACTCCTTCTGTATTATTACCACTCTTACATATAAAATCATTCCTAAATCTAGACAAATAAATACAGTACATATTTATTTTTATATTATTACATAGTAGGTACATACATTTTACACTAACTACTATCTATGTTACTCTTAAAAAAATCTATAGCTACAAACGCCCGAATACTGAAAAGCTACTCAACTATAAATGTACTTAAATATCGTGTCGTCTCTGTCATTATACAAAGAATTTGTATAGACAGAACTATAATATATTTAAGCCCGACTTAAATAGAGTGGCCTTTGAGTATTCCAGGGTTAATCAAAAAACCACACAAAATTCTTTTTTTAAATCTAAAAGCGTTTGATATTTTTAATTTTTGGAACGAAACATCATGGATGAATATTTGTACATAGATAATATAATAAATAAAGAGTAAAACTAAGCCTTGTGAGTTTTGTCAAGAATGTCATTAAACCTCGTTCGCCTAATCCTCTTTGAGTTGCTTCTTCTTAAAGAGGTAATGAGCGCCTAACAGTGCGTTCATTCTGTAACAATAGATTGGCCTATCATTTTATTGGATAAAAGTATAGTCAACTGACGTGGAGATGAGATTGTAATTATTTCTTTAATTTTGCATCAAATTTATAATGTATTCATTAATTTATAATTATTTTACAATTAATTGTGCCCGGTATATGACAATAGGCTCACCCCCTATTACATGGGACTTACAACGAAAATATTGAAGTGGGTGTTACATTGTACAGTGCCATTAAGTGCCGTATAGTGTACCTCTCCCTTCGGGGATGGCGTGATATTATATTTATAATCTTTATATAGCCAATTCTTAAAATAGTGAAGTTTTGTAAGTCGAGTACAATAACATAAGGTGGATCTTTCAGTCAGGCCAACTATATAGATTTTAATGTTTTTTTTTTAATTTGTAATGTACAATAGATTCTTAACGACATAACTGACAATGAGGCTGTAGGTCGATATAAATAGATCTAAATATTTTCTATTTACGACGGTTTTAAAATAATGCTGCCTCGTTGACCGAGTGGTCGTAAGTGCGACTGCCGGGCAAGGGGTCTCGGGTTCGATTCCCGGGTCGGTTCAAAGTATTACTGGGTCTTTTTTTAAATATTCTCAGTAGTAGCACGGAGTCTGGAATTGTGCCCGGTATATGGCAATAGGCTCACCCCCTATTACATGGGACTCATAACATAAATAGTAAAAAGTGGGTGTTACATTAAGTATACGTACAGTGGCATAATGTGCACCTCTGCCTACCCCTTCGAGGATAAAAGGCGTGATGTTATGTTATGTTAAAATAATATTCACAGTCTTCATTTCGTACTACTAACATATAAAATATTTTCATAGCTGTTTTATAACGAGATCACATCAAGGTAAATACAATCGATTTTTACTAAAGCTTCATGTAGTATTTCATTTATTAGTTAAACTTATTTCCTTAAGCCGTACAAGGCCCGTGGCGATAAGAACCGCGCGTATTGTTAGATCGCGTGCTAACTGCTCATAAAACTTAAATAGAAATGGAGCGACTTACAGCCCGAGTGTACGTTTTAAATGTTTCAAGTTGTAAGCAATATAACTTCATTTTTATTGTAAAATTGTATTTAAAATAATTATTTTCGAATGAGAAATGAAAGCCAAACGTTTAAAGGTCAAATTAAATGTAAAATAAGTAGGTGTAACTTTCAGTCTGATTATAGCAAAACAAGGTTTACAACTTTTACTGGCTTTACCTTCGTGATTTATCAATTTATCAATATTTATTTTAAATAAAGTAGACCAAGAAACCAATACACAAAATAATATAACATCACTGCTTTTTATCCCCGAAGGGGAGGCAGAGTTGCACATTACGGCACTTAATGCCATTGTACAATGTAACATCAACTTTTCACTATTTATGTTATGAGTCCCATGTGATAGGGGGTGAGCCTATTGCCATATGCACTATTTACATAAACATAAAATACCTACTATATTTAGTAATTAATTTCATTTAACAATCTCATCTCCAAAATCTATCGAATACCATAGTAAATAATACTACTTCCTTCAAAAAGTTTTTAAATCTATTCTATACTCTATGGTATTAATATAATACTCACAGAAGGGCCAAATGCTATTTCTTGCTGGCCAGTGCTATGCCGAGGCCGACGATGCCGCCGATGGCCAGCACGGCGCCACTCGCCACCGCGATTCCGATCAGACCCTCCTTCTCCATTCGCTTGTTGATTTGACGCTGAAATATATAAATAAGACTTGAATAAATGAATATTAAGTGGGAGAGCCATGCTTCGGCACGAATGGGCCGCCTCGACCGGAGTGATACCACGGCCTCACAGATAACCGACGTGAAGCAACGCTTGCGTTGTGTTTCGTTGTGCGAGTGAGGTTATCGAAGGCCCAATTAGCCTCCCCTTCCCCAATCTCCCCAATCCCTGAATCCCCAACGATCCTCAAACTCCTAATCCCCAAAAGGCCGGTAACGCACTAGTAACGCCTCTGCTTACCATCAGATGATCCGTCTGCTCGTTTACCAGCTTATGCCATAAAAAAAAATATTTCAGAAATCGAAGCTTTTTCGTCGTATGAGTGAGGTTATTAGAAGTCCCCCTCCATCCTAAAAGGTCAGGAACGCAGTTGTCCCGTGTGTTGCACCGATTGCTTACCAACCATCATGAGATCCGTCTGCTGGTTGCCGCCTTTCTCGCAAAAAGTAGATAATTTTCTTTGAATAAATATCATTATGTAGATAGTACAGCAATGGAAAATCAAAGATTACAAGCTGAATGAAATGGTCATAAAATACACGAAACGCCAGTAGCTAACTTTGTAATAAAATGAGTGGGTTTTCTCTTCAGCCTTATACATAAATTAATAAAGTTTTATTTTATAATTTTGCAGTTCAGCTAGTTACAGCATTAACATCATCAAAATCGATGTGTCACTGAACAGTAAGTTTGAGACAAAGATACAAAAAAGAATATAGAATACAACAACACAAACACATTTAAAAATAACTTTGAATAATTATAATTATACAACTCACTAACCACCACATTTAGTATGAATCATTTTTAATGAACTGACAATAAAACCACCATGCAATGTGGTTTACTGATAAATTAAAATAACAAAAATATATTGTTATTCTCAGTTATAGATTGCTAAATATTGCCCACTATAACTTACTATAATAATGTGCAGATAGTATATCAATATAATACAGTAGGCAGACTGATAAAACTAACATAGCAAACTAGTCTTTAAGTATTGCAACATAAGGAAATAAATTGCTTAGCTTTATTATTAAAGCACCAATGACCAATGCCTGCTTCATACAAAATTACCAAATAAATTAGGTATTATGTTTTCGGTTTACTCACGTAACTTTTTGACGAGGAATTGGACTATTTTATTGAGTAAGCCGAAAACAATAATTAATTTAATAGGTCTCACGAAAGTTTTAACATGAACTTTACAAAATAAGTAAATTATAAATAATTAATTTTCCTTATTATTGTACTCAAAAATTTTAAGTTTTAAATTACTACTCCAACTTGACTAAGCATACTGATTAATGCTCATTCCTGTTTAGAGCTAGTAAAGCTATAATAAACTAAAAAAATTAAATTGTCTCTTGTGTTCGTAATAGCTCACTAGGGGTTACTGTGAGTTGCATCTCTATACTATATTCGGTTGTATTATACTCTCTCTTGTGTCAACTGTTTGAACTATGTGTTGTTATAACAATTAAATTTCAGTTTATAAATGTAATCCATTCTTACTTTCGCCCTATCCATCAATTACTTCACCTATTGAGAAGAGGACTTTGTTAAGCAGTGGGACAATAACAGATGATGATTATACCCAGACACATACAACTGCATCTTTTTAACCAATTTCCCAAAATAGAGAAGATTCTCAAACCATATGTATATGTTATTTTACAAATGTATTTTACGCAATTACTACAGCGTTTTTGGACAGATTTTGATGATTTTTTTAAAGGTTAAGTACATAAAATATTGTTAGAAAAACACAACATACCTCTAACGCCAACACTTGCTGGTTGGCCGGCTCAATCTCTAGGAAGGACTTGACATAGTGGAGAGCTTTGTTGTACTCCTTGATTCTAGCGTTGCCAATAGCAAGGTAGAACAGGTAATCCCTTTTGCCATCAGGGTGTGAGTTGAACAGTTCTTTTAGAAGCAATATACCCTGGAACATTAAGACATGGATCATAGAATAAAATAAAAAAACTGTTTATTGGACACCATAGCTATAGAAAACACAAAAGATAAACAGACAGTACAATGGGTGGTCCAATCACTAAAAAGCGATCTCTTACAGACAACCTTTGAATGGATAAGCAGTAAAGGATCCTAATTACAGCTAAAGCAATATTGATGTTAAAAATATAAGACTGAACATAACATAACATAACATCACGCCTTTTATCCCCGAAGGGGGGGGGGAGGCAGAGGCGCACATTAAGCCACTGTACAATGTAACACCCACTTTTCACTATTTATGTTATGAGTCCCATGTAATAGGGGGTGAGCCTATTGCCATAGACCGGGCACAATTCCAGACTCCGTGCTACTACTGAAATTTTTTTAAAACCCAGTAATACTTTGCCCGACCCGGGAATCGAACCTGAGACCCCTTGCCCGGCAGTCGCACTTTCGACCACTCGGCCAACGAGGCAGTGAACTTCTATAATCATTATAAATTCTTCATTGAACCAATTTGTTTAAACAGATTTGCAATTTGATAAAATTCTGTTTTTCCCTAAGCAGTTGAATATTTTGACTGGACTTTGATACACATTTTAATATAAAGAAATTCCATAATGGAACAAACACAGTACTTAATGTTATTGTTTATTGAGAAGGTTAAACTGATAACAATAACAATTTATTAAACATGTCAATATTAATAAGAACTCACCAAAGTCATACATACTTATTTTATTTCAATAGGACCACTACAAACAATAGAATTTAATAATTTTACAGTGAGAAGGTTCTTGTCTGAATCCTTATGTAATGTAACCAAATAGATATTTCTTGTTTGATTGAACGCGATTATCTCAAGAACTACTGGTCAGATTAGAAAAATTATTTTAGTGTTGGATAGTCCATTTATTGAGGAAGGCTATAAGCTATAAAACATCACTCTATAATCAATAGGCGCCGAGCAGTAAAAAAAACCGCTCGCAAGTATAACTAAAATACAGATTGAATTTGCATTCACTAATCCAAAGAACACGGAGAACAGCTAATGTTAATTAAACCATTGCTTGCTTTTACACCTACCATTTACTCTTCTCTAAACCACCCAAAGGTCAGACTGGGAGAAAATGCCTGTGGCATGAAGTCTGCCTATTATACATCGAGTTCATGAAGCATAATCACTACATAGTATAAAACAAAATTGCTATATAGGATTGCCTTCAATATAGGATAAATAATGGGCAAGTCGTAAGACAATTACTTTTCAATATAACAAACATTTTATATGCTTACAAACACATTATTTACATCAACAAAGCATCATTCAGTACTGTCAAACAGGTATTTTGTTTTTGTTTAGCATGACTTTACATACAAATATAGGCAATGTAGTAATGCATACAATAGGGTTATTTTTAAATGAAAGAAGACATGATCTTAATGACCTCGAGACCTCGAATTCTTTCACTTGGCACTCAAAACGCTTTGTGAATATTTTTTATAAAAAATGGATGACAATTCTTTGTATGGTGACTTTCTTTTAACCAAGACTTTAAATAGGTATTAGTTAATATATTTTATTTCCTTATGCATGTGACGTCAACATTAGTGATCTTTTATTTTTTATTACTTCAGGACATAAAAACTAAATGACTGTCTTCGAATAGGTACCTTTCGTATGTCGGTAGGATACTTGCTCCGCACTAGGCACCAAGCATACTCAAACTGTGCTTTGTGAGTCACGTTGCCCTGGTGCAGCTGCTCGTGGAACACTTTCTCGAACTTCTACATCACAAAGATCAAATAATGAGTATTACATTCAATGACTCACAAATACAACGTTGCACAAGTTTTCGCATTACTTGCAAATCTTCCGAAGATACTATCTCGTCCAAAACGTCCTCCATTGTAATAAAGTTATATAAATTGTATTTAAAATCCAATCGTATCACACTTTATATTCTTTATAGACAAAATAACATTATTTCGCGTTATCAATAATGAAAATCGTAAAATCAAAGTTTTGACGAACTTGACGTTACACAGCGTTTAGTGACAACTGTAAAGTGTCAACTTCTTACAACATTGATCAACATCAACAATAAAAATCTTGAATTCTATGTGTTTTACATACTATTTTCACATTGATAATTAAATTTTTAAACAAAAATCATCATCATTTAAAATATAGTTGCCGTAAATAGCGTAGCTACATTTTAAGAAGAATGAATGGTGAGTTTGTACTGTACTGTTCTTCAGCAAACTTACACAACTCGCACAGCACTATAAAACTCATCTCAAGAACAAAATGTACAAATGTCAATGTCAAATTATCAGTGTCAAACAAATCGAGCACCGTGTTCTACACTTTTGTGGATTTCATTGTCGATTTTATTAGAACGAAACTCTTATAGGTAATTCTAATTAGACATTAATTGGAATTCAGTGAGCACTGCGCTAAAATGCAGAGTGTAATAAATACTGTGAAAGGCACAGCGCTGGGAGTAGCCGGTTATCTTACACCGGTGTTGAAGGTAATTTATCACCTTTGTTACATTAACTTTTATCACTGTTTACAGTTAATTTGACACCGTACAAAACAAGTTCGAAATAATTTATATGCGCAATTATTATGTATTCATTGTCGGTAGTCGAAAATACAGGCAATGTAATTTTTTTACACTTCGTTTGTGTACCTATTAGGTATAGTTGACGGTAAATATTACCTATATTTTATCCTTTAACAAAGCAAGTTGATCGTAATATTTAGCGGTGTTATCTTTGTTAAATGAATCATTATCTCACATTTGTAAACAAACGTAATTTACCTTGTCATTGTAACACAATAGAACTACCTACTTACACCATCTTATAAATAATTTTACCTGCAATTTTCGCTTTCCCAGGAGTCAAAGTTCCAAGAAACAGGAGTCCTAACTCCTGAGGAGTTTGTAGCTGCTGGAGACCACTTAGTCCACCACTGCCCTACCTGGCAATGGGCTAAGGGTGAAGAATCTAAGCTGAGGCCATACCTACCAGCTGATAAGCAGTTCCTTATAACTAGGAATGTGCCATGCTATAGGCGGTGCAAACAGGTATGTCTTGCCGTACTACTACCTACATATTGATTATTTTTGTCATAAAGAAAAATTAAAATAAAAATGCCTTTATAATAAACATAGTTCATTTGTAATTATCATAAAAATGAGGGTATATTAACTCGTCGAGTACCGGTTTTATAGACACAATTAAAGAACAATAGGTCGCGGTCACCGGTGACCGCTTGGTGTTTGACAGATTAATATACTTCACTTCGCTAGGTATCCTAAAAAAGATTAAATTAATACTTTACCATTTGTGTGTAGTAATACTAAATGAGTATCTTGCACACAATAATTCCTTCTTACAGATTGAGTACTGTGAGGATAAAGAGAAGGTGATAGAAGATGAATGTGATGCCGATGGAGGGTGGGTAGACACACATCACTATGATAACACTGGATCTCCTACAGTTGAGGAAAAGGTAAGTAAAGATAAAGCTACAATTAAATATATATAAATAAAAATTAATCCAAGATGCATGTACTTAAATCTTAAATGGCAACACCAAATTGGGTAATTTCTTTTTGTTACATCCAATCTTGTAAAGACAAAGTTTTTATGAAATTATAAATTTATTAATTCAGTTAAATAGTCGGGGAACAGCACCCAAGCAAGGCTAACATAGGTTTCTTGAAACAAATAAAATTAAGGATACCTAACAAAATTACATAATGTTGTAGGCTTGAGAAACTTTTATCCTATTTATATAATAAAACAACGGAGTTGAGATCCGGAAACAGAACAAAAACAATATATTCTTTTTTAATAATCATAGACAATACAGGAATGCACTTATATTCTATTATGACCACAGATATTTAATACAAATGATTATGTTGAGATCCAATTTAACACCCCCACTATCTCAAATAATCACAGAAACACAACAAGTACGATTTTAACAAAACAATCAATTATACACTAACCACACCTAACATTTTCATGAACATATAATGTTTCTTTGAACATAAACTTTTGGTTAGCAAATCAGCAGGCATGTTATCTGTCGGCAAATAATGTAATTTTACAATATTATTTGATACACACTCTCGAGCAAAATGACACTTTACGTCAATATGTTTTGATTGCTTATGTAGCACAGGATTTCTCGACAGTTTTTGTGCACTCTGATTGTCATTATATAAATCCAAAGTGTACATTTTATCTGTTATTTCAAACTGCAATGCTCTTAAATATATGGCTTCTTTACAAGCTTCTGAAATCCCCATATACTCAGCCTCACAACTAGATAGAGCTACTGTTTTTTGTTTCTTACACTCCCAAGAAATTACACCATTTGATAACAAGAAACAAAATCCAGTGTAAGATCTTCTATCTATAGTATTACTTGCCCAATCAGCATCCACAAAACCTTTTATTACAGAATTACCATTTCTACAATATTTAATGCCATATGATTTAGTTTTTTTTAAATATTTTAATATTCTCTTGGCATAACCCCAATGCTCATCTGTGTGACTATTATTAAACTGACTAAGATAACTGACGGCATAGGTTATGTCTGGTCTAGTTAAAACTGATAAATACATTAGGCTACCTATAAGCTGTCTAAATGGCACTTTATCATTTACATTCTGACCTATGTTTACATTAAGCTTAGTCTCCATTGGAGTATCACAAGTCCTACAATCTATCAAGTTAAATTTATGTAACAAACTATCAATATAATTTTCTTGACTTAAGGTTACAGAACCTTCAGACTTATCAAACTTTATATTCACTCCCAGGCATTGTTTCACTTGTCCTAGGTCTTTTATTGTAAACTTATTTGACAATGTATTCTTAAGGTCTAAACATTCCTTGTCATCATTACTAAAAATAAAAAAATCATCAACATAAACTGCAACAATAGTTTTATGATTATCAATGTTCCTTGTATAAATACACGGTTCAAGTTTAGATTTCTTGTAACCACTTTCAAGCAAACACATATCTAATTTTCCCATTCCAGGCCCTAGAGGCCTGCTTCAAACCATAAATGGCTTTCTTAAGTTTTAACACTTTATTATTACTACCTGGAATATTATAACAATCTGGTTTATACATATATATGGTTTCCTCTAGGTCACCATTGAGAAAAGCAGTTTTCACATCAAGATGTGTTACATGGAGCCCCAATTGCACTGATAGTGAAAATAATAAACGTAGGGTTGTGTGCCTAACAACAGGCGAGAAGGTCTCTGTATAATCTATACCTTGTTTTTGAGAAAAGCCTTTAGCTACTAATCTGGCACGAAACCTTACCCTATTTTCGCTATCAAACTTCTTACGCAAAACCCATCTAGACTGAACAATAGTACTATTAACAGGTACCTCAGAAAGTTCCCACGCATTATTGTCTTCAAAGCACTGTAACTCATCTTTCACTGCCTCTAACCACTGTTCTTTCTCAGGTCCATTTAACGCATCTTCCAATGACAGTTCACTATCATCTATTGAACTAGCACTTTCCAAACAAACATTTGAAAAACCATACCTATTTGGTGGCTGCCTGCGCCTACACAAATCCTTTTTAACAACACTCACTTCACTTTCACCACTACTGGAGCAATCATCTTCATCAGATGTAAGTTTCATCACCATCATGATAATCTTTACTTTCAGATTCATATGATATGTCCCCCACTGAATCTAGAAATACTTCAGAGCATTCAGCCTTTGGTTCAGTGTTTGAATGTATTTTCTCTTCGATTTGCACTGGACTTTCTGCCTGTCTAGGTTTTTCAATAATGATTACATCACGGCTGGTTGTAACTCCTTTTGTTTCTGGATTGTAAATTCGATAACCTTTTACATCCTCTGGATAACCAACTAGTATTCCTTTTTCAGCCTTCTTGTCCCACTTCAACCTTTTTTCTTTAGGAACATGCATCATCACTATACTTCCAAAAACTCTCAAATGACTTATGTCTGGCTTCTTCTTTGTCCACATCTCATATGGCGTCTTCCCATTTAAAGCTGTTGCTACTGTTCTATTCTGAAGATAAACAGCAGTATGTGCTGCTTCAGCCCAAAAACTTTTATTCAAACCAGCATCAAACAATAGGCATCTTGCCTTTTCCACCACTGTACGATTGCTGCGTTCAGCCAAGCCGTTTTGTTCCGGGGTGTAAGGATTGCTCTTTTGATGACCAATTCCAGCATTGCTGAGATATTCTTCAAACTTTTTATTACAATATTCCATTCCATTGTCAGTACGCAGCTTCTTAATTTTCTTATTTAGTTGATTCTCAACAGATGCTTTATATTTTTTAAAACAATCAAGGGCTTCACTTTTATTTTTCAGGAAATAGATAGACATCATTCGACTGTAGTCATCTATAAATAAAATGTAATATCTTGAACCACCAATAGAGACATTGCTAAATGGCCCACATATATCACTGTGAACAACCTGAAGTAAATCATCACTTCTACTGCCATTCTGTGGAAAAGGCAATCGATTCAATTTGCCTTCGCAACACACTATGCACGACGACTTCGAAATATTAGCCTTTCTGTCGAGTGTGAGCCCTTCCACTGCATTGTGCATTTTATTCAAATAGCTACTATTCAGATGACCTAACCGTCGATGCCATATATCACTTGGAATCGCCACTGCAGCTAGGAACCTTTCAGGCATTTTTAATTTGTAGACACCATTTATCAAACAAGCTGTGGCAACTAACTTGTCATCTTGATTGTAAATTTGACAACCATCACTAGTAAAATATACTTTATTGCCTCTTGCTATCAATTGACTGACTGACAATAGATTGGTGGTTAAACTGGGAACACATAAAACTTTTTCAACAACCACATCATATTCACAATCATCTGTAATTGTAGCAATTTGCACATCACCTGAACATTTGACAATCACCTTTTCTTTGTTGGCAACCAGAATCTCTTTAATAGAATGATCAGTCGAGGTGTTCTTCAGCCAATTTTCATTGGCGGTCAAATGAGCACTCGCACCCGAATCGACATACCAGTCATTCTTCGAAAATTCGCCATTCAAAAACACGACGCTAAAAGCAATCGTTTGTTTACGTTCAGGTATTTTACTTTTATTATCAGATGAATCTTTATTAAAATTAGTGCACTGAGTTCGATAATGCCCCGTTTGTTTACACCGGTAGCAGGTTATTTTCCGCCTTGGTTTTGACAGTTGTCTATTATCTGAATCTTTGGTTCCAGTAGCGCCAACCTTACTGTTGCGAAAACTCGCAAACGCTCCGTTATTTCCGCTAACGTCGCCCCTGTCTTCCTCCAAGTCCATTAACTTGGTTTTAATGGCGTCTGCTGTTATCTTCATTCCAGAATGTTCAATGGCCATAATCATTGGCGCGTATTTTTCAGATAGCCCAGCCAAAAGCAACGATCCGACCCACTCATCGTTAATGTTAAAGCCTGTTCCACTTAATTTCTGACTAGTTTCAATCACATGCGTGACATATGAGGTCATGGAAGCAGAATTTTCCAGACGAATCGAGATCAATGTTCGTAACAAGCTGATTCGCCTTGTGAATCCAGAATCATCAAATAATTGCTTGAGTTTGTCCCACAACTCCTTTGTACTTTTCACTTCTTTTATATGTACATACAACGACGAATCTATTGTTAGGATCAATTTTGCCTTGGTTTTCGCGTCAGCTTCGGCTTCTGTTGGTTTAGTTTCTATGATACAATTAGAAGTTCCTTCCAACACCAAAAAATTCTCCGCCGCGAAAGCCCACTCTGCATAATTCTCACGACCTTTTAACTTAGGTACACTAACAACATAGTTCGTACTCATTTTCACCAGCACAGCTTATTCTCAGTCTGCTAAAACTTATACAGCACTAATCGGCAAGTTTTCTGCGAGAATATAACGAATTACTGGGCCCATAACCTATAATAAAACAACGGAGTTGAGATCCGGAAACAGAACAAAAACAATATATTCTTTTTTAATAATCATAGACAATACAGGAATGCACTTATATTCTATTATGACCACAGATATTTAATACAAATGATTATGTTGAGATCCAATTTAACAATTTACACAACTGCATGACTTATACAGTAATTAATTTATAAACTTAGTGGTCTAATATCTAAAATTAAAAACCGACTTATTGATTCAATTGCTGTTTTATTTGTTCACTCAATTTGGGTCATAGCTATTAACTATTTTATTACAGCGGTCTGTTGTATGAGTCATTATACCATTATAATCTTTATGGACATGAAAAGAAGTATCCTATTATGTTAATTTAAAATAACAATGATATTTTTTTTAACTAGTAAAAAACGACTAGTCTATGGTGATACTAATGAAGGTAGATTAACATTTTATCTCATATATTTTTCGTCTTGCTAACTGTGATACACACGTCATATTAATATAGTAAAATAAATCTTTCACGTTAGTTCTATTGTCTCCTAATCACCAGGTATGTGAGATGACGTTGGAAGCAGCCGACACCGGCGACAGTGACGGTGAGGGTGCCGCTGGTGACCGCGACGACGATGATGATGAAGAGGATGACGAGGATGGAGAGGCTGAGGATATGGAGCAGTTCCAGGAGTCTGGACTCTTGGATGAAGTGGACCCAGTAAGTTTTTATGACTGTACTTGCCTAATTGATTTCTCAATAAATAAATGTTGTTAGTAAATATTATTTCTTACTTTAGGTTTACTTCTGATTTAGAAGGTCATCTTTTTGTATGGTTTATTTTTGTACTTAGACTGAACTTAATGCATTTTTAAATTAACGAAACAGATATTGTCTCCTCTTTCCTATCTGATTCGATCCTTTCAACTAGTATGTAATAAGTAGGTATTTGAAGTTAAAAACGAACAGTATGTAGGTAACATGCACTTAGTGGTTGATACAAAGTGACCCTACTATCTGGTCGTCATGGACACTATCTGTCGAGTGTGCATTACGATTGCTCCACTCACATGTGCCGGTAATTACAATGTAGCTCTACCTTTTATTTGTTTACATCTGTAGGTACTATAAAGCTATAGGTACTATAGCTTTATTGTATACCTATGTATGAGTAGATATTTTAACTTATCATCGCTTACCACCAGGCGAGATAAACGTCGGCCCGTCAAATAAAAAAAAATAGCGGTAGTTGAACACGAATGAGTGTTCTCTGCAACTTACCCTATACCATATCTTAACTAAAAGTTATTTAGCGTGACGTAGCACCTAAACTGACCCTTACTTGTACTTGTAGGTGCCAGTTATAGGTTGGTGAAAATGTCGTTAAATGTCACCTATCTTAACTTAGTGATTCCTTAAAATTTAGAAGAGATTGATGAAAATGGGCATTAGTGTTGTAATGTAATCTTAATTTAAACCTAAAGATATATTTCTTTACAGTCACTTTTACTTCATGATATTTACTATTATGTTTCACAATTATAAAAATATATTATCTCACCAGTCAACAGACCTAGCACCGCGCAAGGAGCCCAAAACAATGCCCGAGAAGAAGCCAAAGTCTGATGGCGACGAGATCATCCGCACGAGGACCTACGACCTCCACATCACTTACGACAAGTACTACCAGACACCAAGACTCTGGCTCATCGGGTATGATGAGGTGAGTCCTTGAACATTATCATCATGATCACTTTTTCATCCGCAGCTGGACATCATCGACAGTCCGAGAGAGCCCAAAGCCGTACTATGAGCCTCCTCTACAAAAAAGGGCTTTACCATAATCACCAAGTTTGGCAAGCGTATTAGAGATCGCAGCATCAAACCATTTTTTCTTTTTTTTTTTTTTGAGGGGCATAATCGTCTAATGACTTCTCCCGTCTGGGTAGGGTTGCCACCCGTACTTTATAATAAAGTATTGTACGTTATTTAAGGTAATTGAACTCTATACTTTATAAAAATAATAAAGTACACGTAAATACTTTATTATTGCAAACTTCATTTCTATTGAAGTCGTAAGTATTTTTCGTTAAACTTATCGATTCGATATCGATATTTATCAATTTATGTTGAATCGATAACTCGCCAGCGCCACTTAGACATTTTCTAGTAAAGATGCAATTGTTTAGTATTTCAATGCAATTGTTCAGTAAAGGTACTAATTTAATACAAACTGCAAAAAGCAATAAAACACACATTTTTAAATATAATACTAAATAAGAATAAATTGTTCTTTATTATTGTACTGTGTACTTTTTTTTCTTACCTATAATCGTCAATGTACTTTAAATACCAAAGAAAAAGGTCCTACCCCTACGTCTGGGTGAGATGAGAATGTCAGACTCTTACTGACTAAAAACCACCTAGTTCTCCACCTCGAGCCGGAGCCCCGGCAACCCATTCAGACCTCAGCGGCTCCGTAGCATACACCACTGCCAATTAAAACTATACACATACAGATTAAAATTCATGTTCTTAATTCTGGGTGTGCGTTACCCAGCCCAGATGTTGTCGAAAATGGTCATTTGAATCTTACAGATAATTAGTTGTGCGGCTACTGTAATTGTTGCGCTTATAGTTTTTTAATTATTTCACAAAAATATTTCCTGCTGGGGTAACGTTACCCCAGCCAGATCTTTTTCTTTCTAATGGGAATATTTAAATAATTACTAGCTATAGAATTAGTTGTCTAGATGAAGTAAATGTCGTGCCTTATTTTGTATTTGTTCTTTCATCGGTTTCGAAGTTATTCGAGATTCTGCTGGGATAACGTTTTTGGTTTTGCTAGATCTTTGAAATGTATGTCAATAATTAGTTGTTTAGTTCAGTTGTATATCAGTAAAATTTCAGCTCAGTACATTGAATAATTAATGAGATAATACAATTAAAGTTATTAGGAAGTGAATGACCGTGGTAACCCGACCAAGTTTAGGTCGTTACGAAAAATCGAAAACTACGAAAGCTGAAGTTTTACTAATATACAACTGAACTAAACAACTAATTATTGACATAACATTTAGTTCATATATTCAATCCAGCGGCCAAATAACACCGCGCGCATCAAGACCGTGCTCGTGAAGAACTCAATATCATCATAACTTGTTCAATACTTACATGATACTACAGAAACTTCACATACATTCGAAGGCACTTACAAAGCTTTAAAATAACGTTTAAAGTAAGTCTTTAGAGCTCTTATTGAGAGTTCTGGGACTAATCGAAGTGTTTTTCTATTAAATGAAATAACCTTTAAGCTATGTATTATTTCGTTTTTTTTATTGCAGAACAAATTTAAACGAATTCCTAAGAAGCCATGTACAAAATATGATAAGAATCCGCTTCACCATTTCAAAGATCTAGCAAAACCAAAAACGTTACCCCAGCAGAATCTCGAATAACTTCGCAACCGATGAAAGAACAAATATAAATAAGGCACAACATTTACTTCATCTAGACAACTAATTTTATAGCTAGTAATTATTTAAATATTACCATTAGATAGAAAAAGGTCTGGCTGGGGTAACGTTACCCCAGCAGGAAATGTTTTTGTAAAATAATAAAAAAACTGTAAGCGCAACATATTTAAAAACTTGCGCAACAATTACAGAAGCTGTACAACTAATTATCTATACGATTCAAATGACCATTTTCGACAACATCTGGCCTGGGTAACGCACACTAATACTTGATCAAACATTCACACCGAAATAATTCGTATTAGCATTTAATTCACGGTTTAGATTGTTTCTGCGTTTTGATAATACACTGCGATTACATTATTCAACAATTAGGTAACCGCTGTTGTAATTGGACCTTGAATTTATGACCTATTTACCTAGTCTTAGATTAGACTAGATTTTTATACACATTGTTGTTCTGAAAACTAAATCTACGATATCTTTGATAAGGTAGAATGAAAAAGAAAACGTTATACCTACCTCCAAGTAACTTGAAATAGCGCCTAGCGGCAAAGAAAGGATATAGATTCTACTAATTGAATAAGCAGGTTTATCGGCGATACACATTGTTATTACTAGGTAATAGGAAATCATTTAATGATATATTTTATGTCCAGGACCGCACTCTCCTGAGCGTGGAGCAGATGTACGAGGACGTGTCGCAGGACCACGCCAAGAAGACAGTCACCATGGAGTCCCACCCACACCTGTCTGGACCTAGCATGGCCTCCGTGCACCCGTGCCGGTGAGTTAGTTATTATATTTAAATATAAACGAAGTTCGTCCAACGAAGTTACTCGACCAGTTTCGGGTCATGATGGAACCCATAATTCAGAATACAGCCAAATCCAAGCCAGCTCGTGTGCTGAGTTCTAATAACGAATCAAATGAAATCATGTAGATTAACACAATTTAAAACTTCAGACCCTTATAATAAAAGCCATATTAATACCCAAACTCCTCAATTCCAGGCACGCAGAAGTAATGAAGAAAATAATAGAGACTGTCACAGAGAGTGGAGGTGAGATGGGAGTGCACTCGTACCTGATAGTGTTCCTCAAGTTCGTACAAACTGTCATACCGACCATCGAGTACGACTTTACACAGAACTTCGCCATCAACTAGATATAGCTTCATACGTAGTAGCTTTTGTAACGCTCGCGGCGTGGCTTCACTGTGGTTTTTTAATTTGTTGTTTTCAATCGATAGTGTATGAGAAATAGTTGATAAGATACATATAGCGGTGATGATAGTTTCAAGATTTTACCAGTAAGATGGAATAGTGTTGGTTTTCGTTGGTTTTACGGTTGTTTTCAAGTGATTGGAGTGATATGCGACAATTTAAGTCCCTTTTGCCGAAATATCGTACCCACTGCTATCACAAATCAGATAAACAGTCAGACGCTAGAAAAATCTGAACAGTTATATGTATTACTCATTTATCTTGTGCGCTAAGTTAAGCATCTGGAATGTTGTACACAATAAAAACTGGCTATATCAACTCGTTCACCTCAAGCAATGCAATTTGTACTTTGTGTCAAATATTGCAAAGACGTATGTCTTATGTTCGTGCATAATTCTCGTGAACACTGCTTTCGTTGTTTCGCCGCGGTTTGTATAGTACAGTAGTGTAGGCCATCTTAATAAATATATCAATGTGGTAATTTTAATATTAATATTTATTAATTATTCAAAATGTTTTCAAATATTTTTCTTAGTGTTATTTTATAATGAAATTGTTGAAATAGCAGTGAATGTGTTGAGTCTGTGCAATGCAAATATGAGTCAATAGCTTTAATTTCAGCATTTTCTTCTTTACAAGTTTTTTTTAAGTTTGCCTGACATCTTGCCAGGGACAGATTACAAAGTAGATTTTTAACTCAACTAATGATACAAAAAAAAATATTTGTATCATTTGGAATTCATTCCGTATAAACGCCATATTGTAGTGTAGATACTCAAATTAATTGTTTATGTAATAGATATTTTGTCCCATAGTTATTTTTTTATGTTTTGTAGTTTTTATACTGGTAATAAAACTTTATAGATCGCAGCTTTTTACGTTATATTTATGAATTTATTACGTTCGGTAAACTTGAATCGATATTTATGTCGGAAATTACCCACAATGGTTTTGAAAATTTAAATTTGATATGTTATGTTTGTTAAATTACCTTATGCAACGTTTTCAGTTTTTCAAATAACGCACATAAAACAATATAAAACTTTTAAAAACAACGATATTGTAGCTTTCAAATACATTGCCAGAATATTCGAGTTCTTGTTAAAAATATGATTGGTAATTATTGAATATTGTTTTTAAAATATGTTAAGTTATATAATATTTTAGATAGATACATGCTATTGTTAGTTAAACGCTCCTATGTTAACTTACGTGTAAATGCACCGTTTGGTTTATTTTTGTAATAAAATATAATATTTTGCCTATTTATGTGTTTGTTTTATTATATTTTAGATAGATACATGCTATTGTTAGTTAAACGCTCCTATGTTAACTTACGTGTAAATGCACCGTTTGGTTTATTTTTGTAATAAAATATAATATTTTGCCTATTTATGTGTTTGTTTTATTATATTTTAGATAGATACATGCTATTGTTAGTTAAACGCTCCTATGTTAACTTACGTGTAAATGCACCGTTTGGTTTATTTTTGTAATAAAATATAATATTTTGCCTATTAACTGTGTTTGTTTTATTATATTCCATACACTAATAATATTTCAAGTTTAAGTTAAAGAAGCCTAGTCTAAATAAATCACATCATCACATAACAGCCAGTGGCTACTGCTGACCAAAGGCCTCTTCTCGCACGGAGAAGGTTTGAGCATTAATCACCACGCTTGCTCAATGCGTGTTGGCAATTTCAAACTTATAAGCCCAGGGTTCCTCACAATGTTTTCCGTGTGCGTTACCCAGGCCAGATGTTGTCGAAAAGGGTTATATGAATCTTATAGATAAATAATGGTACGGCTTCTGTAATTGTTGCGCACATTTTTAAATATGTTGCGCTTATAGAATTTTAATTATTTCACAAAAACATTTTTGAAAGCTACCTAACAAATAGGAAACAACGTGTGAAAATAGGAAGTCATGAAAGTGATGAGGCTGAGGTCACTTATGGCGTGCCACAAGGAAGTATTCTTGGCCCTACCCTTTTTCAGATCTATATCAATGACCTCTGCCAAATTACTCTTCCAAATACTAACATATTCACCTACGCAGATGACACCGCCATATTTGTTTGGGGTCCAAACTGGAAAACGGTTAAGGAAACGGCCGAATACTCCTTATCTAAAGTGATGGAGTGGCTCTCTGTTAACCTGTTAACATTAAATGTTAACAAAACTCATTTTATGGCCTTCTCCATTCGTAAAAATACAGCCCCACCACGTGACTTCTCCATCAAAGCTCACATTTGTCACTCTCGACAGACTGACTGTGTCTGCGAGGTAATAACTAGGGCAGAAAGCGTCAAATACTTAGGCGTTAACTTGGATGATCGACTGAGATGGGATAAACAGATAGACACTGTAACCTCCAGAGTGAGAAGGCTAATACACGTATTTAAACATCTAAGAAATTCTGCCCCACCAGATAAATTAAAATTCGTCTATTTGGCTCTGTGTCAGTCCATTATCCAATACTGCATACCAGTTTGGGGAGGGGCAGCCAAAACGCTTTTTCTTATGCTTGAGAGAGCACAAAGAGCTGTACTGAAAGTGATGACCAAAAAACCATATAGATATCCCATTGCAAAATTGTACTCGAAATGTAAGGTATTAACAGTCAGACAGCTCTTTGTGCTCAAATCTACTTTGAGAAGGCATCGAAATGTCCCACTACCGAATCCAAACAGACGCAGTAAGATGCCAGTATGCCCGCAAATCCCTACAAATACTACTTTTGCCAGAGGACAGTTCAATAGTCTCAGTTGCAAGCTCTACAACATAATTAATAAAAACCTGAACATCGTACGACTCAGCCGAAAAGAAGTCACAAGAAAAATCAGTGATTGGCTTCAGCAAATGGATTACAACGAAACTGAAGGTTTACTTGCGTATATATCATAACCTACACACACATACATACACACACAAACACACATACACACACACACGCGCACACACCCTCACACACACACACAAAATTCCGGAATATTAACCTAAGTAGTCCTTTTAACTTTCCCTTTATATTTTATTATTTTTGATTTTGGATTACAGCCCCTTCCATTTCATTCAATCACTTTCATGACATTCACTTCATTATACAGTAACATATAATGCGACTTCGTGACATACTCCAGGCCTGAATCACTGTTTTCCAAAATACAAGCTTATAGCTTAGTTTGGAGAGCAGTGTCAGTATCGATCGTAATTCACACTCGTTCATGTAATTGCCGCATTTCTGTGAATGTATTATTGTGAAATTTTTGTACAATAAACAATTTTTATTTATTTATTTCCTGCTGGGGTAACGTTACCCCAGCCAGACCTTTTTCTTTCTAATGGGAATATTTACTTAAATTATATATATATACTTTACTATATTTAGGAATATTTACTTACTTAAATGTTGTGCCTTATTTTGTATTTGTTCTTTGTTGTGAACAACCGGTGAAAGACCGTCGTGGCCCGGAGGTTTGAGACGCCGCTCATACATGAGAGTGCGTGCTCGAAACCTAAGAACGGCAAGTGCCAATGTAACTTTTTCCGAGTTATATGTATCTTCTAAGATTATCTATAGTCAGAATTTTAATTAGATTATAGATTATAGAATATTGCATTTCCATATCGAATAATTTCGCAACGTCACTATTTAGTACTTGTCATAACGTTGCCACACTGAAATGGTCAAATCTGGAATTGAATTAAAATTCCGAGTATAGACACCACTGACAAACGTTGAAGGAAAACATGTGTGCGTTACCCAGGTCAGATATTGTCAAAAATGGTCATTTGAATCTTATAGATAATTAGTTGTGCGGCTTCTGTAGGTAATTGTTGGGCACATTTTTAAATTTGTTGCGCTTATAATTTCTTAATCACAACAACATTTCCTGCTAGGGTAACGTTACTCCAGCCAGACATTATTTTTCTAATGGGAATATTTAAATAATTACTAGCTATAAAATCTCAAACATTTCAAAAGATAGTATAATGTTCTGCGTTTTCGCTTTTTCGTAACCACCTAAACTTGGTCGGACTACTACGGTCATTCACTTCCTAATGACTTTAAACTGTCAAACACCAAGCGGTCACCGGTGACCGCAACCTATTGTTCTTTAATTGTGTCTATAACTACGGTACTCGACGAGTTAATCGTATTATCTCATTAATTATCCAATATACTGAGCTGATATTTCACTGATATACAACTGAACTAAAAAAATAATTATTGACATAACATTCACTTCATATCAAATCAAGTGGCCAAATAACGACGCGCGCTTCAAGACTGTGCTCGTGAAGAACTCAATATCGTCATAACTTGTTCAATACTTACAGGATACTAATGAAACTTCACATACATTTGAAGGCACTTACAAGTTTTAAAATAACGTTTAAAGTACGTCTTTAGAGCTCTTATTGAGAGTGCTGAGACCAATTGAAGTGTTTTTCTATTTAATGAAATAACCTTTAAGCTATGTATTATTTGGTTTTTTATTGCGCAACAAATTTACGAATTCCTAAGAAGCCATGTGCAAAATATGATAAGAATCCGCTAAACCATTTCAAAGATCTACCAAAACCAAAAACGTTACCCCAGCAATATCTCTGATAACTTCGCAACCGATGAAAGTACAAAACAAGGCACAACATTTACTTCATCTAGACAACTAATTTTAAACTAGTAATTATTTAAATATTCCCATTAGAAAGAATAAGGTCTGGCTGGGGTAACGTTACACTAGAAGGAAATGTTTTTGTGAAATACCTAAAAAACTGTAAGCGCAACAAATTTAAAAATGTGCGCCAACTAATTATCTATAAGATTAAAATGACCATTTTCGACAACATCTGGCCTGGGTAACGCACAAGTGGTATTAAGTGGCGTGATGTGCACCTCTGCCTACCCCTCTGGGGATAAAAGGCGTGATGTCACGTTATGTAAAACATTGTATTATGTGTATAATACGTACCAACTGCGTCTTGAAGTTCATATTTAACCTGGAACTACATGCTCGATAAACCAGGGTAATACTATTTTTTTTCAACTGTTACCATACCACAACAGGATTTAAACCGTACTCTGTCATCAGTCGCCTGCCTTGGACAAACTTTTCAAGAAAATGTCCTAAAATTCCTACGGGAATGGGAGAAAACGGGATTGCTCGTACGAAGTCGCGTGCAGAAGCTATTATAACAATAAAACGAACAAGTTAAATTCTAATAATAATTTATTGATATTTATCACATACAATATGTACAAATCACCATGCTATAATAAAATATAATCAGTACTATGCAACAAAGCCCTCTGAACCTAAACTACCGCTATTATACAAAATAATACAACTGCCTCCGTATACACCATGTATATATATACCTATTGATATATTATACAGCAACATATATAAACATTTGTATCAACATATAATATACTGCATAGTCATTATGTAAAACATACGGTTTCAATAATAATATTAAAGGATAATAGGTACAATGTGAATCAATATTAATTAAACAAATGTTGTAAAAAATTGGACGACATAATATCTAACTGGGCTGAAAATCACGACAAAATTCAGTTGCGAAGTCGTGAATTCCAATTAGATTTGCAACCTTACTGTTTTTATAATTAAGTTGCGAATGACATATCTGCTTCTAACTCTGATCTGTATTACCATAGTATAAAGAACAAAGTAGGTTATCTTCATACAAATGCTCCGCGCGCGGCTTATATGTGTGCGCCATAGTATCTACGCGTCGACGCACGCACACTTTAACAAAATCTCGACCCGTTTCTCAGTGCGCCAGGCAGGGCTAACACTGCACGAGGTTGGCGCGCGCTTCACGGCTTTTCGGCACTGTTCAATGAAATAAAAAATGTCTGATAATCGTAGAAGAACGTATTGCTGTGTGTTTGGGTGTCTTAATAATTGATTGATTTCAGAACTGTCTCTGTTCAGATTAGGTACCTATTGAACAGGAAAGGTAAGCTAGTCACTTTTTCTAGCATAATATAATTTGTAGGTACTTGATGATGAGATACCTACTTACTTATTCTTACTCTTATCATTCTTCATAGTTCCTACTCAACCAGAAATGTAATTACCTACTATACTTAAATATTATAAGAAAATGTGGTATTAAATATTATAAGAAAATGTGGTATTGTATTGTTTATTTCACAGTTTATCTGATTTGTTAAGAACGTAGCCGAGTCGCATTTTTCCATATAAATGTATTCCCAAATTTACTTTCTGAATACTATGTATAGAGCTAAAGTTTATTTTAAGAAGTTAATAATCTTTTTATAAGCTTTTTATTTTAACTAAATTTATAAATTGATAAAATATTCAATCATAATATGCTTTTCATTTCATAAATTTAGATCAAGTGCTGCTTGTTCGAAAATATTAACTAAAAGTAAAAGTGACAACCCTGGGGATCAACGCAAGAGTAGGCTAATAACTCGGCGGGCGGCCTTAGACAACCTACTGTATATGTTTATACTGTGGTATTACTATTTCTTTATAACAAAAAGCTGCCATAATCTATAATTTTCTATACAAATATTTATTATTCGGCTTGTCATTAACAACATACAAGAAAATAAACTTAAAACCCAATGATTTTGTCTGAAATCATAAAAATAATTCTGACAATTACACTTAGAAATTATATATTTTATACATAAATCATTTATATAAACTTAATATCGTAATATATAACATTTATGAAGATAAAAAACTATAATTATAAGATATTGCGTCCTAATTGTTTCCTTGGAAAATGTATCGATTGTTTAGTAGTAAACTGTTATGACTACGCTATAATTTGTACGAATTTGATACATGAATATATATGAAAATCGACTTTCAAATGAATTGTGAATTACTGGGACATATCTTCAAGACTATTACACAAAATCTCTTTGTCACATTTCGAACCTGTAGTACTTTTTAGATAATAATAAATACCTAATTATTCTGAATTGTGAAATTAGAAATTTTAGTACTGCTGTTTTTCTACTAAGTAAAGTACAATCGACACATTTACCAGGTAACCATCTTAAAACACAATGTAGGAGGAGCTTACAAATCAACAAATAAAAATGTTTCAGGTACGCTAATGGCGCTACCGATCCTATATAAAACGGAGGCGTTATACGAGCCACCGAACTTATACTAACTGCATTCACAATAATCACAGAATATACCCTCTAAAAAAACTAAAATGCGATGGAAACATGATTTGGTCGCAAATTATATCTAAAGGAAAGTTACGGACGTATGCAGCGCTATCAAAGACATTTCGCTCACTTAGTATAACTTTGTTAATAAAACTTTGTATTTTGAGTTAAAAACTTGTGACCGATAGAGTTTAATTTAGACAAAAATAATAATTTCTTCTAATATTTTTACAATAAAAATTTCGCTAACTATACAAATGTTAACAAACGAATATAGGATATTTACCGTGGCAGTTTATTTCACATTATTGTACTTCATTTTAAGTTTTTCAATTTTATAATTTAAAGGGAATGCTACAGATGTAATTTTATTATCAAAACATTCTAGATTTCATTACTTTTCTTATGAAAAATTATCCTAGCTACTTCAGTAAGCAGTGTCGAACATTTACTAGGCAGCCAAAATCTCTGAATAGATTAATATCATTGCTTTTACAACCGGACATCAGTATTAACAATAAAAACAGGGAAAATGACCCTTATTGCTTTGGTATTAAAAATTATAATGGACAGCGCTTTCGTACTTAAAATGTTATTACTGATGACCGGTTGGTTCACTATAGTATAATATTAAAAATAATCTCATTCTTACCCATATTCATTCAGCCGCGAGTTTTTAAACTCCCCACAAATTATCTACTATACATCGAAGAATAATATACTCTTTGTTTAAATTTCGACTAATTTTTATATTTTGTAAGAATACGCGTAGTAAAAACTGTAATCCTCTACATTTATACTAGAAATACACACCGAAGGCCATCATCGTTACCGTATTACTATTTTTGTTTTCGATCCCTCAACCTCAAACTAATTCATTCAATATTCAACCTTAATGTTTCGATTATAGAGTCCTTTCTAACTTTAGGAATGTTTTGATTGTCGAATTATGTATAAAACTGTATTCTTCGGACAATTTGTTATTGTTAGTGAATTTCGTCCGCCCTAGGTTTTTCAAGCCTAAAGCGCTTTTTCATTTACGCAAGTAATTCGTTCAATAAATCGCTCGATTGTCGGTTTGTGTCAATATTCTAAAACCACGTTTAGGTCAATGTGACATTACATCTGTCCAATCATGTTCGTGTTCCAAATCAATGATTTAAAATAATATCAGTACCTTGATATCTTTATCGTTGGTTGTTGTAATTTGAGTCGTGTGCTCTGGGTGTAAAGTTTAGTATCACTTGTGTGGCACGATGGCGACGAGACGCAGTAGTACAAGTGAGAGCAGTTTGTCGAGTGGGTCGAGCGTCCCTCTCTGCAACCACTTGGGTATGGTGGTGCGAGCGTGGCTGAAGCCTAATTTCTGTAGGATGTAGTCCACTCCGTATGGCTCGATGGACTTCCCAGCCCAGGATAATAGTCTAAAGAAGAAAATTACTAATAAAAACGAGGTTACCTGACAGAGGTGGCAGTAAGTGCAGTGAAAGGAGTAAATAGGTTTCTTAAGGGTCGGCAAGACGCATGTAATGCCCTAAGTGTTGCAAGTATTCATAGGCCACGGTAACTGCTTACCATCAGGTGGGCCGAGTGCTTTCATGCCACCGTTGTGGTATAAAAAATGTTTTTTATAAAATTTTAAATAATCTTTGTAGCTGACATTAACTGTACAAGGATATTTGATTAATTTCGAGCCAAACTGGGGCTAATATGAGCATGTACGAGCAGCAAACGACGTTCCTTCCGCATCTTGTGTTCAAAACACAATATTAAAGAGAAAAAGGTATATCAGAATCATGTAATTTGGTTTTCAATTGTCTTTGCCTGCCTATTTAAGTCAGGACAAAGATAAGTTGTTTAGTGCTGTCTGTAAAAGTGATGCAGTATATAATTATAAAGCGATCCATACCGCACGGTGGGCTCCAGATGCCAGGTGACGCAGCGGTAGTCCCGGTAGTCCTCGGGGCGCGGGCGCGCGCCGGGCCCCGCGCTGGGCCCCGCGCCCGCGCCCTCCGCCCACGCGCCGCGCCCGCCGGACATCTACGGACGGACGACACACTCAATTCTACTATGCTTTTACAACTATAACATATTTATAACATTGCCTGACTAGTCGGCCCAGAGCCGGGCAAGGGATCTTAGCCTCGATTCCCGGGTCGCGCAAGTATTACTGTTTTTTTTAAATCTCAGTAGTAGCACGTAGTCTGGAATTGTGCCCGGTATATGGCGATAGGCTCACGCCCTATTACATGGGACTTATAACATAAATAGTGCAAAGTAAGTATTACATTGTACAGTGGCATTAAGTGCCGTAATGTGCATCTCTGTCTACCCTTTCGGGATATAAAAGACCTGATGTTATGTTACGTATTTAAAACATTATGAGTCAAAATTCACAAAAACAATCCTCCAACGTTACTTCACGTTGCACTATACGTTACTCTTGATGGAGAAACAGGCAAATATTATTCCTTTCACAATCACACATGGATTGGTGAAATAGACACCCATTTCCCGAATGCTTAGTTCACAGGCTTCATTTTCTTCCTATCCCATAACATGTCATTACAGAAACCACACGAGTAAATAGAAAGTTTTCTAAGTATCTCTAGGAAAATCATTCCAACACAACTTACCACTCTATCTTTCTCCTTGATATAAGAAGATATAAGATCGTGTAAGAACAGGAACGCCTCCGCGTCCACTGACACGAAGATATGGTCCTCAAACTCCGTGATGAAGCTGCATTCTACTACTGGTTTTTCATCTGAATAAAAGTATTTTCCAAATAAATACAATAACAAAACTTGTAGGCTGCGCGACATCGCTGCGACCACGCACGTTGCTCATACGGAAGAACCCCTCCGTGCTTCGCAACTAGTAGAGCTTTTCTCGGTATTTTCACGTGAGTGACCCGCGATATTTAGTTAATTTACTATGTCATACGACAGTTATTATAAAAAACATTACAAAACTTGTTTGCGTAAAAACATGCGCTAATTCAAGTTTCGCTTTGCGCAAATATAGAATCATAATCAATGCGCTTAGCTCGTGTTAATTTTGCGCAAAATATCAAAATCAAAATAACATCCATAATGTTTACTCTTTGAGTACCGTGATTATAGACACAATTAAAGAACAATAGGTTGCGGTCACCGGTGACCGCGCGGTGTTTGACAGTTTAATTATTTAGAGCGACATAATCTCACGTATTTCACACACTTATTGCAGGATTTCACAAACGACTGTTAAATTTAAAATGAAACGGGAATTATTTTGCGTATTATGTAATAGACTTTGATATCACCCTATTATACCGTTTGAACCTTTCATATGGTAGGTAAGTATGCATCAAACTATATCGAACAAAAGGTAGTACCAGTCTCAGTGGGCGGTGTATTAGCCTGTAGATGATGCGTCCGTAGATGTAGTTGTAGCGATGGCAGTGCGAATATGACTTCCCGGACGTGTTTGTCCGCCGCCGGCTTGCGCTCGGCCGCCGGGCCTGCGCCCCCGGGGGCAGGGGCTGGCTCGCGCTCCAGGGATGGGAATAACTCGATTGCTGGAGGATACAGTGACAAAATGTTACAAATGTTTACCGAAAAATAAGAAGTTGATGTTTTTCAGTTCTTCGTGTATCCAACCAAAGTCAGCTACTTGTGAATATAGTCACTTCACTTAGCTGGAGGGCGTTACACTACGATTGCTTAGGTATGGTCAGATTATATGCAATTAGAATGGCTTACTTCCAGCATTGTAGAGAAATAAGTAAGGACGTACCGTCAATCTCACTGTTAGCGAACGCGTAGTGGAACCACTCCCTTAGCGTCTTGAACTGCGGCGGGAACAGCATGGCGCGCGTCATGCGGCACACCGTGGCCATGGACACGTGCGCGCGCGCCGCCGCGCCCGCGCCGCCCGCGCCGCCCAGGCTCGCCGTCAGGCTCTGCACCACGTGCACCTCCAGCGGACCTGCGACAATTACATCACTCTTCAGCTCCTTTAATACTAATCATTTTAACTGAGAAAGCCGAGATCACAAGAAACCGGCTTCAAATACCGCTTGCGTTGTGTATGAGTTACTAATGGACCAATCTTCCTCACGTCGTCTATGGACGTCACTGATTGCTTATCAAAAATTGATCCATCTGTTAAATATCATAAACATTACAAAATTATACTCTTACCGTCCTCACTGGCGACCTGCTGAGCCTCAGTGGCAAAGCTTATACTCGGGTCCTTGAGACTGAACAGTGCCCAAGACTTGGCCTTGAAGCTGTTCCCGTGGAAGCAGGCCAGGGATATGTTGGTGCCGTGCAACTCCATAGTACCACCTAGTACAGTGCCTGGTGGAAACAAAATAAATCATTAGAAAAATCATAATAACACAAACTAATTCATAGTTTTCAAAATGTTTTGGTCTATCGATGATAACAATTCAACGGATGTTGTCACAAAAATCTTATATCGCACATGTGAAGATTACATGCGTAGAAAAGAAAAAAGACAACGCGAACAACTGTTGGGCAGAAAGCCCACCAGGCAGGAAACCTCCTCTGTTCGGAGGATCCTCATTTTCCGATCTTAGGGAATTCTACTTTCTGTTCCCTAAAAGGTGTTTCTTTAAACAATTTCCTTATAAACTTTATCATAAAGTAAGAAAACATATTTTAGTTTTGTGATATTGACAACAGATGACGATCTGTAGAAGCAGACGAATAGTTACCATTGGCCGGCAGCGGGGTGGAGAGCGTAGACAGCTGCATGCCGGAGACCAGCTGCAGCACCTTCTGCCAGTGGCGGTGGTGGCGCAGCTCGGCCTGCCCACCGCCCGCACCGCCCGCACCGCCCGGCCCGCCCGCACCGCCCTCCGCGCCGCCCGCCGTCTGGGCCGCTGCGGGCACCGGGGTTGATATCAATGTTTATTACACAGTTATGACAAAATTGCTGCAATAGTCTGAATGAAATTCATAAATCAAATACAAATCGAATTAGATAAATACGATTATTGGTAGTTGTTATCTTTAATACTTAAATAATGTACAGACAGGTCATCAGGTCAACTGTAAGATTATTAACGTAATAACTTTATTACATACTAGATACTTCTCTATTCAAGAAAATACAACACTGGATAAGGTAACGTGTCTGTACAAAATATTGGAATTTGATAAGCTAGTTACTTACGTTCACGTCTATCACGTCTCGCATTAGTATAATTCGGATGTAAAGAGCTGAACACTCGCTTGCTGGACTTGAACTGTTGCGTGAAGAACTCTTCAAGTTTCAGCTGCATCTTCAGGAGATCTGGCGTAGTACTTCGGGACATAAGAATTTGTAGCTGATGCCAACTCAGTTTCCCATGAGTCAGGATAATTGCCGGTCTGTTGGAAAGTTTAAAGAGTTAGAGAAGGCTGGTCAGTTAGCGCAACTTTGCGCAATATAAATCTTACCCGTTATCCTCTTCGTGAGAGCTACGACAATACGTGCTGGTTAGTTTGCGCAATAAACAGTTCATTAGTGCATTGCATTAGACTTAATTAACACGTATTCTATGAAGTGGTTGGGAGCTACGGGTATTTGGATTTTGCGCATTTTTCTTTCAGGCCACACTACGATTTTTCATTATGTATATATGCCTCAAAACAAAAAAGGTGTTTTTAATTCAACATAATTTTTTGCAATCAAAACGTGTTTGATATTTTCCGCAGTGCGGCCTGAGTTTTTAATGAAAGGGTATTAGGTAGTTATGGTGAACGCTAGTTTTGTTTCACTATCTACTCTTAAGTAGCGTAGAAGAGATCGCAATGCAATTATTGTATACTTAGTTATGTTGGTGGAATATGGTGTGCTGTGGTGTATTTGTTTAGTATTGTTAAAGCTAGATACTGTGTATTCTATGCTGTTTGAGCGTGAATGTAGCAATACTGTAATCTATTGTGAACTGTGATTATTACCATTGATGTTTTAGCTCTTGTTTGTAGGTTTTATCTGCATTGGAAAGTGTGAGTTCTTGTGTGTATCTGAGGTTATGTATGAATACATATTGGTTAAATTGTAAAATTGCGGGTATAATTATCTGTAGATGATGGTGTCGTCGTTTTAAGATGTAGGTATTTTTTTTGTAAGGGTAAAAATTATTGAATGCCTTTTCCCGGTTGGGTGAGGCGGGAGAAGTCATTTAAGGAGAGAAGTGTTTAAGGATGTATAGTGGCGAAGTGAAGTAGTGTAGTGGAAGGTATGTACCTGGAGGTGGGCGGGTGCGGGCGCGGCGCGGCGCGGGCGCGCGCCAGCCACTCGTCGACGGCGCGCGCGCGCAGGGCCGAGACGCGCGCGAGCAGTACGGGCGTGCCCATGTATAGTGAAGTGAAGTAGTGTAGTGGAAGGTACCTGGAGGTGGGCGGGTGCGGGCGCGGCGCGGCGCGGGCGCGCGCCAGCCACTCGTCGACGGCGCGCGCGCGCAGGGCCGAGACGCGCGCGAGCAGTACGGGCGTGCCCATGTATAGTGAAGTGAAGTAGTGTAGTGGAAGGTACCTGGAGGTGGGGGGTGCGGGCGCGGCGCGGCGCGGGCGCGCGCCAGCCACTCGTCGACGGCGCGCGCGCGCAGGGCCGAGACGCGCGCGAGCAGTACGGGCGTGCCCATGTATAGTGAAGTGAAGTAGTGTAGTGGAAGGTACCTGGAGGTGGGCGGGTGCGGGCGCGGCGCGGCGCGGGCGCGCGCCAGCCACTCGTCGACGGCGCGCGCGCGCAGGGCCGAGACGCGCGCGAGCAGTACGGGCGTGCCCATGTATAGTGAAGTGAAGTAGTGTAGTGGAAGGTACCTGGAGGTGGGCGGGTGCGGGCGCGGCGCGGCGCGGGCGCGCGCCAGCCACTCGTCGACGGCGCGCGCGCGCGCAGGGCCGAGACGCGCGCGAGCAGTACGGGCGTGCCCATGTATAGTGAAGTGAAGTAGTGTAGTGGAAGGTACCTGGAGGTGGGCGGGTGCGGGCGCGGCGCGGCGCGGGCGCGCGCCAGCCACTCGTCGACGGCGCGCGCGCAGGGCCGAGACGCGCGCGAGCAGTACGGGCGTGCCCATGTATAGTGAAGTGAAGTAGTGTAGTGGAAGGTACCTGGAGGTGGGGGGTGCGGGCGCGGCGCGGCGCGGGCGCGCGCCAGCCACTCGTCGACGGCGCGCGCGCGCAGGGCCGAGACGCGCGCGAGCAGTACGGGCGTGCCCATGTATAGTGAAGTGAAGTAGTGTAGTGGAAGGTACCTGGAGGTGGGCGGGTGCGGGCGCGGCGCGGCGCGGGCGCGCGCCAGCCACTCGTCGACGGCGCGCGCGCGCAGGGCCGAGACGCGCGCGAGCAGTACGGGCGTGCCCATGTATAGTGAAGTGAAGTAGTGTAGTGGAAGGTACCTGGAGGTGGGCGGGTGCGGGCGCGGCGCGGCGCGGCGCGGGCGCGCGCCAGCCACTCGTCGACGGCGCGCGCGCGCAGGGCCGAGACGCGCGCGAGCAGTACGGGCGTGCCCATGTATAGTGAAGTGAAGTAGTGTAGTGGAAGGTACCTGGAGGTGGGCGGTGCGGGCGCGGCGCGGCGCGGGCGCGCGCCAGCCACTCGTCGACGGCGCGCGCGCGCAGGGCCGAGACGCGCGCGAGCAGTACGGGCGTGCCCATGTATAGTGAAGTGAAGTAGTGTAGTGGAAGGTACCTGGAGGTGGGCGGGTGCGGGCGCGGCGCGGCGCGGGCGCGCGCCAGCCACTCGTCGACGGCGCGCGCGCGCAGGGCCGAGACGCGCGCGAGCAGTACGGGCGTGCCCATGTATAGTGAAGTGAAGTAGTGTAGTGGAAGGTACCTGGAGGTGGGCGGGTGCGGGCGCGGCGCGGCGCGGGCGCGCGCCAGCCACTCGTCGACGGCGCGCGCGCGCAGGGCCGAGACGCGCGCGAGCAGTACGGGCGTGCCCATGTATAGTGAAGTGAAGTAGTGTAGTGGAAGGTACCTGGAGGTGGGCGGGTGCGGGCGCGGCGCGGCGCGGGCGCGCGCCAGCCACTCGTCGACGGCGCGCGCGCGCAGGGCCGAGACGCGCGCGAGCAGTACGGGCGTGCCCATGTATAGTGAAGTGAAGTAGTGTAGTGGAAGGTACCTGGAGGTGGGCGGGTGCGGGCGCGGCGCGGCGCGGGCGCGCGCCAGCCACTCGTCGACGGCGCGCGCGCGCAGGGCCGAGACGCGCGCGAGCAGTACGGGCGTGCCCATGTATAGTGAAGTGAAGTAGTGTAGTGGAAGGTACCTGGAGGTGGGCGGGTGCGGGCGCGGCGCGGCGCGGGCGCGCGCCAGCCACTCGTCGACGGCGCGCGCGCGCAGGGCCGAGACGCGCGCGAGCAGTACGGGCGTGCCCATGTATAGTGAAGTGAAGTAGTGTAGTGGAAGGTACCTGGAGGTGGGCGGGTGCGGGCGCGGCGCGGCGCGGGCGCGCGCCAGCCACTCGTCGACGGCGCGCGCGCGCAGGGCCGAGACGCGCGCGAGCAGTACGGGCGTGCCCATGTATAGTGAAGTGAAGTAGTGTAGTGGAAGGTACCTGGAGGTGGGCGGGTGCGGGCGCGCGCGGCGCGGGCGCGCGCCAGCCACTCGTCGACGGCGCGCGCGCGCAGGGCCGAGACGCGCGCGAGCAGTACGGGCGTGCCCATGTATAGTGAAGTGAAGTAGTGTAGTGGAAGGTACCTGGAGGTGGGCGGGTGCGGGCGCGGCGCGGCGCGGGCGCGCGCCAGCCACTCGTCGACGGCGCGCGCGCGCAGGGCCGAGACGCGCGCGAGCAGTACGGGCGTGCCCATGTATAGTGAAGTGAAGTAGTGTAGTGGAAGGTACCTGGAGGTGGGCGGGTGCGGGCGCGGCGCGGCGCGGGCGCGCGCCAGCCACTCGTCGACGGCGCGCGCGCGCAGGGCCGAGACGCGCGCGAGCAGTACGGGCGTGCCCATGTACTCGAGGCGCAGTTCGAGCGCGGCGAGGCGCACGCCGCAGACATGTCCCGGGTTGCAGCCCGCCTCCTCCTCGATGTGCACTGACAATGTATTTATTTATTTATTTACTCAGCTTCAATGCCTTAGCTCTCAAACGGTGGTAATGACAGCAACGGGAACCGCGTTATCTTACATCGGAACCTTGCTGATCGATATATATAACTGTCTATTCTATTTATACTAAATTTGAATATACAATTTCTAATTTCAAGCTTGACCTTATCCTTATTAGCATATTGCTCACACAGAAAGTCACGGGCGTACGGTTCAGTACGCTCAACGGTACCCCTTTAATTTAGTCACATTATATCTACTGATTAATACATACGTACACGATATTTTCAAATATTATCATCATCAACTACATCAACAACAAATACGTCAACTAATTTCGATAAAAATCACTCAAAATTAATATAATATTCATACCGTAAGTATCAATGGAGGACAAACAGATGGCTCCCCCCACGATGCCGCCCCTAGCGTCCAGCTCGGAGCCAGCTAAAGCGACCCCCACCAGCATGTTGCGGTGCCCCGTACTGCCGATACTCAGTCGGCCTGTACAGTTGAAGTCACGGCTCTGCCAACTACAAACCAAAAACGTGATGGTTTAATATTATCGCTTACTACCAGACACGGTGGACAAATACCATCCTATTATTAAAATATATAATTTGTAAAAAATACTTTCAAGATCATAAACTTGTTTTTTTATTAGAAAGAATAGGACTATCAACTTAATAATATCTTACATTAATTTATTTTACACTGCATTGCGCGCTTAAAAATCACTGAAAAGACTTAATGTCATATAGCATTGTTCGTAAATCATAACTTAAGCAATAAAATAACATACCTGACATTCCCCATAACGTTGCCCATGTTCATATGCACGTTGAGTCGCGTGAAGTTGACGGCGAACAGTACGAGCGTCTCCCACGCCGCGCCCACCGACCCGGCACCCACTGCACCGGCCTTGGTGCTGTCTGCGACACGCAAACATAATCACGTCTTATAGGTATAGTTTGTAATATAATAGTATATGTAATGTAATGTAATAGAAATTATTTGAAATCCAATATACAAATCGGAATCACAAATGCATATCCTTACAAGAAACAATATTTAACTACATATCAAATTTTGCGCAAAACTTAAGTGCTTGCGCAAAATGAAATATTGTTTGCGCAATGACGTCTTGACACGATATTTTTCTTTAATACGCAACATACCTTTGGACTTCTGAAGATCAACAGTCTTAGTTTTCTCTCTCTGAGGTAGAACGGGAGATACGGGAGCGTTACTACTTGATGGTCTACTAAAAAGACAAAAAGAACAAATCAGCTCATTGCAATATATTTATAACTTCAATTGCAATATATTTTTTACATTGGTTCTTACCCATGATCCCTAGTGTCGTGTAGACTAAGGTCACCGAGGAACATACGTCTCACTATGGTACGTCTGTACCACGCCTTAGGGAAGGCCAAGATCTCGCCCAGTCGACGCATGTCATACTTGAACCATGCTGAGCCGACGTCCACGATCGCTGATGGGGAAAACATGTCTTTTAAATTCAAGAATACAAACTTTTTTTTAAGAATATAAAGTTGTTTTTGTCCTACACTACAAGATTATTAACAATTATGTATGACGAAATGCATGAATGTCATAGAAGTATGATAATATCTAGGTAGGTTTTGCCAACCCTCAATCATAAAAGTGTAAAAAATTAATACTCACTTGAGAACCTAACAGTAGCTTTAGACTGCTCCTGATCAGTTTGGAAGTCCAATTTCCTGGATCTAGAGAGGTGGAACTTGACGAACTCGACGTTAATGCTGAGGGAGTCTTTGCGTTCGGTGTCAGAGAGGGGAGACCATTGTGCCTCTTTTAGGCTGGACTTCTTCCCTCCGTATGGATGGAACATGTTCACTGAAAAGTCTGCTAAGCACCCAGTTACACTTAACCCACCCATTGCTACGGCTGGTTCTGCCATTTCCCTGAAAAGTAAAAAATTAAGCATAGTAATTTACAATACTCAAAATCGTTTTCGTTTATAAGTAATATTGGTATTGTTTGCTTTGCTGTAGACATCTTGTTATTTAGCAGGTAATTTTATCAAGCTCATGTCATATTAACACCGTAACACCATTTTTAACGTTATGATAATGTGATTTGTTGTAAGTGCAACGAGCGGATAACAAATAAATGAGATAGTAACTCATCGCTAGCCCGCTTGGAGCTGAAGACAATCTGCAGACTGGGCAGCTGCAGCAGGCACTCGACGCGCGAGGCGGGCAGGCAGCTGAAGCGGAAGGTGCTGGGCTGCATGTGGAAGTGCACGATGACGTCGACGGGGAACGACGCGTACACGTACTGCCCGTACGACGCGCCCTCCGCAGACCGCGACCGGGACCCGCTCTCCGCCTCTGGACCCACACAAACTATTCTTTAGCCTATAGCTATTTTTAAAGCGCAATTTTTCTACAATTAGCCGAAGGATGCGATTGGTTTGCTAGCTACAAAAATTCTTTAATACGTTTTCAACTTTATTATCATAAGGTTCTTCAATTTTAGCTACAAAAATTCTTTAATACGTTTTCAACTTTATTATCATAAGGTTGAAAACTTGATTTAAGTTTGCGATTATGGCATCTTTTGTCTCGTTTATAAATTGGGTATCACTCAGCAATTTCTGTTTTCTATAAATTTCATGACATATTTTGAATATCATTTAAAAAATCTAAATTTACTTACCGGGTGTAGGAGTAGAGAAAGACGCTTTGGTCGGTATAGGTTCAAGGGTCTGTTCCAGGAACTCCAGTATATGTGGACTGATGATGGTCTCCTCAGGAATGCTCTGCAGCGTGATCCAGGCAAACAACGCCGCCTTCTTGATGCCCACCTTACGGGGACCCACGTTCAGGGAGGGGAGAGGGGGAATCGTTTGAGGGGATGTCGCTTCTTCTGGTAGCGTTTTCGATTCATAGTGGACCTATGGAAAGTAGTATTAAAGAGTGAGGTGCAGGTTAAGGACAGATAATAATTAAAAAATTGTTGCATTGATATTTCAAATTTTTAAGAATTATATCAACTTTTTTCCTTCTTTGGTAATCGAAACTGAGATCCTTTACTCAGTTTATATTTCACAGCTTTTGTCGAATTAGGCAGTTTAATTAACTATTGAAAACGGGTATTTGTTATTAAACTTTTATGTTTAATAAAATTCATAATGACAAATCATGGGTTCGATTTCTAAAGACGAGTAAAATAATACAAAAACAAGTAGGTATTTATTTATTTTTTTAAGGGGGGAAAATCATCGAATGACTGCTCCCGCCTGGGTGAGGTGGGAGGGAGTGTCAGACTCTTGACTTGACTGACTAAAAACCACCCCGTTCCTTCTCCTGCACGTCGAGCCGGAGCCCCGGTTACCCGTTAGGTTCTCCGCAACAAATAAGTAGATATAATAAATAATTTACCTTGAGGTCCAGTCCGGGCACCCGGAAGACGGTGAGATCTAGTACAGGTACATGTCTAGCATGCGCAGCCTTTCGCCGTGCCCCCGGGGGGGAGCTACTCCCCCCTGCCACCCCTACTCCAGTCCCCGCCCCCACCCCTGCCACCCCCGCCGCGCCCTCTGCTAGCCCGCCTGATGCTGAGCGACCTACGCGCATGCGGCCACTAAAAGAAATAAGTACCGTAAAATGGGGTGAATAGGGATCCAGGGGTGAATAGGGAAAAAACCAGGCATCATTTTTAACTCTAAATGCTAGTTTGCAAATCGTTCCAACTTTTACCATTTTTTGAGGGATAATAGTAGATTATTGGAACTTTTCTATGGCAACATTGAACAAGTGTAAAATCAGCTGCAAACTATCAAAAATTTCAATTGAAAATAGTATAGACAAGATACCGGTTATTACAGTGTATAAAACTGAGCTGTGTAAAGGTTATTTTGTATTAAGCGAATACGAGTGTTAGTTTTATACCTTATTTAGGGTTTGGGCCGTCATATCCACGAAAGTTAAGCATCAGTTATTAATTAATATGACTATAATTTAGATTTTTAGAATGGCATGCGAAATTTGTATTTTTTGGGGTGAATGGGGACGTCTCAGGTATGAATCACAACGAAAGGGGGGTTAATCGGGATGAGGATGGGATGAATAGGAACGACTTATGTATGAATAGGTACAGCTTTATAGGGTTGTCACTGAGCAGACTTAACATTTTTTTATTTCATAAATTAGCGAGGTATTACACTGCGTCGTTAATCTAGTTATTGCAAGTGCAACTGCTGACCATGAAGTCTCAGGATCGGTTCCCGAGTCGACCCAATTTTTGTTGGAATTTTGAAATATTTTACGGAGACCGAAATTGTGTCCGGTGTATCTTAGTAGGCTTGTCCCCTATTTCTTGGGCTGACAACATTACTGACGAACACTGGTTGTCACATTTAATACGTAGGTACATTATTTTTTTTTGGGATGGGAAATTATTATATGACACCTCCTGCTCTGGGCGGAGCCGAAAGTTTATTTTAGTGTTGATATATTGAGTAGAAATTTTTATATACAATAATGCAAATTTATTTTATCAGATATGCCTCGCGTGTATACCATGTTCATTAATGAATAATTTGCAAAAGGTTTGTTGATTAAATAAATAATGGAAGTAAAAGTGGATTTTATTTCAGTGACTAAATAGCTATTAAATAATCAGAAACTAGTTTTATGTAAGAATTACATAGGGGCAATAAGTAATAATGTAGAATAAATTAAAATACAAAAAAAATGGTAGTTAGCTAGAAATTATAATTTATTAGGTAGGTACCTACACAAGTGGCAGCCCTAGAGAATTTCTCTATTGGCCTTATTTTCGTCCCGATTGACCCCAATTTCTGGGTGAATAGGGATAGGCTATATTTTAGCTTTTTTATGCATAAACTGAAATGCTAATTGCATAATTTATGTTTGATCACAAAGATACCATCACGACTCAATTATTACAATCGCCTTACAGCAAATTTTCTATAAAAAAACGCCTGAACTTTCTTTATAAAGTTCAGATTTGTCCCTATTCACCCCATTTTACGGTAATAAATATAGTTGAAAACTATGTAACAACGGTTCCGATCATTTTCGATTTAAATTTTTATTCTAATAATAGTGCTTGTGATTACATCAACCCAATTCAATTTAGTCTATTGCAAAGAACCATACACTGTTTGTTTTGCGTATAAATAGTAACGTAGAGCATAGTATAGATGACCAAACCCACATCTTTATACTATCGTCGTCCTTGCTGGGCTCCTTGGTGTGCAGCACGCACTTGCCACTGTTGATGTACACCTTCACGTCCAGCTCGAAGTCTATGTTGGGCTCAGCAGTCTTCGCCTTATTCGTCTTGCCTTCAGAGCTTAGACCTTCTGATTGCTGGACGTTGCTGTCGAAAAAAGTATAGTGATTGCAAGTTTTGTCTAAATAGAATTTATTATCTCTTCTATTTGGGTGTTGTGATCAACTTGAAGCTTACTAAATTGTGCTTTCCAATTTGGCTACTAAAGTATGCAAATTATTGCAAATTTATTATATACAGAGAAGGCCAATAGTACACCAATGGCTGTTGACGATGATAATGTATGTTTTTGTTTACTATTTGCTAAGTGCAGTAACAGACATTAAGTCCAATTTTTCGATTGGCTACTAGATTAGCAGATCTGTCTAAAAAATGGCAACATGCTGGCTGAATAGAATAAGCTGAGGTATTGAACCAAAACGAGAACGTGACTGACATGTCTGGTTTCCTCCTGAGCTCGACCCCGTCCAGGTCGTCGGGCCAGTGGTCGGGCTGCGCGGGCAGCGAGCTCTGTCGCTGCACGGCGGCCGCCTGCAGGCCGCGCGGCCCGCGCGCGCCGCCCGCGCCGCCCGCCCCGCGCAGGGACGCCGAGCGGGACGGACCTGGCAATTCATTACATTTATTTTTAGTTATAGTACATATAAAACATAGTTGGAAAATCATGCAACTTCTGTCTAATTGTTAAGAGTTAAAGGGGATATTAATTCAAGTTACTAAAACGAGGACAAAAAGTCCTAGGAACTCCTAGCATGCTATGACAGTATGTCAGATCACTTAAAGTCTAGAATATTAATCTGAACCAACCAGTAAGCGGTTCGCTCTCCATAGAGCTCCAGCTGCCCCCTTCAATGATGTCGGCCAGTCTGTTGTCCTCGTCTCCTAACAGTAAGGTCTCGCCGGAGTCTCCGACACCCGGGGACATGGTCAGGTTCGGTTCTATAGCACTGAGACAAACAAATAAGTACAAATAAAACATCTATACCCTTATTAAAACTGAAAATAACTTTTTTATTAAAAACAAAAATTTTGTCGAATTAATGGTCCTATAATAATGGTCTCTAGTAATTTATACAAACATTTTTGAAGACCACATTTTTATCTTGAAATAGTGAAGAAATCTTTATAAACCTTACGTGGTCACAAGTTGCGGCAGTGCGTAAAAAATATAGTTCTCATCTCAGCGGCATATTATTCAACAGGTCTTATATCTATCAGTGGACAGAAACTAGCTGATGGTGATAAAGCCAGTACGTACCCTTCGAAGTCTTTCCTCTCCTGTGGTGGTGAGGGTACCACGAAGGACTTGCTCCTGTTGGAACCTAATCCCAATTTACCCTTCGTGATGGAACTAGCTCGTACGCTTTGACGGCGGAGCTTCTGAATCATATCTCTGTGAAAGAAAAATAATAATTGTATTGGACACTATTTTGTATAAGACCTTTTTTTTGTACCCATGTTCGCAAATGAATAAATGATTTGATTTGATTTGATTTGATTTGCGCTAATTTGCGCAACTTGCACAACAAATGCGCGCATACTTCAATAAATAAAATATATTCTTCAGTTGTAATTCCCATAAAATTAGCTCGAATATAGTCGGATAAGCGCAGATTCAATCAATAATGGTTGAGCGAGTATAAACTCAATAATATACCCTTTATTACGCAAATATCTACTACATTCAATTATGAACTGTATCTCAAACAACATACCGTCTAAAATCCTTAAATACAAGTGCCTCCAAGTCATGAAGCCTCTTCATTTCATACTCAATAGTAGTATGACTGGCTCCTAAAGTGCGAAGGTCGTTGATAATCTTGGCCTGTTCATTCATCTCTTTCTCAATGAGTTTGGACCTCTTTTTAGCGTCGATACTTGTGTCGAAGACAAATGCTGGCAGGTGGTCGGTGTACTTACGGCGGAGGATTATACTCTCCTGGTGGGTACAATGACAAAATTTTTATTATTACAAGACTGAGAACTTAAAAGAAAACGATAATAACTACTTGGGCCTTTAAAGTGTACTTCTTACCTGAGAGTCCTTACTGTTATCAGCTTCATCGTCTAGATCACTTTCGTAATCCATTTTCAGGGGATCCTCCTCTTCGTATCCTGAAGATACAAAACATAGAACATATAAGACGATTACGCTAACATTTATTACTCTTAATTACCCATGAAATATAGCAGGTAGTGACTTTACCTGTTAACATGGTGAGAGTGTGTCCTAAAGCAGACAGTTGTTTGCCGACATTGACATCCAGGTGTATGTCTACACCTTCCATTTGCCAAGACACATTTAGGAACCATTTGGCGTTTTCTGAAAGATAAAAAAGGGGTTAGGAAGAATTCCAAAATCAAATCCAAGTTCTTTTTCCGCGAGTTTTGAACAAATCACACAGTATTTACCTTTATTTTATACAAAAGCAGCTTACCATTATGTTTAGCAGCGGTAGTCCTGCTGCAGACTTCGTAAGTTCCTTCAGAGACACAGCAGACGTTGAGGCTTGGTTCATCAGCTCGAGGTTTCCAATCATCTAGTGAGGCTTCAAAGTCGTCTGCGAAGCGGAGACAGAGGCCTACGAAGCGGCCTTTGGAGACCAGAGCCCCGGAGGAACACGCCCCGATGTGTGTGGACTCCAAGGTCACTACTACAGCACCGCGAGCTTCGCCCTCCCCGCACCACGCGCCCCACGCACCACGACCTAGGCCCCAGCGAGCCTGCACAAACATGTATGTGTTATAAATAAATGCTGCGCGATTAGAGTCAGGGCTGAAAAGACCAAATGCTACACATATTAAAAAGTGTCGCAAGATCGGTTGCTACATGTAACAAAATAATATGTACTATACAAATTCTTATTACAAAAATGTAATTAGGCACAGTTTTATTTTAAGAAAATTGCACATTAAAATAAAAAGTCAGGGTACAGTACTTACCATAGGCGGTTGATTTAGCGGCAAACATATTCCAATATCATCTACATTTAGTTGCAAAAACAATGTACTCAGATGTGGTGTGGTGATCTGTGACGTCAGTTGTACCTAAAACAAACGATTACTTTATAACTCAATTTCTGTGTCGCATTTTGAGAACTTTAATTCTATCTTCAGAAAGTACTGAAACACCATTACACTATTGAAATTTAGTTTGATAATACCTATATACGCTATCATAATAGCTGGTGAATTAAAAACTACCGTATATTTAGACAAAATGAACATACCTTCTCAAAAACTTGTTGAGTAGCCGTCAAAACTTCTTTATTAAGATTGAGTCTCTTCTCATTCCAGTACTCATACGCATTCTTATAGTTTAGCCATACAAGTATAGCTTTATCTACTGCGACTGGTTGTATGTATATCAGAGGTCGTTTTAAATTGATCAGTACCACTTCTTTGTCATCGCCGCATACCATCTCGTCTTGGAAGGCGTTGCGCATCGCTGGACAAATTGCGCAAGTTATTTAAAATGTTGCGCATGTTAGCGATACTATGAAATTATCAATAATGGTCATATTTGGTGATGTTTTAAATTCAAGAGTTATGAAAAGTATGACACAAATAAATAAGTAAACATACATACATAACATCACGCCTTTTATACGCGAAGGGGTAGGCAGAGGTGCACATTATGCCACTGTACAATGTAACACCCACTTTTCACTATTTGTTATGAGTCCCATGTAATAGGGGGTGACCCTATTGCCATATACCGGGCACAATTCCAGACTCCGTGCTACTACTGAGATTTTTTTAAAACCCAGTAATACTTTGCCCGATTCTCGGAATCGAACCCGAGACCCCTTGCCCGTCAGTCGCACCTGCGACCACTCGGCCAACGAGGCAGTCTAAATAAGTAAACATGTAAATAATTGGTATACAAATGTTTAAAAGTAACTTACATATCCTAGTATTGAAGAAGGCGTACTGTTGGAACTCTGCCTCTGCTTCTTCGAACATTGCATTTCTGATTAATTGTCCTAAGCTGAGATTGACGTCAACCTGAGCTCTGGCGAACATTCGTACTTCATGTGGCTCAGTGGGTTGTTGTACGTTCTGTACACGGTTCGATATCTCGAACTCTACGGCACCCGTCTCCAGTCGCACCGCTGAGTTACTTGGAGTCGTTGCTGTTAGTTGTATACGCTAAGACAGAAGACAACATTGTTAATGATAACTTTCAACCATATGAATAAGGATGGAATAGGAAAATTCATGAGATAAAATCTATATATATAAAAGAAAGTCGTGTTAGTTACACCACTTATAACTCAAGAAAGTCAGAATAGATTTGGCTGAAAATTGGTAGGGAGGTAGCTTAGAGCCAGGAGACCGACATAGGATACTTTTTTACCAAATTTTTTTACCGAAAATCACGAACAGGGACGGGAAAAAATGGGATTACGCGTACGAAGTCGCGGGCAGAAGCTAGTATTAAATATAAATTGGTTGTGTTAGTGAGTAACATACCTTTATTCTAATAGTAAGTGAGAATAGAATCCTGCTGAGAGCTGACGTGGATGCTTCTTCTTCGTTCCACAGAGGTACTGGCTTCTCACCGCCGTACACTTTCTGAACTACCTCGTTCACTTCCTATAGAATCAAAGAAATCTATCAATGAATGTATAATAGAAAAGTAAGTTTATATTCAGATAGAGATGATTACAAATTAATTAGAATGGTGAAGAATAAAGAATAGAATTAACATTAACCTCATCATACTATCGGATTGCGACCGTGCTTAAAGCAGAACGGGCTCTCAACGAACGTACAACGAACACGCTGCGGGGGTATTTGTTGCACGTCGACAACATCTTCACTGCCATGCCAACCCACGAGTATGATAAGGCATTGTATCCAGTAGCAGATGTTCTGTAGCGGGAGTTACCTTCATGAAGACCTTCTGCACGAAGACGAGATGGTTGAGCAGGTCTGTGGAGAGCGTGTGCTCGAAGAGTCCGATGTCTGCGGAGGCGGCGACGTACCGTCCGGCGCGCAGCACGGCGCCGCCGCGGCGCGCCGCCCCGCGCTGCTCCAGCACGCGCCCCGCCACGTGCACGCCCGGCAGCCACACCGCCGCCTCCGCCGGCAGCGACGCCGCGCCCACCTCCGCCATCTGCACCCGGACGGGAGCTTACCGGAGACACAATTATCCCCCTCCCTATTCTCCCCAATACCCAATTCCCTCATGTTGCTCAAATTTCCAACTCCCAAAAGGCTGGTAACGCACTTATAACGCCTGTGGTGTTCCAAGAGTCCAATGGCGACGGCAATTACTGACCATCAGGTAATACGTCTGTTCGTTTACCAGTTTATCACATAAAAAAAAATATTAAAATAGAATTCATTGATTTTTAACATGAAAAAAATTAAAAAATCGATTAGTCTTTTGAAAATATTTTGTTTATCAAGCTTAGAATATCACTAACTAATGAACAAAAATGTACTTCCTCTTTATACTACCAGTACACACAGATGAGTATCCTAAAAGACCTTCTACTCTTATTAAAACCCACACAAAATCCCCTAAAGGCTAAACTACATACCTGTAGCTTAGTGACGAAGCTGAGCGAGTGTTGTTGCAAGTCGACAGTGAACTGCGCCTTGTTGCCGGTGACGCCAGAACTCTGTACTTGCTCCATTTTGTATTGCGCCTGCAGAGACGGCAGCAGAGCTGCTGTCACACTCAGACTCTGAGACAGAGAAAAATACATCAGTTAGAACACCATTCGTAAGCTTTGTAAGAGCTGACCACGGGGTTAAAACAGATATCAGGCAGTAACGCTATCTGATAAACCTGCACCACTTACGAAGCGTGGAGATTACAGCAAACTTTCTTATACATAGACCTCCTGGCCTACAGTCCAGCATTGGAAACTGTTGTCGAAACTGGTAAAGGTTTTCTCGACATAATATTGCCGTATCTTCAATTTTTTTATAGTGTATACATGTCATAAAAAACTTACTTGTAAAACAATAGAGAAATGTAGATGCAGTGGGTTCAGCAGAGGATGCGCAGGCGGCGGCCGGGGCACGCGAGGGGGGCGGGGGGCGGGGGCTGGGGAGCCCTCGGATGACGACCCTGACCCACCGGCCCCACCACTAGTACCCGTCGGACCAGAGGATGGACCACTGGGACCCGTCCGGGAGAGACGAGATGATGTACGGGTTACACCTAGTTCCTGTAAGAAGAAAGAAGAAGTTGTGAGTTTGAACAAATTCATAAAACAATCGTATGTTTAATTCTAATCTGATTTACTTACTCCAGGACTTACTTATCTAATTTGGCCTTGACAATTTTAAGCAAATTCGGTTGTATGTTAGTAAATGGCTTAATGTTAGACTACATTATTTAGATCTCGTGGTAGCTCCAAGCAACTATATATTACCTGCAGCGTAGAAGACAGCTGTCGACTAGAGCGCGTCATGACCCCATGCAGAGCTACGGGATGCTGGGGCAGGTCGACCCTGACTCCCCCCACGCTGAGCAGTGCGGTGGCTCCAGGCCTGCCTGCCTCCCAGCCGTACAGCGCTTGAGACTTGCCCACGCTTACACGGACCACCGTCCTAAAAACAAAGAATATATCATTAAAAATGTTATGCGCAAAAGTAACAATGTCACTAAGCTAATTGCGCAAAATCAATTATACCATTATGCAATTTGCGCAAAATATTTGCGCTAAAAGATGAGGTAATCTTTGGGTAGCTTGCATAACTAACTTTTCGGTTGAAGCTGTGGTTGGCTAACCAGCTACATAAATTAATACTTACTGATGGTTAGGAGCGACTCCTTCTAGCAGCACAATCATGGTCCTCCCCAGGTTACCAGTGAGTGACCACTGGCGTGATCGTGACGCTGATAGTGAAGCCTGGAGAGATGTTATCTCCGCTTCCAGCTTTAGACCAGATAGAGATGCCAGGAGACGAGTGCGGTGGATCCTGACAAAAATTATGAATATGATAATTTTGATCTGAATGAGTTACGAGTTGAGTCGTAGTATACCGAATAATTTGACGTATTTTCCATATGAAATATGCCAAAATAGCTTTTCAAAACTGAGTATCTATCAAATTAAAGAAAATATAAGATGTTACCTGGCGACTCCGACGACCACCATGCCCATGTTTGCTGCGCTAGAGGAGGAGTTGCTGGTGTTCTGTTCCCTCGAGCTCGGTCGTTGGGGCCGGCTGTGGCGGTACTGCTCTGGGAGGTCTGTTGTTACTGAGAACCTGCATCAGGTATAATAAATACTTAGTAACACCATAACTTCGTTACACGACAAGTAAAATTTACTACACTTCCAAAAGATGTTCAATACATACCTGTGCGTAATAGTCTCTGCATCAGGCATATTAGCGTACAGATCTAGCAGTAAGTATACAGTCCTCCAGCAGCGCGGCGCCAGCTTGCCATCCGCCGCGTCCGCTGAGGGGGAACTAAGCTCGGGGGGGACACCCCCGCCCGGACTGGGGGCCGCGCTGGGGGGCACGCCGGGGCCCGGGCTGCCTGCACCCAGGGAACTACGGGTCGCCGCGTACATCGGCGTGTGGGCGCCTTCGTTTAGTGAGCTGTAGCCTGCATACAAATACACAGTCAATAATATGAAGTTGGTTACAGTTAGACACACTCTTAGAGTTAGTCTTGATCTCTAGATCTTACTGCTATATCTTACGAGACTAGCTATGCAGCGTCGATGGGATTCATGCTCACCAGGTGGCACTTGTACGGAACTCTCGTCTTTTCTTCCAATAGAGAATTAGCCAGTGTCAGGCTATTAAACGTTCAATTTATAACAATTACAGTGATTGGAAAAACTGACCTCTTGCTAGATTAGTGACATCGGATGAGTAAAAACGGTGGCCTTTGTTGCCACAACACATTTTTACAAATCGAGTATTTAAAATCCATCATCATCATCAACAGCCTTAAAATGCCCACTGCTGAGCAAAGCCTCTTCTCACACAGAGAAGGTTTGAACAATTATTACCACGCTTGCTCAAAGCGGGTTGTTGATTACAAACTTATAATTAGAAATAATAAGCTCAGGTTTCGTCACGATGTTTTCCTTCACCGTCCGTGGTGTCTAGATAATATTAGAAAGTACATATAACTCGAAAAAAATCACATCAACATAATTAGACACAAGCAAATCGTCCTTAAATAATAACTCACCAAGTTTTCCTTTAACACTCTTGCCGGTAGATCTAAGTTTCTGCGCAAAGGACTGTGGTCGTGGCCTAGTCGGCTGAGCCAGTTTCTGTTGGCTGAGGGACTGCGGCACTGCTGCAGCCAGCTCGGGAGTCAGGGTGGGAGCCATCAGGTCCCACTTCGGTTCTAGAGTCGCGTATTGAACCTCTTTTTCTAGAGAGGATACGCTTACTAGGTTTTCTCTGAAGTCAGATACTGGAAGAAAAAAAAATAACATAACATAACATCACGCCTTTTATCCTAAAAGGGGTAGGCAGAGGTGCACATTATGCCACTGTACAATGTAACACCCACTTTTCACTATTTATGTTATGAGTCCCATGTAATAGGGGTGAGCCTATTACCATATACCGGGCACAATTCCAGACTCCGTGCTACTACTGAGATTTTTAAAAAACTCAGTAATACTTTGCCCGACCCGGGAATCGAACCCGAGGCCCGGCAGTCGCACTTGCGACCACTCGGCCAACGAAGCAAGAAAAAAAATGTAATCATTTAAATATTATCTCTTAAACATTTAACCTTTTTTTTATTTATAAAAATTTCAAGCTTTACCAGAGGAGGAGGTGTGTTTATTCTGTCGATGAGATATCTTGGTCTGTGTCCGCAGTTCTATCTGCGTGTCCTTCACGTTCTGGTACATGTTGCTGATCTGATGCAGCAGGCGGAGGAGTGGCATGTTCACCTGCACACAGGTTATGAGTAGAAGATAAGTACTTGAGATATGACAGAATAACCTTTATGTATTTTTAGATTTATCCTGGTAAAAAATCAATAAATCAAAAGAACAAAAATTTAGACAGCGCCGTTATATTTTGCTTAGCTGGTTTTATATCTACACTAGCTTCTGCCCGCGACTTCGTAAGCGTACCATCCCATTTTTTCCCGTCCCCGTTCGTGATTTTCGGTAAAAAGTAAAAAAAAATATTGGTTAAAAAGTATCCTATGTCGGTCTCCTGGCTCTAAGCTACCTCCCTACCAATTTTCAGCCAAATCTATTCTGCCGTTCTGGAGTTATAAGTGGTGTAACTAACACGACTTTCTTTTATATTTATATATATAGATTTGACTTACCTGTTGCGATATAAACCGTATACTGATGTTGAAGTTGAGCATAGTACTGATATGCTTCTTGAGCTGTCCCCTAGAGATATACAGGACATTCTGTCGCTGTATGAGGTCGTCCACTGCCACGTCTGCCACCTTCTTCAGATCCACGTCGATGGAGACCTTCTCGCAGAGGAACGCTGGAGTCTCTGATTGAATCGCGCCGTGACTTTGCGGACCTGGATAAAGTATCATTAATGAAATGAAATGAAATCGTTTATTTGTAAACATAGGTTATATAAAGTTGTTTCAATGATTGACATACAGTGCAATACAGCGAGTCTGTCTATGTTTTGCCTTGAAGCATACAAATTCATATAGGTTAAGTGAGTGCAATTAGATTTTTAATCATTTGACAACGGATTTCAGTAATACAATAATATTTTTTGATTATTAAAGTCACGAGGATCTCTCGTAGACAAAGATCAAAGCAATAGGTATCAATAGGCAACTTTGAAGATAAACTTACTCTTCCCCTTCCCAGCATGTCGCCGGTCCCTCGCAGCGAGGTCGCTGACGACTATGTCGATGCGGAACATATCCATCCAGGCTACCAATGATAGCTTCGATCCCAGTGAGTCTAAAGCGGGGGGACCTGAGTTCACTCCCTCTCCTGAACCACTCTTGTTCTTAGATTCTCCTGGAGAAAATATAAATAATAATACTCTATAGTTTAACAGTTCAAGTTTCGTATTATATACATTTTGAATACTGTAAGAAAAGAAACGATACTTTTTAACAAATTATTTAACACAAACGTCAGTAAAAACTACACTATTGTAACTTATTGTCTCATGAAAAAAGGAGGTAATTCCTTCGAGTAGAAAATAAAATCCAATTATAAGTTAGATAATTAAGGATTGACTATAAAACTTCATGATCACGATGCGCTTAGGTAGCAGTTAGATATATTGCACCACACAGCTGCGCCTGTGAATACTACTGGACGCATTATATTCAGTCGTACATAAATAATGGTCCCGTATAGTTGTTTCTGTACTTCTCCTCACACATACCCTAAGACATTGAATTAGAACACGTGCTAAATAGTGGTAACTTAAACAAACCTAAAATATCATTTTGGTTTTGATTCAATAATGCTTGTAAATGACTATTACTAAACCAGACGTACCTTGAGTAACTTGATGCGGCGAGACTCCAAGCGCAGCGAGGAAGGGTTGGAAGACAAGATGGGCGTCCAGCAACATCAGGGACCCCTGCAGCGGGTACAGGCTGCAGGCAGGCATGGCGGCCGCCACCGCGCGGGGGTTCATCTTCGAAGGAGGAATTATTGGCTTCTTGCTCTTTGGCTCCTGTTAGTACATGACCGTGTTAGACTCTATACGTGACGTGTTTAGTGCGTGCTGATGAGACGAGCCAATCATGCTACGTGTACATAGAACGCTAGTGTTGTTTAGTTGCGTGCTCATTGTTCTATGCGGTGTGTGGTTATAACACTATGTTAATGATAATTTACTGTCACTGTATATAACAGTGCAGTTCGAAATAAATGAATGAATATTAGAAAAGCTTCATCAATGTTTTGACAGACCATTTAAAACATCATATCTATAAAACCAAAAATGAAAACAAAACATAAGCCTCGTGAAGTAACAAAGACTTGAGTCAAGTTACCACAAGATTTTACACCTTATTTCAACGGCGATAAGATATTGACTTTGCCTCAAGTCTTGCAATCAGTATAATTTTACATTTTTATTATAACTTACCACTTTAATAGGTTCTTGTTTGGCCATCCACTGGTACAGGTCTTCTCTGGCGCGATCATTCTTGATGTTTTCATCGCTGCCGTGCGGCGAGTATAGTGATGGGTTAGACCCTACTGTAGGCAGGTCTTCTTTCAAAGTTCCGTAGTCTACTATAGTTGGGAGTAAGAGGAGGGAAATTAGCTGTGGTACATTACAATTCTGAGCTATTTGTTTCATTACAACAAGTAATGATACTTTAATTTAATTGAATTAAACTATATAAGGTGCTCTATAATTATTAGCCACGGCTTTAATGGGAGGTAGTGTTATGTTTACAGATTACAATTGTGAAGAAATTTCGTGCCCCGGACCAGTTAATTACATACAGTAATTAAGTAAACATTGACTACATTCTGCATAATGTGGTTCACAAATTACGCGCGATGCGTCGCTTAGTCAATGAAAACAATTGCTATCTCTTTCCACGTGTACTGAGAATGAAAACGGAAATCAGCTGACTAGTTCGTCACTATCTAATCTACTAGATACTCAATAGGCAGGCTAACAAGGGTTTTAAAAGTGCAATTACTTACCAGGTACGGCATTCTTCCGAAAAGCTGATGTAGGTAAATAAGATTATAAAATTCCCATCACACTTAAAACAGTTTTTTACACACTTTTACAGTTATTTACACACTCTCTACCTACTTATCTACAAAACTGTTGCACAAGTCCACCTTCGCGTTGCACACAAATGAAGGCACGCTTCCAAACATCTCATATCACATTATTTAACGTGTCAGTTTCACTTTTACTTTGTTTCGCGTTTGATTTAAAAGACGCCACAAGTTATTGTCTCTATCATCGTAAACTCCGGCGGTATCCCTTGTGCTCGCAAGAAGATGACACCGAAAGAACTCTAACACTTCCTCTTCGAGTTCTGATTTGAATTTCGTCGCCTGGGAGTCATTTTTACGTAGCGCGCGCGTATCTCCGACATTGAAACTAACGTCCGGGCAGGCAGGGGTTGACGGGGCTACTGGCGGCCGGGCGGCGCGTGCGACGAGTTCTGCTGGGGTGTGTTGTCTCGTTCTTGAACGCCCCGTCATACGCTGTTGCCATCCTTATCAGACCGCTCGGCGCCGGGCGGCTAGGAGCACGCTGCACACCCCCGCGCGCCCGCACCTTCTCCTGCACTCGTCGCACGCGCTGGTCAACCGGCCGCCGGGCAGGCGGGGGTTGAGCTACTGATAAGGATGGCAACAGCGTATGACGGGCGTTCAAGAACGAGACAGCACACCCCAGCCAGCAGAACTCGTCGCACGCGCCGCCCGGCCGCCAGTAGCCCCTTCAACCCCTGCCTGCCCGGACATTAGTTTCAATGTCGGAGATACGCGCGCGCTATTTAAAAATGACTCCCAGGCGACGAAATTCAAATCAGAACTCGAAGAGGAAGTGTTAGAGTTCTTTCGGTGTCATCTTCTTGCGAGCACAAGGGATACCGCCGGAGTTTACGATGATAGAGACAATAACTTGTGGCGTCTTTTAAATCAAACGCGAAACAAAGTAAAAGTGAAACTGACACGTTAAATAATGTGATATGAGATGTTTGGAAGCGTGCCTTCATTTGTGTGCAACGCGAAGGTGGACTTGTGCAACAGTTTTGTAGATAAGTAGGTAGAGAGTGTGTAAATAACTGTAAAAGTGTGTAAAAAACTGTTTTAAGTGTGATGGGAATTTTATAATCTTATTTACCTACATCAGCTTTTCGGAAGAATGCCGTACCTGGTAAGTAATTGCACTTTTAAAACCCTTGTTAGCCTGCCTATTGAGTATCTAGTAGATTAGATAGTGACGAACTAGTCAGCTGATTTCCGTTTTCATTCTCAGTACACGTGGAAAGAGATAGCAATTGTTTTCATTGACTAAGCGACGCATCGCGCGTAATTTGTGAACCACATTATGCAGAATGTAGTCAATGTTTACTTAATTACTGTATGTAATTAACTGGTCCGGGGCACGAAATTTCTTCACAATTGTAATCTGTAAACATAACACTACCTCCCATTAAAGCCGTGGCTAATATTATAGAGCACCTTATATAAATTAGATTCTGTAATGTACTAGTTGGATCTGATCTTCCTTTTTATTCGTTTAATAATATAATATAGTATGTATGTAGTTGTATGTACTAGAAATGAAATGTAATTTTTTTTAACATTCATCATCATTATCATCATCAGCATCAGCATCCGGAAGACACGCACTGCTGGATAAAGGCCTCCCCGTTAGTCCTCCACGTCGAAAACTCAATCACAAAATATTTGTCGACGTCAAAGTCTCTTCATTCTTTGATACTATTACAAATTACTCACATATTTTCTTCCAACAACATATATCGATTGTTTTCTATAACATATCACAAAAAACTCAGGAACAAAACTAGCAATGTATCTACTCACTAGCGATGGCGTCGTCATTGAAGACTGGTTTCCTGGTGGAGAATGGCAGTGAAGGGAACACGAGGCTCGCTCGACTGCTTTGGGCTCCCCGCACTGTTCGGGACACGGGATTAGCACATCACTAGTGTGGGCGGGGCGTTAAGTGATACAGGGTGGTGCAAGAATGTGAAAAGTGCTTATGATGATTAGAAAATATTGCTTAAAGATGCTATCGTTACAAAGGACTGTTTGTTTTGTAAATTAGATTTTAACTTGTTGTTATTTTTGTTGTTGTTTTTTCGAAAAAATAAAAGCTGTTAAAAGATTAGACAAGTTTACATCAACAACTGCTTTTTCATTGCAATAATCATTATCTTCATTGTATTATTTGAGTATGTTATTTATATTGAAAACCTAAGTTTTTAATTTCTTTATAATGATAGCATCTTCATCTTCATGAGCTCTAAAGATGAAGAGGAGATTATTCGATAACGTTTTTTATATTTAATGACACAATAACATAAACCAAACTCTTTAACATTGACATGCGAAGAACGAGAATAATATATTTTGATGTAAGTTGATATCGTAGACAGAGTCAACTGTCTTTCATAGATTGTAATCAGAAGTTACACAAAGGAGATCGGCAAATCATAAACAAAAATGAACTACTATGTGTTTTCAAGGACTAATATTAGTACTCAACCCTGTGTAACTTTTTTGTTAGAACTCGGGCGATTCCAAATATTTCAGTTAGTAAGAGAGTAGTAAGTTAGATAAATTAATTCAACATTCTGTAAGTAGACTGCCTCATTGGTCGAGTGGTCGCAAGTACGACTGCCGGGCAAGAGGTCTCGATACTCGGGTCGGGCAAACACATACCGGGATTTAAAAAAAATCTCAGTAGTTGCTTGGTATATGGCAATAGGCTCACCCCCTATTACATGGGACTCATAACATAATAGTGAAAAGTGGGTGTTACATTGTACAGTGGCATTAATTGCCCCTTCCTACCCCATCGGGGATAAAAGGCGTGATTATTATGTTTTCGGCTTACTCACGTAACAATTTGACGAGGAACCCGACTAGTTTCAAGCCATGCTAGAGGCTCATATTCATGGCTTGAAACTAGTCGAATTCGAATTCATCGTCAAATAATTACGTGAGTAAGCCGAAAACATAATAATTTATTTAATATGTCTCAAGAAAGTTACAATACAAAAAAGCGTGATATTGTGTAATGCACTTCTGTAAGTTTCACCTCACTTTAAAATCCCTAAAACTCATAAATCTGCCATAAGAGCGTAATAAATGTTAGAAGAATTTCTCGACTACTAACTGAAATATTTGGAATCCCCCGAGTTCTGTCAAAAAACTAATTACACAGGGTTGAATACTAATATTAGTCCTTGAGAACCCACAGTTCATCATCTTTGTCTGTCAGGCCTGGATTAACTATGGGAATTTGCCGGTCTCCATTTAGGCACTACACATTCGTAGCAATTTTACTAAACAAATTGGTTTCTAAGATAATCTCAACAATGAATATATTACATAAAACGCTACAGTAAATCTGTTAAATAAGTATTATATTATTTTATTAACCGAATGCAAATAAACTTAGTGCACAATGCGCAATAAATTATAATAGGAAAAGTATGGTAAATAGCGTGAGAATAAACATTAATATTATAAACTATTTCAAAACATGGTAAGTGAGTGGACATGGTTTTATTTTTTTTTACATTTTTAGGCAAAGTTATTTCAGTTTATTACTCGGCTTTAAAAAAAAAGAAGGAGGTCTTCTAAGTTTAACCTGTATAGATGTATGTATGCATTTTGTGCGCTATAATCTCGTGCTTGGCTGAATCGATTTAGATGTGGTATTCAGAAAAATGTTTGTTACAATTAAGAGAAGGTAAATGTATGTATATATATAAATATATACATACATTTACCTTCTCTCCTCTGCACTGTTGTTGTTATCAACCAACTTCAAAAAAGAGGGGTTGAATTCAGTTTATAAAATGTAGTTTATAAAAGAATTATTAAAATGTTAAACTCAATAGGAGCAAATCTTGCGCTCACTAGCGCTAGATTTGCCCACAACAACCTTTCTGCCTACAATAAAAAAAAAAATATAAACTGCTTTAAAACAAGCATAATTGACAATATTATGATAACATTATAAATTAAGTTTACACATAAACCCTTGCACTCAGTAATTGTTAATCAAATCCAAACAGTCCATTAAACTTTAATTAAAATATTCTTTTAAGTACTTTATATGAATTAATACGAGGAAAACTGAAACCAAGCTTATCACCAACTCATGTTTTGATAAGGATATGTGGCATTCAACAATAGCTTTGTGTAATTAATTACATAGTATAAGCTATTACACCAAGATTACAATCAGATATACTGCACACCTAATTGAAACAGCATTGCTTGAAGCAGTGATTAATATAAATAGCAATAAGTGTTAAATAATAATAATAATTACGTATATTAAGCGTGGCGGCATCCAATTGTTTTTATTATACTGGGACATACTGAATTACTTAACTAAAAATCGCGGGTTACTCATGTAAATAGACTTTTTTTTAATGGGGAAAATCATCGAATGACTGCTCCCGCCTGGGAGTGTCAGACTCTTATTGACTAAAAACCACCCCGTTCCTTCTCCTGCGCTTCGATCCGGAGCCCCGGTTACCCGTTAGGTTCTTCGCAACTCCGAATCGACGTAAATAGACTGAGAAAACTAGTCACAGAATGACTCTTCCTCATAAGCAACGTGCGCGGTCGCTACGATGTCGCGCAGCCTACTTTGATTGAAGAGTCCCTCTTAATCCCTTATTTACGTGATTAACTCGTGGTTTTTAGTTAATTCGGAATCCCATTCTTATAGTAAATATTCTCATAAGCGCATAAATATTCCGTAAATTAATATTATTACGTATAATAAAAGCATAAACATAGAGAGGAGAACACAACCAAAATACATAGATAGGTAACGAACATAATTAGTTTTGGGAATTATAGTGTTAGGAAGTCAGGTATTTGTGACTGAGGTGTTTCGAATATTCAAACGATACTTTTTGGTTGTAAAGGGTTTTTTTCAAAATTACTTAATTACTTATGTAATAATTCATTTTAGGTTCTCAATTATCCAGTTCATTTTTTTTTCTGTAAAATTAAAGTAGCTCAATACACTAGAAGAAACCAGTTACAAAATCTGGGAAGTCAAGGGTACAGTAGATAGAGGTACTAATTAAGAGTGAGAGAGCCATACTTCGGCACGTATGGGCCGGCTCGACCGGACTGATACCACGGCCGAGATGAAAACCGAAGTGAAATAACACTTGCGTTGTGTTTCGTCGTGTGGGTGAGGTTCCGAGACCCAATCTCTCCAATCCCCGAATCCCCAACGATCCTCAAATTACTTATCCCCGAAAGGCCAGTAACACCCGGTGGTTGCGAGTGTCCATGGGTGGCGGCGATAGCTTACCATCAGATGATCTTTCTGCTCGTTTACCGGTTGATACCATAAAAAAGAACGAAGTATGTTTTGCCAATAACGCGAAGGTTTTTTTTTTAAAAGGGGGGAAAATCATCTAATGGCTGCTCCCGCCTGGGTGAGGCGGAAGGGAGTGTCAGACTCTTACTGACTAAAAACCATCCCGTTCCTTCTCCTGCACGTCGAGCCGGAGCCCCGGTTACCCGTTAGGTTCTCCGCGACTCCGAATAACGCGAAGGTTAAAGTAACGTCTAAATATCCGATTCAAAACAGTACAAATGAGGAAGATTGTCATCTAAAATTAACCAATAAGGATGAAACATCAAGTAACAGAAGGAAGGGTCACACGAGTTACATTCACTCCATGCTGTCAACGACGAACAGACAAACAGACAAGACAACAAACGCATAACGCTGTGAAGTCGTTTGTATTTCAGTTACTGTACAATAGAAATAACACCTTATTTGGTGGAGAGTAAGGTATTGTTTTGATTCACTGATTTGTTTGGCCATAGTTAATCTAATTAACGTATAAGACGAACCAAAATGGCCTTCTTTTGTAAGAATATTTTCATCTTGAATTTATGTTAATCATTTTGAAATAATAATATAACAAACGACCTCTATTTATGGGACTTGTCGACCATATCATATTAAGTACTAACAGATACAAATTAAACTCCAACATTACTCAACAAATTGGATTAAAACCAATTAAGAGTAACATTTGAGCCTCGCAGACAAGAGATTATTCAAACAAAATGGAACCTTATTGCTCAGTATTGTTTAATGGATAAGCAACTTTATTTTGAAAGTAATAAGGTCGACAAGTCCTAAGCAGCAGCGAGTGTGAGTGTACGAACCGGAGGGCGGCGTGGAGGGGAAGGAGTGCGGGCGCGGGCTAGCCGCCGCGCCGCCCGCTTCACCCATACAGGAACGTCATTAGTGGACTTATATATTGTACGATATACTCTATATACTATGCATATATAGCTTTGGTTAGTGTATCTTTTGTTTTACGGATTATAATCATTGAAGATCGTGGTTATGAGCCCCGATTGTGGCTCTAAACTAGTCGAGAATTTTACCACCTTACGGGACATGAATACAAATTCCTAGTTTTCGGTCAGTAATAGATTTAGCAATTAAATTTTATTTCTCAAGACTTATTTATTTGGCAATCAATCAGAACAGTTAACTGCGCAACACTATCGAAACTTGACGATGAATTCGTGTGAATAAGGTAAAAAAGTTTGAAAACAATTATAATCCGTAAAACCTTTCAACTCGATCATTTAAATAATAATAAAAATACATAATATATTTCAAAATTAAATTGCAAAGTACTGTGAATTTAGCTATATTTATACTTCACTGTGATAATAAATTAAATAAATTGAAATCTAAAAAAAATCTTTGTAAAAAAGCAATAAGTTCTATATTTGCTTAATTTCCTATCAGATCAAACTTCAAAGATCCGTTTTATACAGTACTTATCAACTACAAATCAACCCTTCTTTGAAATTACCTTAACGTCTTGAACTTAAGGTGTATTTTACTGTGTATTTAAATTAATAAATGTAATTTAATATTGAAATACAGGGTGAACTCACCAGGAACGTTGGCTTTATCGACGTCCATGTTGAGTAGGAGACAGTTCTCATCCAACGCTTCAGTCTCCAGAGGATATTCTTGCCATCCTTCGACTGAGTCCTGAAATAAGTATCATTGGCAATCGTTTTAGATTTAAAATATTAATAACTTCAATGCTTCTAATTGTATTTGTACAAGAATCCTTTCTCCATAGTGTGGTTACAAGCGCGATTGCGGTGTTCAAAACCCAATTTCGGTTGCAGACACGAGTATTTTCAATTTTCGATTCCGATTTCTCAGTCATATTGTCGAAATGTGGTTTTTGGTAGGTAGTAAGATCTCCCATTATAACAGCATCTTTATATATATAATTCTTCTGTGAGTGTGTATGTCACTGAACTTCTCTCAAACGACTGGACCGATTTTGATGAAATTTTTTGTGTGTGTTTAAGGGGATCTGGGAATGGTTTAGATTCACAAATCAGCCCGGCAGATGGCGCTGCAGTCGTTGTTTAGGTTATTCATCCTAAACAGCTGAACTAATTTGAATGAATTTTTGTTTATACATTCAAGTGGATATGCAGGACAACGTCTGTTGTGTCCGCTAGTCTATCTAAATAAAAATGAAATTCCGTTCGTTAGTCTCGCTAAAACTGGTGAACGACTGAACAGATTTGACTAATTTTGGTCTTGCAACGTTCGTCGAAGTTCAGGGAAGGGAATTTTAAGGCGGTACGAAGTTTGCCAGGTGAACTAGTAACTAATTCCATAACTGTTGAAAATTGGGTGCCTATTATTAAACTTCTTTATACTTAAGAAGCGCAAAATTATATTTACAAGTTGACAATTTACATACAAACATAGTTGATGACACGTTACTCACAATTTCAAATAAACTACTGAAAGATTTGAAGTAACCGATGCCAAGTCTAAACTACTAGCAAAATGACGATGAAATAATGACAACAATTAGTTAATACAACTTTCTAAATGAACTGGACCCCATCCAACACAAAGCTATGTGACGCAAAGCAGTAGACCCCGCATGACCCATGACAGACCCCGGATAGACCCCAGCCCCTCACCTCTAGTAGATCAGGTAAAGCGAAGGTAACATTAAGTGGCTTCATCACTTTGCTCTTATAGTTATGTTCCAGTAACAACGGCGTGTACAGGATGTTCTTCCATTGGCGACTCAGCACTATTACACCCTGGAAGGAAACGACAATTAGTTTGATCATAATATCACGCCTTTTATCCCCGAAGGGGTAGGCAGAAGTGCACATTACGGCACTTAATGCCACTGTAAAATGTAACACCCACTTTTCACTATTTATGAAATGAGTGCCATGTAATAGGGGGTGAGCCTATTGCCATATACAGGGCACAATTCCAGAATCCGTGCTACCACTGAGATTTAAAAAAAAACACAGTAATACATTGCCTTACCCGGGAATCGAACCCGAGACCAATTGCCTAGTGGCACTTGCGACCAATCGGCCAACGGCAGTCTATTCATAACATGAGGTAGTTTAATCATAACAAGGTAATCTGAATATTTATCATGTATTCAAACATAAAAGATCAGTTCAATTTTAGATAAAAATAAATTACCTATAATGTACTTGCATAGACAGCTCATAAAATAATTTTAAAGCAAAGGTGTTACTCTATATAACATTTGTTTTTGATTTACTGACAATTATTCAATATTTTTTAATATCAACAAAACATAAACACATTGATTACTCTGAATAACTTCAAACATAACATCATAACATCACGCCTTTTATCCCCGAAGGAGTAGGCAGAGGTGCACACAGAGGTAACACCCACTTTTCACTATTTATGTTATGAGTCCCATGTAATAGGGGGTGAGCCTATTGCCATATACCGGGCACATTTCCAGACTCCGTGCTACTCTGAGATTTTTATTAAAGCCCAGTAATACTTTACCCGACCCGGGAATCGAACCCGAGACCCCTTGCCCGGTAGTCGCACTTGCGACCACTCGGCCAACGAGGCAGTAACTTCAAACAAAAGCTTATTATCATTTTATACCTGTCTCAAGGTAGACAGCGAGGGTAGATGTCGTTCAGCCAGGTCGGCCTGCACCGCGGCCGCGTCGGCCTGCAGCGCGTACCGCAGCAGGACGGCGCAGAGCTGCAGGGACGGCTCCTCGCGCAACTGTTTGGCCATCGGCGTGTGGCGGCCGTAGCGACTCTGGTAAGTGTGTTACAATATTAGCAAATTATATTTTGTGACAGATTAACCAGTGTGGGAGAGCCATGGTTCGGCACGAATGGGTCGGCTCGACCGGAGTGATACCACGGCCTCACAGAAAACCGACGTGAAGCAACGCTTGCGTTTTGTGTCGTCGTGTGAGTGAGGTTACCGGAGGCCCAATTACCCTCTCTTTCCCCAATCTCCCTAATCCCTGAATCCCCAACGATCCTCAAAGTCCTAATCCCCAAAAGGCCGGTAACGCACTTGTAACGCCTCTGGTGTTCGAGGTATCCATGAGCGACGCCGACTGCTTACCATCAGGTGATCCGTCTGTTCGTTTACCGGCTTATGCCATAAAAAAACACCATTTAAGGGTCTTAAATCTTGGTGGTTCAGAAGTATAAGAAATAATGAAGAGACTCAAGAACGTAGAAGTTTACGATAAAAGAGAATGCATTGGCCACTAATATTTTTGATAGTTGCCACACATTACCTATATATGAAATTAATAACTTAATATTAAAGAAAAGATATCACTGATCATAGCGACAACAACCTTAATAACAAACCTTGGGCAGTGTATGATGGGGAGCAAGGTCCAGTGCCGCAGCCATGAGACTGGCCGCCGTGGCAGTCAGGCGCCGGGCGTACGCGCGGTACAGGGCCACCACGCGGATGCCCAGCCGGTTGCACGGGTTCATCCACGCGTTGATGGCTGGGGACGCTGTGCTTAACAGGTTCCAGTCCAGTCTGGAATTAAATTGATTATTAGTGTTTGGTTAGGTAAAGTATAATTAAATTTTTATTTCAAAATTTATAAAGAGGTAAGTGTGGAAATGTGCTAGGAATCGATTTGCGCACCGACAACTATGAAGTTTCTCAAAATACCGTCCGCAAATTAAGCAAGAAAGCGTTCAAGGGAATTTGTAGATACAAATAATAATAATTCGTGCAATTTAGACAAAGGATGGATTAGCAGATGTACTCTACCGTGTATAGTCAATCTTCTTCGTGATAGGAGTCCTCGGTGGAGCGGCGAAATTAAACCAAACCACTTTCAAGTCGATAGCACACGATGAAGTATTCCCATTGTCCTTGAGAGGCACCACAGTAGCTGTGCTGTCGTTGTTTGAGGGTTCATCAGGCCCTGGAGTTGAAGGTTCGGGAGGAGGTGGAACTGGAGGCGGTTGGGCAGTTCCAAGGTTAGGAGTGCTAGGCTTAGAACTAGAATCCCTCTTTCTGAACAGATCTTCAATCCCTGAGGTCCTGCTTTTTGTACTCCTGTCTTTATCAGGTTTCGACTCTTCAGCAGACTTGACAGACTCTCGACAGCTCTCGTTGTCTGGTCGCAGTGGCTTCTTCTCCTCAGCTTGCGCCTGTGGCTTGTGTGATTGCGAGTGTTTCGACACTTTTATCGAGATGCCTTCTAGACCACATTCGAACATGATGAAGCCTATAGGATTATCTTTCTGACCCTCAGCTGCAGTTCCATTTTGGCAACACTGAGAAAATACAACAGTTTCATTATTGAACCTTAATATTACAAATTCAAGATTCAAATTGTAGTGAGTAGTGACTTACCATGGACTCGCATCCTTTAGCACAGGAGTCAACTCGAATGAATTTAAAGGACACTTTGGAATGTTGGCACGGTATGCCAGTGATCGTTACGTCTTTTAGTTGCGAAGATTCGTTGCGGATGCGGCGAAGTTGACCGTGGACTTTGCCTACAAACACAAAGCGGTTAATATATTAAATATGAAATTATCCTAGATTATTATGAAAAATTATTTCTGCGTCTACTTACCAACATTCAAAGTAATAGTGGTATCTTCACACTGCTGCTGTGAAGCCTCAATATAAACTGGCTCGCCTCTCTCTGGCCCCCGTCTCTTTCCAGAAGTCTGTGCGGATATCAACGCACGAGGTCCCTTCATTATACCAAAGGACTTCTTGCTTCCCAAAGCCCTTAGAGTCGGTCTGTAGTACAACTGCACAGACTCCAGGTTCTTCCTCGTACTGACATATTTCGCGATAATGTTCTCAACAGATACTCCAAACAATGAAACACAGGTCAAGTCTTGTATGTTGTCTAAAGCTGAGAAGGATATCATGTCCTCCACCACCGAAGACTGTATGAATATCATGTTTACCTTCGGAATAGTCACCGTCGCTTGTAACGACTCACAAATGCTCTCTTCATACACATTGGAATGAGGTATCGTTGCCAATTTGCATTTGTCGTCCTTATCTGATACCAAGTTCGACTGGCTGCGGTCCTGCATCTGTGGGAGCCAATTCTGGACATACTGCTTTTGTTTCAGCACGTTAGCACTGGACACAGTTGATATGCAAAGCAGACGCAAGTGGTTTATCACAGTTATAGGATGTATATTCGCTAACACTGGTGTGAGAGACTCGACGAATTTTTGCGTACTTTCCAGGACTAGAGGTGTCAACATGATATCGATCTCACCTCGAAGTTTCACAAACAAACCGCTCTTGGAGTCGCTTGTCGTAGTGACTGTTGACGTAGTACTCTTCTCCGTCGTGTTCTCTTGACTGTCTTGCACAGTTTGCTGCACGTCCCACCATCCTTGTGGATAAGGATGTGCTTTCACTTGCGAATTAAAATGTGGGGGCAAGTTAGAGTATGGTCCATGCTGATTTTGATTATTATGATCTTTCTTTGATACCAATCTGAGGATGTTAATTTTTCCAAGCGGTTCAAAACTTGGTAGATATTTTTGTCCGACGTATACCAAAGTGCCGTCATCAGCCCTTTTAAATAAAGGCAACGTGAACACATCACTCCCACTAGGTAAGGAGCACGTGCCCCAGTTGGAACACTTGTATTGAGGCAAGTTATGCATGTAACTGGCCATTAGGAGAGGAGAATCTACTATGGGCTTGTTTGTCTGCATGTGAAGATTGACCAGCGTCATATCTTCTTGTGAAGAGATTGCGGAAATGAAGGATGTTGATGATACAGACCCACTTTCAGAGTCTGGTTGGACGCCAGTGCTCAAATTGCTTATCGTATCTGGAATGTCTACTGGCTCCGATTTAGGCGCGGACCACTTTTCGTTAGATATGTCGTTGATGCCGAACGAACTTTTATCTCTGGGATTACTGTGACGACTGCCAAATGAATGCTTCAAACTTGAGGATCGACTTGGGAACATGTCCTCATCAGCGGAGAAGAAAGCTTCGGAATGATTCTCGCTTGTTATAGACATAGTTCTCTGCACTTCTTGAGGTAGTGTATCTTCGGGTGGTACTTGCGAATTCAAGGAGTAGTGTGACTCCGACACTGCTACATTTCTCATTGGTACTTTTGGTACTGCAAACGTTTCACCTTCTGTCGGAACTGGTTTCTTGGCGTCTTTGACTCCACAACTGAGTGCCAACTTAGAATCAGAGACACTACTCTCCATCTGAGGAACGTTCAATATACTCTTGTTGAGTTTTGAATCGCTGTCAATCTTAGTGCTACCCAGTGGCACGGAGGAATCCACTAAGCGAGCGTAAGGAACATCACTTTTCGTGCTGGAGACCAAAAGGTTGTTGCTTCCTTTGCTCATACTTGTGTATGAGAACCTTCTAGTAAGGCTGCGACGTTCAGTACTTTGAGGAGACTTATTCAAGCTCTGTGGCAGTGGCGATGGTATTAATGTTGCCACGTTGGTTGGCTGGAGGCAGACGTTTAAACTATTATACGGTGGAGTATGGAACACAAGCTGTCCAGAGTGTAACAAGCTCTGTCCGTATCCGTACTCTCCTGGCGTCGTTTCTATGATATTAAACATGGCCACATTAATGCCGTCGTTGAGGTCGTTGGGATTTGGTTTCAAGAAGTTAGGTCCATTTCTATTGGAACCAAAGAACGCGCAGCCACCGGTACAACCACATTGTGAGCTCTTTCCATCAACAGGCCATAAGAACCAAAGCCTTTTTGTTTTATCATCGTGTAATTTTAAGAACTTCTGTTGAACTAAGTGGAGATTTTTTGGTGTCTGTGGCAGTGACGAGGCGGCTTCTATCAACAGAGGACCTAAAGCAACCGAACCAACTCCAACCCAATTGTCACTTTCGGGAGGTTTGTTTTGGCTATTGTTGCTTCCGTTAGAATGATGATGAGTATTTGTTTGCATGTTAGTTTGTGTGTAGAGAGCTAATTTTATATTTGGCAATAAACCAGTAACCCCAGTGCCGAAACCGGAGCCGTGTAAATTACAAAAGCTGAGTCTGACTGGTGATATCCATGTCTGTAGTGTGGTGTTCGAATCTGCGATGTAAATGTCAATGAGATCAATCGCAACTCGTATCATCTTGTATTTTATTTCGTTCGCCGTTGGGCATCTGTATTTTAAAGTGAGGTCTGTTTCCTGACACATCACATTGTTCACTCCGTGGTGGCATTGTTTAGCTGGGTTAGGCGGAACTAATTCGTTTTCGCTATCACAAATGAGTAGCAAGAATGTTTCTAAGGAAGATATGATTTGGTACAATTGGGGCAAAGTGAGACGCCCGGTTAACTGACCGAGTTGAAGCTCCATCATCCAGGCGTACTCCACAGTATCTTCCTCAACATTTCTGTTCGTGTCACTGAAGAAACCATTCCCTCGAAGTTGGAAAGAAGACAGCATCAAGTGACCTTGATACAAGGCCCCTGAATTCATTGGGTTTGATCTCGACAAGTTATTTGCAGATACCAATATTGAAGGACTCAATAATAATTGTAATTTGGTCTCCCTAAAGCTTTTGTCCATTTCAAATCCAAATCGTTCGATCAGAATGACTGGACACGGCGGCTCACTTTCACTGCAATTTTTAACTAAATGCGCTTGAATGTCGTGGATTATAATAGATACAGTCACATCTAATGGTCTGTAGTGTCGGGGGTCAAATGGACCTTTACTCGAGTCGGTAGAATCATCTATTGATATCTCATTATGTTGATTGACACTACTTTTGTCATTCATTTTTGCATTTTCACTGGACCAGTAAAAAGTTTCCATTTGGAGATTTCTGCATGTCAGTAAATGTTTGGTCTTCGCCAAATATGTTTTCTAGTAAATTCATAAAGCTAGTAATAATAGTTCCATAGGCCAGTAGGATAGAAGGTCCCACTTCTAGTTCTACGCTTACTTTATCTGGGGGTAACGTCGTTCTATCGAAATTATTTCCATCTAAAGCCCAGTTAATTTGGGGTTGCTTTCTCATTCTTGGTATTCTCATTGGCGATAGTAATATTTCTTCTTTTTCTGGTGTTGTTATGTCAGCCTGAGGTTCAGGGCCAAGTGGAGGAATGGGATGGTAATTATATCTAACGCTCAGAGCGACAATAGGAACAGACCAACAATCCACCCAGCCTTGCGACTTAACGCATTTTCTTCTCCATTTGGAGGCTTTTAATCTACATGGTACTAACTTCATATTTTTATCAAGAGATAGAAGTAATAACTTCGATGTGTTTACTTCGGGCAGGTAGAGACTCATGTCGACAGCTTCACCTTGGACCCAGATCTTCAGTGGTATCACATCTGGCAAGAAATCAACAAACGGCAGATCAAAGGAGACGTCGAGTAGATCTCCACAGAATGCCACGTGATTATTCTCCTGATTCGTAGAACTGCAATCTATCCAGTTGTATTGGTTGCTCACTGTCACTACCTCACACTCTTTGAGCAGCAGGGATATTTTCCAGGTGTAAGGTACAAAGTGTAAAATGTCGGGACGAGCTTTCGTCGACCAATCGTTTATGAGATCTTGAAAGAAGTCTATATGTGTGTAAACTAGATGTGTAGTAGCTTTACAACCAGTCAGACTTAACTGCCAACACTGGTGATGGTTCCACACGAGTGGATAGTGGCATTTGACTGTGTACTCTAAAGTTTCACTTTCAGCCAAACTTCTGTACTGCAGACTCGTTGTTGCTTCTAAATGTAACAGTTGCCCTGTAATTTTTGTCGTGTACCCGTCTTGTAACACGATCCAGGGGAGTGTTACTTCGAGGTATGAACCCGCGCCAATATTTATATGCACAGCATTCGTTTCTTTATTTTTTGTGAATAAAATATCAATAGTGGCTTCATTTAAAGTAGACAGTCTTATGTCAAACGATTGCGTTTGTCTAATATCACCAGGCTTTGGCTGTGGAGTTACCTCTAAGTTTTTATAGTTCGGTGGGAAGAAGAATTTGAAAAGATGGTCTCTTTGTCGGTCAGCCCAGGGGCCATAGCTGAAGTCTGTACCTTTACCACATTTGATATCGACGCCCCATATTGGTGGCGCTGACTCTACAATGTCTCCATTGGCTAACTGCAGTAGTACTGGTTGTTCGGGCACTAGACCTGGTTCGTCCATGTAGAAGTACACTTCGATATAATTGGAGCTCATTACTACGAACCCTTCTCCCATGTACCGCGGCGGTTCGTCAACCATCGACGTATAGTTAGGACTGGGCGCGAGCATCACTTTGCAGTTTTCTGCTTTGGCTTTAACGAAATGCATAAGGTGGTCGAGGCTGGAGGCGGGGGGCTTTGTACTGTATACTAAGTGGGACTCTTCCACGCTTATCGACAATGTTGTGGGGACTAATCTATTTCCGAAAACCACTCTTCCAGAGCAGATATCGATTTTGATGACAGGGATGAGGTCTCGCCAGGTGCGAGCCATGGCTGCCTCTGAACGGACAGTCTCCTGCGCCCGGCGTCGCTTCTCGTTGGCATCGTTCATAGCTTTGTCTCTGTCTGTGTAGTCGTCATCATTCTGTTGCTTTATAACTGGCTCAAGACCGAACAGTTTTTCGAGTTCATTGTAAAGGTCGCAACGGTTATAGAAGTGTAGCTCGAATCCGTTTAGCATAATTGACAGCCGAGTGTCGGAGTGTGACAAGTCTGCGAATTAAGAATACAGAGTAGTATTATATAGGTATAGGTAACAGCTATATTATTTTCAACTTTGCCCCGCACTAGTATTTTCTCCTGTGTCATGGGTGCATTCACAAACATACAATATCACATACACATGACATCCAGACCATAACAACAATTTGTGGATCACACAACTAGTTGCTCCGTGCGGGAATCGAACCCACTATACGTTGCGCAGCAGCCGGTTGTCCAGCCACCGCGCTATCGGAGCAGTCATATAGCGAGAATATGGTGAATTTTTAAAGAGTATATTTGTCGAAGTTTTTACATAATGACAGATACAAAATATATCACAGTATACAGATGCCATTTTCCTGTAGTTCAAGGATATTTTAATATAAATGTCAACAACAGCAACCTATAATTATTCCATAAGTACCTACAGTAACAGAGTCACAATAGTTAAACAATGTTTTTATACTAATCCCATTAGATAAATTGTGTTGGTAATTAGGTGAAACCTTTAAAGGATACATTAGGTATTGTTACTAAAATTATAACCATGTAAATAGTGCACAGTAGCGGATAAAATATAACCTCATGTATTTTATTTTATCGCAAAATATCATTGGTACTTTTCTTTTATGTTCTAGGTTTGTTATTGTTTTTATATAAACAAAAAGTCTATATACAGATGAGAGATTCTCTATAATAAAAAAATGGATAATGACTACCATTATAGTATAATAAATTAATACTTAATACCAGATTTCAAAATATACCTACACACTGATTAATATCTTACCTTCTGATACATCCTTGGGTACGTAAGACCGCCACCATCGGAATATCAAGTAGCCATCTTGTATTCGTAGTGTGTAGTCATAGTTGATGTACACTATGTCTCTAAACATTATCTTACCCGACAGAGCATTTAGTGTGAAGGAACCTGAAAATTAAAAAAAAGGTTTCATAAAGGCATAAGTAAAGAAATTTATTGGTGTACATAGCATTTAAAAAGAAATAAGTTATTGTTGTGTTGGATTATCTTTATGTCTCTTTTATTTATTACTAAGAAACTCCGTGTTGAAAAACCAATCATGCTTTTATTGCACTATTTTTTTTATGAAACCACAAATCATGGAAATCAATATAGTTACTTTACGAAAGCACTTTTGTCGTATCTTATACTTATTTATTATACTTATAAACTGCGTTAATATGCTCTGTATCATATGAATAAAAAACTATTTACTACAGTATTTATTATATTGTACAGGTTCTGGTTAGATTAGTGTTAAGAACCATGTTTCATGCTTATGAGGAAATGTAATAAGTAGGTAGCATAATAATTTTTGCATAAAAGTCCTGTAGTTATCCTGCCTCATACTAAACCAAGACATAAATACAGTACACGGCTAATGTACAGTTGTGTGTAACCACTGCATTTGTTAATACTTTATCAGTAGAATAACAGAATTTTAATGCTACAGTCTATAATCATTTTCCGAATATACATACATAATTGCTGCAGTTATGTATGTTCAAACTAATATTTGTATGTTATACTGATAACTAAGCTATCGTTGTTTTAATAACTCTTAATTTCTGCTTTATTGAATATTTAGGAGTACAAATTATGTATTTCCTGATCCGTGCTAATGCATACATGTCATTTTTCATGATTTAAAACAAAATGTATGCTTATATTCTATACATAAACTAGAGAGTATTGTGAATGGTAGGGGAAAAGAATATAAACTATTATTCTTATTAGCAATAATTCCATAATAATCTGACATCATCATTAATCATAAAACACATAAACAATCTTTTCATTTATTATATTATTTTATTGTTTAAGAAGGAATTGTTTATTAATTTTAATCGGAGTCTCCCCAATAACCCAAATGATGAATGAGTGTTTGATACATTTATTTATAAAAAATTGTGAAATACAAGTCGATACAAATATTTATTTTCAGACGATCATTACTCATTTCACTTAAATTTTGCATAATCATTTAAATTGTTATCTTTCTGATAATCAGCTAGCCATTAAATACTGATTTGTTTGCAAATAGCATTCCAATGCCACATACAAATGTATAAAATAAAAAATGTCATTGAAATAAGTATCTGAAAGGTATTAACCTAAAAAATAGTGTCATAAAATGAACAGCATATATTTTACTGCTATTTCAAATAAAGAGAAATGTGTTTATTATACTGAAGTACCTACACTTATAACAACAATAAATACATGAGTCTACAGCTACTAATAAGACCGACCTAGAAATCAAATATGATTTGTTCATGAACATGAACTGAGGAATATAAATAAATGGGTCACTCACCTATTTTGAAATTGTCGTCTTGGAAATAGAATTTGTTAATGAGCCTGGTCAGGATGTAGCCCAGCACTCGGCTGTTGTAGTACGTTATATAAACGATCCATAGTATCGCAGATATAAGCGACACCAGCAGCAGGGCAAAGTTTCTGTCCATTGTTATTTCTGCGAAGTCTATCGATGAAGAATTCCATCTTTGCGCCACCGGATCGTCCATAGACCCGGTAAAGTTATCCCTAAACACAATCATAACACGTAAAAACACTCAAACAATAATAAAATCTTCATAAATAACTTTATACACGAATATAAACATCACTTCACTACAAGGCTACGCAAATCGTCATAACTTACATGATGGTGACTTAATTACTATAATGACGCTTTTCACATTTTATACAAGTACACTGCCCTAGAAAATCGTACACTATACACATTTCTAATACTATTTTTCTGTCTTTCTTATCAAAATCATAAATCACTGCCCATCCGTGGTTCAGAATTTGACAGATAGATATGATTGCTTGCGTTCCGTTTCATCAAAACTTCTCTTCGTTTGAAGTACGTTTCAACTTACAAAAACATAAAAAATAAACACATATTTATTTCACAGTTACTAATTAAAAACAAAAAAAATATTTGTATTTAATGAAAATAATATAAGTTTATAACGATTATTACAAACAATGACAATGATTCAAAAACAACGTGAAACTGTAAACCAACTACATTTTTGTTGCTAAGATACAACAATTTGTTTTATATTCGTTGATGAAATATTTAAGCAAAGTATAAAAGAGAAGCTGTTGTAATTAGTTTCAATAATTACAGGTTTACAGAATGACTGACGAACAACCTGAAGATCCTAATGCTTATGAACCAAAAGTAAGGTAAGATACTTAGTAGTTCCAATTCCAATTTCTACATAAGAAGCTGCTTCTAATCTAGACTTATTCGTTTTTTGTTTAGTTGATATTTTAAAAAATATTTAGAGAGGCCATTTAGAATAAACGTATGTATTTAATACAAAACCCCTCTTTTAAAACATGTATAGGTATGGTTAAAGGTAACTTATGCAAATGTAACGGAACGTTGAAAGGGAGCTGAATGAATAAGAGGCCCTTTGTGAGTCATTCATAAAATACCTACATTATAAACGATTCCCATCAATTAAACAGACGTTTAACGCTTCTTTTGTGAAAGGTTATAATACAATTTAAGTTTCTATTTCGGAATAAAGGCCATCCCTTAATCCTGGCCACCGTTTACTGGGTTTGCGCGTACTTTTCAAAATACCTACCTTATTGTAGGTATCTAGTTAGTACCTAGGTAGGTACTTTGTCAGACCGGGGAATCAAACTCCCTCCTTTACAAATGCACTTTTGTATCATGCTAGTTTTTTATCTTCATTCTTCTTTAAACTTCTTTTGCCAAACTTCTGTCGTTGCCATTATTTATTTGAGTTTAGTAAGTAGGTACCTACGTATTTGTTATAGGTAGGTACTTACCTACCTGACTGCCAATGATAAACGTAACAGGTTCTTAAATTCTCAGATGACTTAGATACCTTCTCATACTATGATTTCCAGGTGGGTCAACCCACAACGGCTGGACTTAATGACGTTTATCGGCAAGGATGTGTTCGTGGTGGCCCACGACATATACATTATTCTATTCAATTATAAGACCAACACCGAGATGATCTATGTGGCGAACAACCAGGAGAAAGGAGATGGAGTCGACGTATTGGGTGGTATGTAGTCAAGTAAATGATCTAGGATTTGCGAAGGTAATTTCCAGAGACCCACATAAGGGCAGGAACCCTCGCGTTGATTACCATCAGGTGAACCATCTGTTATTTTGCTCCCAATAGTCCAATGAAGAAATGAGCTCGACAATATTTGTAGATTTATTTAACCTACCCATAGATTTTAAAATAAGTTCACATTTACTGCATAGCATTAGTGTTTATGTTTCATTGGCCCATAAACCTATGTACCTACATGTCTGACGAAACGCTGGTGGAAGAAAATGTACCTACATTATTTACCTGCGTTGGTAACTTTTCAGGTCACCGCTCTTACATGTTCGCCTTCGCGGAGAAGGTGCGGTACCCTAGGATATTTCTCATCTCGTATCCATCACTCACTACCGTTGCAGAAATAAAAGGTGAGCCCTAACATTAGGACCTTATACTACTAGAAGTAACTTCGATTTAGGAAATAATACTTATTTTACTAATTTACGACTAATCAACTTAATAATAATATGCTCTTTGTTTGTTTATTTTTGATATTAGACATGGATGTAAATAGATACAAAGGTATCTGCATGATGGAAAGTGACTTGATTGCCACGTTCACTGGTTTCCCCAACTATCTGGTGACTGTATGGTGTTGGCGCACCAATCAACGTCTGCTCAGTATACCGACAGGAGTCCGTAGGCGCAAGCAGATGTTCATGTGAGTATGTTGAAGAGGTTCACTGAAAGGACAATGTGGAGCAACAAAGAACTGATTGAATCGTCAAATCTAGCCACAAGAAAGTCGATAAATTCGATTTACCAGGAGTAGAGTAGTATCAGCTTCAGATTAAATACTTACACCTACACTAACAATTGGCTAAATATTAATATGAATTTTCACTAAGTAAAGCCTGATTCTATTCTATATACTTACACCTTATTATTATTTTAAATCAGGGCCAGCCGTACGCATATGCTGCTATGCCAATGCTGGGGCGAAGGCGTGCACGTATGGGAGGTAGCTCGGTGCTATAAGAAGTGTTTCATGTTAAAGAGGAAGATTGTGGCGGTTTCTGGCTGGGACGCCGCGGACCAACCACTGATTGCTGGCATCTGTTGGAGCGTCGAGGGCCAGCTGTACTCCATCGATTGTAAAGCTAACTTATATGGTGTCAGTATTTATTGTAACAGTACTTTTAAATAAGTTGAGGAGTATCCAGATTGTCAGGTTTGGAAGACATTGGGGATGCCTATGTTCAGCAGTGGATATTTTTTGGCTAATATTATAATGAAACCACTTTCATAAGGATTTCAGTAGGATCCTACTTAGTCACGAACCCATTTACTTACCAAAGTAAACACATTAGACAAATATCTAACTCTTCTATCTTATTCTTACAGCTGTCGTCTGATGGTGTAGCACTAGTAAAAACTTTAGAATGGACAGACGACAAAATTGAAGGGAACCGTCAAACCAATATTTGCGCATTTCTTAACGGTTTACTTTTTTATGGACCCGACGATAACTTACGGGTAAGCAACCTTTAAAATAGAAACGTTCTACCTCTACTCAGTGACATTAATTTTAAGCATCGAGCATTAGAAAAAGATCCTTACTCGCACTTGCTGTCAAATACTTACGTATTTGTCCCCAAATGCTGGGACTAAGCAGGAACCCTAAGCCCCTAAAGTCCATCTGGTGTTGCGGGTGTCCATGGGCAGCACTGATCGGCTGATTCGTTGCTCATTTGCCTCCTATTCCATAAAAAAGTACAATGTTTTTAGTACGTACCTACAGTTAAATAAACTATTTTCCAAATCATCGAGTTTTTCATCTTTTTTTTCGGAAGTTTCTTCGGAAAGAAGTGGAGGGGAAGTCGTGGAAGGTTGAATGGACGTACGCTCCAATCGACGTAGTAGTTCGTCTGGTGAGCAATGCATTCTGCGACATGGTGACGATGTGGACTAGAAGCGGCTTCGTGTTTAAAATCACCGCAGACGCTGATGACAAAATTGAAGTTAACTTGTTCACTGTTAAACAAAGGTAGGGACCTTATTTTTAACCGAATGTTGACTAGCATGGTTTAGATAGGATTATAATTCCCATTATTTAAAAAAATATGTAGGTATTGTAAATCTAAACACTGATAGCCCAAGCTGTTCTATTGCGTGTAGATACTGTAGGTATCTAAATTAAGTTTCCAAATATATTATAATTTTATTATTTTAAGGAACATTAAGAAGGTTCAGCTGATTGCACCTGATTTCAAGCATTTTGCGATGATGAATGATAATGCCGTTATAAGCATATACGAAGTGAATGAAGAGAAATTGGTAAGGAAAGAAACTTCTTATTTAAACACGCCCCTTTTTCCACCAAGTTACAATTATCAAGCCTGGGGTAATTGGATTTTAACAGCTTTTAATTTTTTTAAATTGGCGGCATTTTTTTGGATTGCTTACTTAGGCTAGACTATAGAATGACTTGACTTTAAAACAGTTAAAATGGATCTACACTCAAATTCAGGCAATATATAGCTTTCAGCGATAATACCCGTAATGTGTTTTTCAGATCTTCATGAAAGCTGTAAAAGCCTTAGATGTTTCGTTCGAAGCAAGTCCTATAGATCCACTACTAGCGATATTCGGTGAGGTGAACGGCAATTACGGCATAGTTCTTCAGGCCTTCGAACCTGAAACAGGATTGAAGAAACAGAGCCGCATGTGCCTGACGCACCAGATCGTGTCCAGGGTAGCGTTCTCGGATTGTGGCCGGTTCCTAGTGGCCGCAGCAATGTCCGCAGGACACATCTTTATTTTTAAGGTAATCACATAACATAACATCACGCCTTTTATCCCCGAAGGGGTAGGCAGAGGTACACATTACGGCACTTAATGCCACTGTACAATGTAACACCCACTTTTCACTATTTATGTTATGAGTCCCATGTAATAGGGGGTGAGCCTATTGCCATATACCGGGCACATTTCCAGACTCCGTGCTACTACAGAGGTTTTTACAAACCCAGTAATACTTTGCCCAAACCGGGAATCGAACCCGAGACCCCTTGCCCGGCAGTCGCCCTTGCGATAACTTAACTTATCTGTCGAATTTAAATATAAATGTCCATAAAGCATCAGTTCTTTAACTTGATCTATGGGTTAAAAGTTAACCTACATTCTTTTCAAGCCTTGCGGTATGTTCTATTTGCAGGTTAGCACAGACTATAAGCTGAACTTGATGCGGTACACTGAGTTCGGACGAGGGCTGGCAGACTGCTTCCTCATGAAAGTCGGTGCAACCATGAGATGCTTCAGTCTCGTACTATTCTCAGAAAAATATAGAATTGGTGCGTATAGAGCACACATCAATAATCCAGAGTGTTAAATACCTTTACACATTCGATTATCACTATCCCGTTCTAGGCGAGCGTATAATCTGTGTAAACGCTGAAACAGGCAAAGACAACAAGTTCGCGGGCAAGATGCAGGGACCGTACTCCAAACTGCTGCCACTCAGCGCCAAGGACACCATGATCGCCATCCCGCATCTCAGCAGGCAGATGCATATACTCAAACTAAATGGAGATGTAAGGAACATTACATTAACTATCTTATACTATTATATAAAGCGGAAGAGTTTGGTTTTTTTGTTTGTTTGTTTGAACGCGCTAATCTCTGTAACTACAAGTCTGATTTGAATAATTATTTTTGTGTTAGATAGAATATTTATCGAGGATGGCTATAAAACATCACGCTGCGACCAATATGAGCTGAGCAGAGCGTATGAATGAAACCCCGCGGAAGTAGCTAGTAACTAAATACATACATAGGTACTCTTACTTATTATGGTATTCCTACCAAGAAATAACATACAATTTATCCATTTAGAAAGGGGTAACGGTGTCTGTGAAGATGGGTCCAATCATCGAATCTGGCCACGATATAAAGCAGTTTAGTGGTTTCAGAGGTGCCAATACACTGATGACTTTTGGCTACGATGGCACCCTTATACTGAGATCACCCCATACTCCAGAAGAAACCGGTGAGCCCTTTTCGTGCTTAAGTAGTAGGAGTTTCCTGAGAAATATGTACCGAAGTTTCGATATTTTACCTCAATAAAACCTCTGAACTGAGGATGTAGTGAAAGCATTGAACGAAATGTAAATGCTATATCATTCATGAACGATCTGTGTATAGTGAGAATGCATGGAGAAATGCATACAAAGTGCGCAAGATAGTAGTACGTCGTCCAAAAAGGTGCTACTGAAGGGACTGTCGAACTGTTTCCAGTTTCCACAGAAACTGGAAAAATTTCAAATATATCCAACCAAAACTCTTAAGGTTAAACTAGTCGCGGGCTCGAACTCAATCAAGGGCGTGGCCAAAAAGCGCGCTGTCTCATCTAACATCGTGTGTGACAGAAATAGTACCAGTGATGAGCAGTTAGACGCTATCTATTTGCACGACGTATTGTTCGCACGCACACAAACACAGCAAAACGTCACTGAACGGTGCATATATCTGTGCTGTGTGTGTTTACTCGTAGTAAAGTCGTACACGCTGCTACGATTTTATGATGCTCGCATGAATTTAATAATTATTGTCACAGGGCATTGTAATTACTGACAATTTTTTTATGATATCAACTTATCATCCGATCCGAAGAATCCACGAAAGGCTAGGGATATAATTTTATATAATATTTTTTTTTCTAAGTACCAATAACTTTATGTACCTACTACAAACTAGCTAGATGCATCTTTTATCTAAATAATACAGTTCAAATGTCATATTTTCATCAGGTTATAATGTTTAACTAATATTATAGTTTGTTTGGTTGAACATAATAATCTCAGGAACTACCTACCTATTTAGGTAGGTACTTACTGGTCTGAATTATTTCCTGAATTTCGAGACAATTGATCTGTCATTATGTTTTCATAAAATTAAATATATACTTACCTAGTTAGGTACGTCGGTGACTACCTAAGATTACTAGAAGTAGTGATAATACCACATAATTAGATTTTCGTCATTTCGTCCGTAACAAAACTTGTGGACTTCATACCTACATCGTGTAGGTAGGTCCCTAACTCCAACTTCGTGTTAGGTACCTACAGACTTTTTGGCAGCTCGGAACGTAACATAAAGCTGCGCACTAGGTACCTCCCTGACACAAACATAAGTAGAGATACCGGCTCGAATCTTGAGCGCTCGGCATCAAAGTGGGTAGGTATACATTGGCGAGCTAATCACTGTAAAAGGATTTTTGGGAGAAGAATTGTAGGTAGCAACAATCCTTCTCACAATACCTACTACTAAAGAGACTTGATTTCTGCGCAATCTGAGTCAACGCTCAATATTCATGCCGGTATAGTATCTGTATTAGCAGCACAGGAGAGCGCCGCAAGGCTGGGTATAATTGCTAAGGGTTCACCCTTTTAGTTACTTGCTTATTTATTATGCTTTTATTTATAGACAAAAAAAAAACAATGAACCTGAAAAATCTTTATTGGTAATCGTAATATTTATCTATATCTATTCTATACATATAATAAATCTGTAGAAAAGTAATTTTTGTACATTGAAGAAATTGACAAAAAAAATAGCCAGTGTGTTAAAAGATAACCAACAGAACCCATTTCCATCATTTTTGAAATGTTTGTCTGTTTGTCTGTTTGTTTGTGCGCGCATCACGTAAAATCTACAAATTCAATGCAGACATTGTTAATATATAAAAATTCTACGCAACTCGAGGTGTAACTTAGTTTTTGTTTCATCGAAATCGGTTCACTCTATCAGAAGATATGATTAATTTTGTGAGTTCAAGTAAAATGTTACAACACGCAATTCAGTATAGTACTCGAAATTATATCTTTGGAAATTTTTTTTCGTTTGGTCATTGGTTTGAAGTCCGAAGTAAAGATACTAATTGATATTATAAACAAGTATAATTTTTTTTTATGTGGGAAAATCATCGATTGATTGCTCCTGCCTAGGTGAGGCGGGAGGGAGTGTCAGACTTTTACTGACTAAAAACCACCCCGTTCCTTCTCCTGCACGTCGAGCCGGAGCCCCGGTTACCCGTTAGGTTCTCCGCAACTCCGAATCGGCATCGGCCCTATTGGGCCCCATCTGTGGTGGTCTGTTGGCTCTTTGAGGCACGCGTGGAATGCGACGCGCCGGACGCTCGGGTTTGTTTCTGGTCGGACGGGGAGCCACCCATGCTCGCCGTCCGCAGGCCCGCGCTTACAGTGGCCGGATATCGTCCCGCGATCCCCGACGCCCAGTGTGTCCTTCACGATGGCTGGGTTGCTGCTGGGATCCGCACCAATAACTGTATCTAATAAAATCTAATTAGATAAGGTATAATAAATTGTAGGGGCGACTTACCCATTGTTTATTATGTATTTTCCAATGACACTTGGAAATTCCAAGTGTCATGCAATCAACCAAAACAACTTCACTAAATCACGACAATTGCACGACAGCGCGTGTCGTGCAAATAATAATTGTGCAAAAAATTGTGCAAAAACGCGTGTGCGTCTTCCCTCCGCCCCGCGCCACTGCCGGGGGAGTTTTATCCAGTGAAATGCACGATAATCCATCACAAAACGAGTGCGTAAAAAAGTACGATTTAGTGCTTTAGAAAATAGCGTTTTTTGAAAAAACCACTGCTTAGATCAATTTCAAATAAATTTTATAGAACTCTATGGTAATTGTGCTGAGTCGGTACGGTCTTCGGTTTGGAGATTTTACACGATTAGTGGTATTTTTTAACACCCAAAGTTGCGTTAAAATTGTAAAGAAAAACAAAACTTTGTTGGCTCATAACTTTTTAGTAGTTTTTTTTTATTTTTTTTGTTTCCGTACCGACAAATGTAATTACAAGATAAAACGATATCGTGTTTAATTTTGTAGGTACACATTCACACTGTCGAGTAATACCACCCCGAACTTTCTATGGAAAAAATATCGACTAGTGTAACCTTAAGTACTTTTTAGCAAAATCACTACATAGTATAAAACAAAGTCGCTATCCACCGTCTGTCTGTCCTTATGTATGCTTAGATCTTTTAAACTACACAACGGATTTTGATGCAGTTTTTTTTAATAGATAGAGTGATTCTTAAGGAAGGTTTATGTGTATAATACATGCATATTGTACCCGTGCGAAGCCGGGGCGGGTCGCTAGTATAAAATAACCACGAGTCTATCTTTCGTATAGTTTACAGCTATATTGTATGTATTTGTTTACAGACCTAAAACTGATAGTAACTCATCGGTATGAATACGGTGTTAAAAGTGCTGTGGTGGATGCGAATGGCGATTTTTTCTTACATTTGGCCGTAGGCGGCACTATGGCTTGCACTTTCCTGCGACGTCGCGACCATGAGTTGGGCGACATTACGCATAACGCGCCCTCTGATGCCACCTGCAAAACCGATGACAAAGCCAACACCATCACTGTTATACACTATAATGATAGTAAGTGATACCTATTTGTCATTATAAGTAAAAGTGTAATCGTGAGGCCATAAAAAACTAATAACAAACAAAAAGTCAAAACTAAAAAGCAAAAAATAACTATTATTAGTACTAACAAATAAAAAAAAATCAGCCGAACATAGTCCCTCCTCCTTATTTTGAAGTCGGTCATAATAGGCAGTCCGTAGTCAATTTTATGTTTAGATAGGTACTTTAGTTTTATACACTCATGTAAAACTGTTGTTGCCCAGAAAATTACTTAGACATTCAAGAAGACAAGAAAGTCCGTGAAGAGGCTATGGACTACAAACGCCAACGCGAAGAGGTGGTCAAGGTGTTCGAGTTACTGCAGAGCAAGCTGGTGGATCTCCTGGAAGAAAACATTAATGAGCGACCATTGCATCAGCTATCATTGTCGGAGTTCAATCTACACCAGGAAGCCAAAAAAGAGAGGCTCAAAGCGGTAAGAAACGTAAAAAATGTAGATAAAAAATATCGACAGATATTTTGCAAACATGCTAAAATAAGTATCAAAATACTTATTGCGATATGTATGTACCTTGCAGGCTGAAAAGGAGCGTGAAGAAATAAGGTTACAGACAGAAGCTCGTATTAGAGCACAGGACAAAGTGACAGCCTGGATCAAACAGACGTGTTGGGACACTATACAATCACCGAGGATCAAGATCTTCGCAATATTCAGTCATTACCACGTAAATACAATACTATGTTTATATTTATCAAAATAAGGACCTTTACATATCTCTGTCCAGTGATAAAATTAAGCAGTGTCATTTTAAAATAAAAAAATGGTTTATTTCCACGGATCCTTCATACTTAGGTGGAGAATTTTGCAATGATGCCATCACACCGTGAAACTTGGGCAGAATTGCAGCAAATTGAAGCGCTCCGCTCAATCGAGATGGAGAATGACTCGGATTTGTTCCGGCCCTGGCTGGAAGAAATTATTGTCGAGCCTCCCACCAGTACAGCAGCAGTAGTACCTGTTGCAACTAGGTCAGTCAGTGCACCAATACACTTTTGCTTATATAGAATTTCCATATACCCCGTGATGATTTTCAAATAGTTACATCAAAAATGTGCCCAACTACGTCAACCTTATTAGAGGTATAAACCTATTTGTAAAGTAACGAATGAATGAGGTACACACATCTGCATATTATTATTAATATTAAATATCGTGTATGCAGTGTTACTGTAAGCCCACACGCGGAATCCATGGGCTCTATGCGCGATACACGGCGCAGCTTGGAAAGCGATGAAGACGATGTAGCCGTCGACGTGGTGGCGGAACCTTACGTCTTGTCGGGGACCAACGCACATCGCTTTGTGTCTATCCCTCGCTTCATGATCCCGCAGATGGAGGCCTACAGCTTCTTACAGATGAACTGGCTTTATCATATAATGCAGGCAAGTTCTGATTTTCTGGATAAATGTGGTGTCCACCAAGGCAAATTCAGTTGTCATTGCAGGCCTTAAAATCCATTTTGGAACCGTAGAGATCCAGAAAAACAAAAAAAAGTATTTATAGCAGTCCGCAGTTCAAACTATGTCTTAGTATAATGGTTAATTTGATCTAATTAGCTGCTCTTTACAACAGATTAACACGCAGAACATGCGGATGTGGTTCAACAAGCAGTTTGAAGAGCTCATGCAGCTGAAGAAAAGAGAAGTGGCCCTCGTCGCTGAGAGAAACGACAGATTGCGTTTTATTATCGAAGGTTTTCTTACTAATTTAATTCCAGTTAAAATCTAAACGGAAAATCTGTTTAAATAAGTTGTCATGACTATTCGTACTTAACTTACATTTTTGCAGAATTGAATAAATTATCTGACTTGCGAGGCAGCTTCCATCATTTGAAAATCGAAATCAATGACCCACAGTGGAGACAAGAAGAACACGTTGAAAAACTTATCAAAGTAGAGCCTGAGGAGGTAGGCCATTTAAATAGACATTCATCTTAAATCTTTTAAATTATGGGTTGTTCTTAATTAATCTCATTTTGTTTATGTAGTGTTCTATCGAGCCGTACATCAGCCCGAGTCAAATCGTGATCGTGCCTCCAGACCCGGGCCCAAAGGACGACTTCCGTGAAAGAGCTCTAATAGAGATGATGGATGGTGTCTTAGAGAAGTTATGGCACGAGGAAATCAAGAAACCTATACCAATGCCCCAATGCATGGTCGTAACATTTAAATTTTACTAAGTTACTGGACATACCTCATTGGTTAATGGTTAGTCATCATAATAACGATTTTACCCCTTTTAACTTATAGTTGGACAAAGATCCGGAGAACTTTAATGAAGAAGATCTAAGGCAGGTATTTGATTACGAAGCGAAAGTGAAATTCCGCAATGAAGAGCGGGATAAGTACCGCAAAATGCTACATGCTGAATACGCTAAGCTGTCACAAGTGCTCAACGAAGGAATTATCAAGTTCAATCAGAAGGTACTTACCGATGACCACCTACTATATCCATTTCTCGACCAACACTAATACTTGTAAAAGTTAAAATGTGTATACAAGTAAAACCGTAGTCATTAAAAATATCAACATAATATTTATAGTTTTGAACTAATTTTATTAAAATTTCACTAAGTTTGATAATCAATTTTTTTAAGTACTTGTGACGTCAATTGACTGGTTCCGAAAGAATTTCTAGAAGTGGACATAACAATTGTTTACTCCTAATAGGTTCGAGATACGTGGCTAACAAAAATCAAAGTGGATTCTGTTATCGGTCAAGAGAATCTCAATCTAATGCGCCTGCGCAGAACGAACCTGGACCGAATTGAAATGTCAGAAGTAATAGAAGATATCAGGTTAGACACAATACTCTACAATATTCTAATTTCTGAATACAATTATTACAATCTGAAGAAAAAATATAAATAATACTTTCAGCTATTTTACATCTTTTAGGACGCGCCTATTTGGTAATCTCTGTGGTAATGATCATTATTTTAAACTTTAGAGACAAAATAGCATTATACGAACGCCAGTTGGAGGAGTTGAATGCTGAATTTCAAGCCATACAGGACCAGAGCCTTGATTGCCAGGCTGCGTACGAAGCTCTCACGGCTAAGGATAGACAGATGGACAAGACTTTTAAAAACCACTTCGGTGATCTATCGCCCATCATAGTTGAACAGGCATATAAGTTTTTTAAGTAAGTTATTGAGCTGGTAAACATATCTTTAGAACAATGAGAGTCAGTAGAATAAAAAAGAATAAACTGAGCCATCCTTTTACTTACATAAAGTACACTTAACTTAGGCGGCGTCCGAAGTGGCACCAACGTGTGACGATGATACCGGTGGTGCTGTACGAGCTCGCGTGGGCAATAGCGAGTGGCACCAAGCCTCCCCTGTTGCATCCTGACTGCTTCGATTACGTCAAAGGGTGAGCATGTCAGAAAATATTAGCTACCTAGCTTCACTGATAGTCCGACTGACAGACTATTATTTATTTTGTATTTGTTGACGTTTCAAAAGTACCAAATTATGGTTTATGAGATAAATGCTTTGAGTTTGACTATTACGTAATCCATGGGGCTTATCTACGACTTTGTACTTATATTTAGCAGTAGTTGCGACCACGATTAAATCAAAGAGATAAAACAAACTTTCTAACAAAACTCAATCGTATTCATGATCACCATAGAATGGAGCAGTTAGACCAGATCAGCAATATGCCAACAGTGATGGACGAACACATGTGGACCACTATGTGCAAGCTGCGTAGAGCCAAAACAGAAAACGAAATCCGAGTAAGAGAGCCAATTACTATTTTGTTTAACGTAAAATGAAATTCCAACATACTAATATTTATAATATCTGCAGATGAGAGCCCTCATTCAGGAGATGACGTACGTAGATAGTACCATTAGCGCGTGGAACAAGGCGATCCAGGCTCGACGGACGCACCTTGTGACGTATCAGAGTAAGGTCGCACAGCATCGAGAGACAGTGGAGTTGGAAGCCAGGAACAAAACCGTTCAGGTATCTCTTACGTCCAGTTTGATTAACCTATCTATCTAAGGATAGAATTTTGATATGAGCTCCATACAAAAAGTGTCATAACTCTATCTCTAGTAAGCAAATCTACAGATAGGATAGGTTGTTGAAACTGGGCGTTATTACTCGTATACGTATGTAGGTACTTGGCGTACGTGTAACAATTTCGTGAAACATTTGAGCCATATTTTAATGTTCTGCTGTAGATCAGTAAACAGGACGGTTACACACATGACTTGTATTTTTGTCTCCTTCAATAATGATTGGATTTCCAGCTGGTGCTGCCAGCGGGACAAGTGGAAATCATAACAACAGGACATATGGATGACTTTGAAGATGCCACACTTATTCCCAAAGTGGACATCGAGACAATTAACAATCTCATACTGGTAAGGAAATAGTCATTTACCGATAGTGTATAACACCGGATTTCCGATGGAATTACCTATCTAAACATTTTAAGAGTTTTTATCTTATTCATCTCTACTCGTAATAATTCCTATTATCAGAAAGTTGGTGCTATGAAGTTGCGTATGATGCGCAAACAAATGGAGTTCCGTAAGGGCATCCTAGCCAAAGAATGGGAGCACGCACAGATGAAGATGAAACTACGACACATGAAACAAGAGCTTTACTCGTACCAACGACTGAGGGTAACAATAAACAAAACTGATTTTTGAACGCTAGCAATATATACCGCAATAGAGCCTTAAAATTAACATGTATGTAGCCCATAATGTTCTAATATATCTCTTACTTCTCCTTGGCTCACTCATTCCTTACTGAATTATTTTACTGAAAATTACTACCCACCAATTGCGAGTTAACTCAATCACTAAAGTGCATATTCTTCAGATTCCAAAAGAACTGCAGCTGTACTTAAAAAACAAAGAGCTGGGTTACACGGATGAGCAAGACTATATTAAGATGGAGAAGGAGAATGAAGCTTCCAAGTTGGCTGTCAACAAGATACTCAACGAACAAATTCATAGGTCCGCAGAAATTGAGGTGAAGGACTACCAAAGTAAACATGATTTTATTCCCGTCGTTAATAGTTTTAACACGTTGACTAAATATTGTATTTCAGGTGAAATTAGCGGGCATTGAAGCAGCATCTGAAAAGATAGAGAAATTGATAACGAACCTTAACGTAAAGGTGTCTGAAAAGAAACTTAATGAAGATGCACTGGAGCCGATAAGACGACGACGGGTGTACAAAAAGAGGTGAGTAGTTTAAACTACATAACATCACGCCTTTTATCCCCGAAGGGGTAGGCAGAAGTGCAAATTATGCCACTGTACAATGTAACACCCACTTTTCACTATTTATGCTATGGGTCCCATGTAATAGGGGGTGAGCCTATTGCCATATACCGGGCACAATTCCAGACTCCGTGCTACTACTGAGAATTTTTTAAAAACCCTGTAGTACTTTGCCCCACCCGGGAATCAAACCCGAGACCCCTTGCCCGGCAGTCGCACCTGCGACCACTCGGCCAACGAGGCAGTCAAGTCAGTATTTTAAACTACTTGTTGAAAATTACTTGGTAGGTGTGCTCCATCGTAGGCCGCATCATTGCTTACCACCAGCCGAGACAGCGGCCAAATTTAAGAAAAAGATCTGATGGTAAGCAATGAGTGCTGCGCATGGACATCCGCAACACTATAGAAGAGTACCTTTAGCACTTCATATTTGTTTGAATATCAAGCTCCAGGTGTGTTGCTGGTGGTCTTGAATAATAAAAGACTTCGGTATGATGAGAAGACTGTATTTAAATAGGTACTGATTGTAAGGGTCAACAGATATGTGCGCACGGCGTCGTGTCGGGCGAGCGAGTGAATGAATGACCGCCGATCGCAGCGGTCGCAGGCCACGTATGGTGGTGAGCCCGATGTGACGTCAGGAACAATATTGGTTACTCATTCTTTACCTACAGGATGGAGACCCTAGTAATGCGCAGCCGCCTGATCAGAGACGTGCAGGCCAACCACTCCACCATCGTGATGCTGCAAACTGAACTGGAACTCCTCCGCCTCAAGACCTACCCCACTCTTGCCAGTTTTCGCACTTACTAACTTACATTTTTCATTATTAATTGTTATTTAAATATAGATAAACATAGACTAATTTATTTTCATGAGTGTTGTTAGTTTTTCTAATTTGTTATTCATTTAATTATGGGATTGAAATATATTTAATGAAGTATTATACTTCTTAGACTTAGATTACTTTAACCTCTAGTTGAAGCACAATAAATTATGAACAACATCAATCGACTTTAACTTTTCAAATAATTGCTATTGCGTTACAAAAATGTACTAAGGTGAAAAATTAGTCGCGGTGAACCTAACGGGTAACCGGGGCTCCGGCTCGACGTGCAGGAGAAGGAACGGGGTGGTTTTTAGTCAGTAAGAGTCTGACACTCCCTTCCGCCTCACCCAAGCGGGAGTAGTCATTCGATGATTTTCCCCACTTAAAAAAAAAGGTGAAAAATTAAACACGGAACTGCTGATTACAAAACTTTTATTTTCCATAAACAAATCTACTGTTACTGATAAAATACAATTCAATAATTAAAAGTTCGATACAGCTCAACATTTATAGAAAAACGTAAGAAATTCGCCTAGTTATTAACAGTACAGGAAGTCCTTCCATTTCTATCACAAAATGGCGGAGACTCGTGTCTCGAATTAGGACTATTACTGTAGGTTCAGAGACATCAAAGCCGTTGTCATGCGCGTACGCAAAAACGATGTAGGTGCAGTCGTTGACAATGTTCGGTCCTTGAAGTAGAACTGTAAGATGTCATGTAGGAATGTAATAAGGTGCACCTTTAAGTATTGTTATCCTTCGATGGTAATACTGATCTGTATCTTATAATATTACCCAACAGTGTTATTAGAACCGTTAAAATATCTAGTTTTACATTATAATTATTCTGTAGGAACGACCAAAGCGTTTGTCAACGACTGTACCTGTATGCGTATTCAATGAAATTTTCATAAAAAAGTAGAAGTTAGGCCACAATTTCGATTTTTTTTTATAATTTTTATCACACAATTTTTATTTATAACATCACAATTTAGGTATATTACTTGCCGATTATCTTTAAAAATAATATTCCTTGTATTATCACAAAATCTTTTTTTTATTTTTTCTGGCGTGAGAATTGTATCAAACTGCGAATGGCGAAGACACTTGAAATGTTCCAACAAAACCGTTCTCATAACTAGGAACTAGAAAGAAGGCTATTTTTTATGAGATTGGGCGGTAAACGAGCATGGGGTTTACTGGCCTGCCCATGGACACTCGAAACACCAGAGGAGTTACGAGTGCATTGCCTTTTAGGGGTAAGGGATTTAAGACTTGGCTATAACAAGAGCCTATTTTAATCTGCTTCTAGTTGTAAACTAATCTATGTATAATGCACTTTTCCTGCAACATTCCAAGTAGAAACTTTAAAATTACAACTGTGCGCGTTAAACTATTATTACATACAATATTGGTACAAAGAGTATTAAACAGTACATATTGATATTTTAGTAAAATGTAGATATGTAAGAACAGGGGGAGGGGAGCTAAGATAATGTAAGTATAGGAATACTACACTAGGTTTATGTAACGACATTCATTCACCATTATCAGCTATAGTTCCATAGATTTGCAGCATTCATTGCACTTTACAGTAAGTATATATTAGTACTGTATTATCGGGGTCAAATTATTAGCTTTATAAGAAGTCCATTGTTAACTATAAAATATGGGATATCTAGGTATACTAGCTGTATGCTTTTCTATAATTTTTAACCCACAATATTATTTTCGCTCAGAGTGAATCAAGTGAATGAATGTGGTATTTGTCAAGTCCATGTTGAAAATTGTGTCGTATCTGTGGTACAATAATGAAGCAGTATTCAGTAGAAGAGCTGTTCATGGGTCCAACAGAAATAGGGATCCTTATAGTTGTAGCCACTTCTTAGTTATATTTTTGGTCTAGTTGGTTTTCCTTGTATTGTTCACGTAACGCTGAAATACTCAAACGTCACTCAAATTTTATATAGTTCTGTCACTATAAATTCTTTGTAAAAGGATAGAGATGGCGCGATATTTAAATACAACTTTAAAGAGAGTAGCCTTTCGGTATTCCTGGCGTAAGAGGCGTTCATCACGAACATCTTGCTTTGCGGAGAACTTAATGAGTTACCGGGGCTCCGGCTCGACGTGCAGGAGAAGGAACGGGGTGGTTTTTAGTCAGTAAGAGTCTGCCACTCCCTCCCGCCTCACCCAGGCGGGAGTAGTCATTCGATGATTTTCCCCCTTCAAAAAAAAGGCTCGAATTTGCACGTTTTGTGAAAAAATTGAGCGTCATGTTATTCATTTTGAATATTCGTTGAGCATTTTGCCATCACTACATAGTACAAAACAAAGTCACTATCTGCCGTCTGTCTGTCCCCATGTATGCTTACATCTTTAAAAATCCGCAACGGATTTTGATGCGGTTTTTTAATAAATAGAGATCACTCTATCGCATCAAAATCCGATTTTATAGGTACATATAAACCTTCCTTAAGAATCATCTTAAGGAAGGTTTATATACCTATAAAACATGAATATTGAACCCGTGCGAAGCCGGGGTGGGTCGCTAGTAATAAATAAAATAATATTCGTTAAGAATTCGGTATCTGAATACAAAAACTTCTGACTGCACGGTTGGTGCGGTGGCTGGGCGACCGGCTCGCGATCGCGGATTCGATTCCTGCACGGAACAACCATTTATGCGATCCTCAAATTATTGTTTCTGGTCTGGGAGCGATCTGTATGTGAACGTGTGTGTTTGTAAACGCACCCACGACACATGAGAAAATACTGGTGCGGGCAAAGCGTTTTAAAAAAAGATGCTGTTTGTTTTCTTGGATCTTAACTTGACCAACCCGGGTTTTGTTATCAAACTTGATTCTTTTCAGTATTTGCTATGAAATACCTAAGTATGATTTCCTATCGTATTTTCGGTCATGTTGGTTTTTGTTCTTTAATACAATTCTCTTTAAAATTGTCCTAGTTGTATATTTCGTCTAAGTATAACAGATTATATTTAAGTCGTTTGTTCGATAACATTAGCCATTCTCTCAATTCCTTTTTATCAGTATTGTCTTATACAACATTGTAGTCTGTCGGTTGAATGTGTTTCGCATATCTATCAGAGGTACAACTTGAATAATATGGCCTGAGGTCTTAGTACGAGTTTCTTTTACGTTTAAAGTAATCGTAACGAGTACGCGTTCGGCGCTGTGATTGGTTGGTTCATTGGCGCCGGCCAATCAGTGCGCCGAACGCGTTCTCGTTTCGAATACTTTACGTAAAACAAACTCGTACTAACGGCCTCTGAGCCTGAGACCCTTACATCTTTACCTATACGAGATTATGGTTATAAGTGCCCATATCTTTGACAAAGCTGTAGTGGTAACTATGCTTCATTTGTAGATATGTCATGTCTAGCTTCTATTAATTGAATATACCTAATAAATTTTGTATCTTGGTTGATCTTGGATTATTATGTAACCGTCCGTCCTCTTTATATTGAAATATGACATTTCAAACTAAAGCCTACATTCTCCAACTGTGGCCAAAGGCCTTAATACAAGTTTCTTTCACGTTTAAAGTAATCGAAACGAGTACGTGTTCGGCGCTCTGAGGCCTTAGTACGAGTTTGTATTACGTTTAAAATAATCGTAGCGAGGACGCGTTCGGCGCTGTGATTGGCCGGCTCCAATGAACCAACCAATCAAAGGCCTTAGTACGAGTTTGTTTTAAGTTAAAAGTAATCGTAACGAGTACGCATTCGGCGCTATGATTGGCCGACTCCAATGAACCAACCAATTACAGCGCCAGACGAGGTTTCGTTTCGATTACTTTAAACGAAAAAGAAACAAGTACTAAGGTCTCACAGCGCCGGCGGCCGTCTCGTTACGATTACTTTAAACGTAAATCAAACTCGTACTAAGGCCTCTGAGTGCCAATCACGAATAACTATCGCGTTCGTAACGTACCTAATAGTATCGAGCGCGTTCGACGCTCTGATTGGCCAGCTCAAGTGAACAAACCAATCAGGAACGCTCAACTCGCTCGATACTGTTACGATACGAATGCAATAGTTATTCGTGCTTGGCCCTCTGATTGGCCGGCTCCAATCAATTAACCAATCGGAGCACCGAAGGCAGTCTCGATTACTTTAAACGTAAAAAAAAACAGTTCCATTTTCCGGAAATATCATCGAAGCAAATCGGTTTTACACCGATCCAAACTAAGATAAAACAAACACATTCAAGCGACAGACTAAACATGTTTGAATACATTTTTAATTAGGAATGCCGTTATTTATAGCGCTGTTCGTTGATCATAAACTATGACGGCGTCCGCGTCAAAGAACTGGCTGTGTGACTTACTCAGAGCTATGATGGCCGCGTGTTCGTTGCGCATACGATTCTTGTATTTCTTGCTTAGATTTACCTGGGAAATTGAAGGATGTTGTTACCGTAAATGCTGATAGAAAACTGACTGTTTTTGTTTTTGTAAGCAGTATTTTTTCTGTCTAAGGTCACACTTATCACAGTCCCATAAAAATTGGTTCAGTGGTTTCGGCGACAGTTTAACACTCTTGTAAATATTCTACCTCATGTAGACCAAGTTAGAACCTGATGAGTGGTGGTAACAAGTCTGCGATTTATGTCTTCATTCCCTTCCCTTTCATCCTTTATTCCTCGGTTAACATAACATCACGCCTTTTTATCCCCGAAGGTGTAGGCAAAGGTGCACATTGCGGCACTTAATGCCACTAAAATGTAACACCCACTTTTCACTATTTATGTTATCAGTCCCATGTAATAGGGGGTGAGCCTATTGCTATATACCGGGCACATATCCAGACTCCGTGCTACTACTGAGATTTTTACAAACCCAGTAATACTTTGCCCGACCCGGGAATCGAACCCGAGACCCTTGCCCTGCATTCGCACTTGCGACCACTCGGCCAACGAGGCAGTCTGTCAGAACCAAAAAATTCGATTAATAATGTGACTTGACCCCTTTTTCCACATCCTGTTTCGAATAGATAATCGATGTTTAAATTTACTTATTTTACTAACCCACCTTTCAAACTAGTGGCGTGATGTTAGATACCCTATGACCTCGTCAAAATTATATTTTCTTAGTATGATAAATAAGATAGATTAATAAAGTTCAATAAGACGTTTGGCTTAATTGGCCTAAATCTAATTTAAATTATTAGAAGACTGGTATTATACTATTTTGAAACTTACTTTAGCGTACAGTTGCTGTAGGTCATCTTCGGTGGAGAGTGGCCGAGGTTTGGGCCTAAGAAATGCAGGGAGCGATCTTGTCTTCAGTGCATCAATGTTCGCTGCACTATCTATTTCGTCTAACACTAAAACAATTAATTTTATTAAGAATATTAATATATCTCTAGCTATAATTGACAATTTAGTTTCAGATTGCTAAAAATAAGGGTGGTCCTAAAATATTCCCCTGTGGGACCCCAACTTTGATTTACAATTTACTACTTTAATTCTATATACTGAAAACTTACTACTGCTTGACGCATATTGCATGCATTGCTCCCTGGTATCTGGAACTCGGTTGACATAGCATTGCGGTGGATGGCGAGCTTCTCGATTTCCTCTACACTCTGCATCTCCGGCATAACTGACTGGTCTTGTGTGACGCTGGATTTGAACCTGCAATTTTTTGTATTAGAACTTGTTTTATAGCTTACTCATGTAGTTTCCAAGTTTACAAGTTTAGAGCCTTATAGTCCCTGTATAACTATTATCAATTACTTCATTTTATAGCATGTGTTTCTGCACTGCAGTTACAAGCAATTGTTGGATTTTGTTGGCAGGCAGCACAAGCTAAGTAACCTACAAATAATTGTGAAAGGAATTGCTTTTTGTAAATATTTTCTAAAATTATTATTCAACTTGTTAATAACGATATTCACCTCAGCATGTTTCATCCTATAATTTTCCTGACTAGTATATGCATGATTTTCTTTGATAGCATAGTTTTCCTTAAGATATTGTTCATCTGAAAGATAATGAATTGAGTATTTTATTTATATTATATGAATTATAGCCAGTTTGTAACAAAAGAATGTAATCTTACCAAACGATTTCTGATGACGCGGCATTAGGCGGCAGTAACAAATTATAACTAACAAAATAACAACTCCGCAAATACCTCCAATAAGCCAAGATAACCAAACAATTATAACACGACCCTGCAAATAATTATTGTGGCTTAAATTCATAATCCCAAATTAATTTATTGATTCCAATGTTCACACAACATACCTGCAGAAACATTTCAGTTACTAACACAAAAGCGAAAGACGCTTGTTTTTGTTCCCTTACTGTAATGTTTTCCTAACATTTTTAACAATTATCTAATACAAATCTTACTAAATATAACAAAATTAAGCTAAATTGTTACAATAAAACTATGCTCTGGAAATGTCCATTTTTGAAGTGTTCGCGCCTGCGCGCTTTATCGTTGTCCTTCAGAATGTTTTGACCAGAAATGTTTAATGTCATTTCGGGTATAATTACATATTAATTGATAAAATTCATTCAAAAAGTACGTCGAATTGAACACATATAAAAAACAAAATATACTTTAATTTAATAAATAAATACAATTTTATACAAAGCATAGTTAGTATTTTTTATGTTAAATAGTGCACGTAAAGCGGTTTTAGAACGATCACAATAATGTCACGTTTGACAATTACGTTCCGTTACTACGAAAAATATTTAGAATATTTAGAAATAATTTATTTTCGCACTGTTTATTTAACATACATTGAAACGATAATTACGTTTCTTTTATAGTATAATACAATAAATTTTATTTATCAAAGGTATTAAGTATCTTAATGTAACCTTGTCACACAATAATTACATTATTTGACATTACGTTGTCAATATTGTAACCTTGTTCGTAACGAAACGTTTTAAATTTTGATGTCGCATGTCGTCTGATTATCGTGTGATCATTGTCGTTCGACGCGGTCGTGTTTTGATTTCTCAGTCGAGATCAAAACAATGTTGTTGACATAAACCTTGACTGTTTACGCGGTTTTTCAACTGTTGTTATCAGTCGTCCATTTACCCCCGCCAATTTCAAGTTATCATCGTGCGATCCCGCTAGTCCGCTACGCTACGTCATTGCACACCTTTTGAACTCGAATAGCTGCGGCAATAGTTGTAAACAGAAACGGTACCTAGTCGGACGTATCGCTATTTACGTCTAGGCGTTTGTGAAAAAATAACAGTTAACGCGACGCATTTTAATAATATATATAGTGTCTAAGGAAATGACGAGTATTAAATTAAGTTTTCTTATACTGTTTACTTGCGGACTGCTTGCACGGAATTCTCTAGGTCTATCGCCTGTAATCCTCAGTAAGTATCGTTATTACATTTACCTATAATTCTAGAATATTCATCTATTGCTCTTTATAAACTGCTATACTTTACAGTGTCGATAAATGTTTTTAATTGTTCTTCAACTATGTTTACTAATTAATCAGTGAATTAAGTAATTAAATTATATAGATTAGTAGCACTTACACTAGTAAGTAATTTAAAAATGGAATGTTAATAAATTACCATTTCATTTCCTACCGTCTATTCTTCTGTAAACAATGAAACAAAATGTTTAAAATTAACAAATATGCAATCTTTGAAAAACAGTTATTAATGCAATCATGCAATTAATTAATTGCTATCATCATAAACACTTTGCTGATAGGAGAAATTGATTGTAAAATGTTATTTCTGTTGACGTGTTTAATTGTTTATTGTATTTAAAAATACCACAATATCTTTTGTGAAAGTGTGGTATTTTTATGTGCTAAAAACGTTTATTGTAGGTACTTCAAAATACCACAATACAGTTGTAATTATGGACTTAGTGTCTGTGTAATCTGAGAGAAATAAATGAAAAAGAAATAGACAGTGTCTGATCTGAGTAATATTTATTATAGATTTGTTTTCTGAACATAAATGTCCACATGATATCTATTAGTGTTTATACATAAAAACAATACAAAGGAAAATCTCAATGTGGGATAAAAATTAACATCACCTTGATAAGAATGTTGATTAACAAAATTTAAATTATGAAAATTGCTACTTACTTAAATTTATTGGCAATTTCCAGGTTTCTTTTTAATTGCTTTACCAATTATAAGACAATACGTCATACTTTGAATTGTAGAAGTGTTAGTTCGACTTAATTATAAGTGTGTGACAAGAAAAAAATAATTTGTTTATGTTAACTTACTTGACTTCATAACTTGGTATATCGTGCAAAAAATCCACAACATGTTCATACAAAAGTACCTTCTAAATAATGGAGTAATAATGGAGTAAGTGAACAGTCGTCACCGGTGACCGCTCGGGGTCTCTGCAACTAAGGTCCTCTGTCCCCTAGATGAGGCAGAGGGAGTCCACAGAAGTCATCAATCTCCTTCCTACATAGTCTCATGTTAATGAAATATTGTTTTATCCAACAGTCCCTGGGGATGGAGGAAGTCAACTCGAGGCGAAATTGAATAAAACAAATGTCGTACATTACATCTGTGCGAAGACATCACCTGATTACTTCAACATATGGCTCAACTTGGAGCTGTTAGTACCGTTTGTCATCGATTGCTGGGTGGACAATTTAAAGTTAGAGTATGACAATGTTACAAGGACGACAAAAGGCCCCAGCGGTGTTGACATACGGATACCAGGGTGGGGGAACCCGGAACCTGTGGAATGGCTGGACCCATCACATCAGAGTACTGGAGCGTACTTCAACACTATTGCAGATTCACTAGTCAAGCTAGGATATCAGAGAAATGTGTCCATTCTCGGAGCTCCGTATGACTTCAGAAAAGCTCCAAGTAAGTAATTTTGTTATCTTTTATATTGTTTAATTCTTTTCATTCTTGAATAGCTAGTGTTCAAGTAATAAAAAATTATCATGCATAATGGAATGAACATAAATTCCATAACAAATATCAGACACTAAAAATACCTATTACATTTCATTGCTTTATGCATATTTTTAAGACTACCTACATTTTTCATAAACAATGTTTAAATACCTGCTCCATATAAAAAAATAATTATGTTTCTGGTTGATTGAGTGCCTCCACTCATTAAATCCTGCGACACATGTCATGTATCAGAAAAAAGTACTTTGTTATTGATAGACAATACACATTCAATACTTATTCATAACTGTGCGATAATAGACTTTTCTAATAATACTAGCGGACCCAACAGACAGTTGTCCTGCATAATCCACTTGAATGTATAAACAAAAATTCATTCAAATTAGTTCAGCCGTGAAGGATAACTAACCTAGACAAAGGCTGCAGCGCCATCTGCCGGGCTGATTTGTGAATCTAAACTATTCCCAGATTCCCTTGATCACACACAAAAAATTTCATCAAAATCGGTCCAGTCGTTTGAGACAAGTTCAGTGACATACACACTCACAGAAGAATTATATATATAAAGAATTAAAGATGTACAGTGGTACATCAGCCTTCGCCAATATGTAAATTTTTGTCATACGATTTTCGACTTATACTTTAACGATATAGCTGAAATCTAGTAAAAGAATTTGACAGAAAAGAGTAGGTTGACTTTCTGCCCACTGTATTTAAGTATTACCTATTATACAACAATATCTACCCTGGCGCGTCGCGTTCCGCGCGAGCCTCAAAGAACCATCAGACCACCACAGATAGGACCCAGTAGGGCTGATGCCGATACGGAGCCGCGTGGGACTTAACGGGTCGTGCCGGGGCTCCGACTTTAGTCAGTAAGAGTCTGACACTCCCTCTCTCCTCAACCGGGCGGGAGAAGTCTTTCGATGATTTCTCTCAAAAAAAACAACATCTACCCATATGTCAAACTCAATACAATACCTCGTCTAAAGTCTAAAGTGTCATAAGAACTAAAACTTAAATATAAATTAACCAGTAATATAGTAAAACAATACCATTGTTTATATTTTATATGAATCCGCATAAAACTCTTACATAATGTAGAAAATCTTAACAATAATATTTGCATAATTAAATGATTAATCAAGCCTCAGTAACTAATGTCTAAATACTCAAACGCCACTCAACTTTAAGTCGCCCTTACCAGAGTATATTTCACTCACAACAAAATCTTACATTACGTACATTTTAAAATAAGTACCCTTTCAGTATTCGGGCGTAAGTATTTAGATTACCTAAAACCCACTGACCTACTTGCGTTGGTGACCCCGATGACACAGCTGCTTTAAACAAAACATGCTAGAGTTAGGTTGCGGGATCGTTTGTCGTTTTAACTATAACTAAATGGTGTATAGTACCCGGCAATAAATATAGCACATCAACTTTTAGTAGAAAGAGACAAATATATGTGATACTAGCTGATCCGGCAAACTTCGTTCCGCCGAAAAAAATGTTTTCTCACTTTTTAAACCTTCCCAGGACTTCTACAAACTTTTGCAAGACCTAAATTAGACAAATCGGTCCAGCCGTTTTCGAGTTTTAGCGAGACTAACGAACGGAAATTCATTTTTTTTGTATAGATTAACAAAGAAAGAAAATTCATTAATTCAGCATCTTTTTTTATGAGATAAGCTGGTAAACGGGCACACGGATCACCTGATGGTAAGCAACCGGCGTCGCTCATGGACACGCGAAACACTAGAGGAGTTATAAGTGCGTTATCGACCTTTTGGGGATTCGGAGATTGGGAGACTGGGGAAGGGGTAATTGGGCCTCCGGTAACCTTACTCACACGACGAAACACAACGCAAGCGTTGCTTCACGTCTGTTTTCTGTGAGGCCGTGGTATCACTCCGGTCGAGCCGGCCCATTCGTGCCGAAGCATGGCTCTCCCACATTAAAGTATCGTTCATTTAGTTGTACAACATTATTCTTTTTCAATCTTGTCATGTTTTGATGAGAGTGCTCATAGTCATGAGCAGTATAGGTACGACTTGGCCGTTTGTCTCTTTCTAAAGTTCTATGAGCAATATTTATCGCCAGGTAGGTACTGTAGCATGCCTACTGCTGGAAATAATCGTCGTCTATCATGCGAGTATGCAGCGAGTTTGGAGGATATCAATATTTGATTTATAATAAGTCCTTCATGTTTATTGTGATTTACCGGTCGTCTGTTATTTCGAATGGCCTGTTTATTTATTGTAGAATTGCTGGGTAACCAGCTCCATGATCTACAATAAATTATTGTTTCAGGTCTGGAAGTTATTCGGTAAATAAACATGTTTATAAACGCACACTTAGACATTAAGGAAGATAGTAGTGCTAGGCCATGTTTTCACACAATTTTTTTTTAAACTTTGCCCCACACTAGGATTTTCTCTGTGTTCTGTGTCGTGGGTGCGTCTACAAACATACAAGTTCACATAAATATGACACCTAGACCCGGAACAAAATCTGTGGATCAGACAAAGGTCAGAGAACCCGTGACACGTTGCGCGGCAGCCAGTTGCCCAACCACCGCGCCAACCGTGCAGTCAATTAAAATATCATAGATATAAATTTTCTTCCGTCCCTTCTAAGAGTTACTCGATACGCAAAATTTTCCAGTAGGTACTGATAAAAAAAACATTCCAATATAACAAACAACAACCAGCTCCATTTTAACTGATGAGACACTTGACTGTTGCCGAACATCTGGCAGAATCCCAAATTCGAGATTCTGTTGCAAAATATGTTTTATTTAAAATATTACTACCTATACAATATCCATTTCCATCACTTGTTAAAAGTTCACAGGTAGGTACATAGTATAGACCATAATAATATACAATTTTAAATTAATCTAGCTTTAATAGTATTGATGAGTTTCAGCATTGAATCATCGCATTATAATTTGAATGTTACCGATATTTCAAATGTTGAATTGTCATTTGTTAACTTTGAATGTAGCAGACATGCTTCTATTCTTATATTTTCGACAATGACTTCACGTAGTTTAATGTACTTCTATGTTAGAAGAAAAACTATATTTATTTTAGAAAAAAGGTAAACAGCAAGGAATCTCCTTTTTTGTATAAGTGTTATTCTGGTATATGTATCGAATGTATATGTCGCAGGGATATGATAAAAACAGGGATTTCATCAAATCACGAAGGATGTCAAAATAATGACACGATTTTAGCATTTCCCGGAGCAAATTTTGTCATTTCACAAATCTCACTAAAAACATCTTGTGATTTGAACAAATCCCACAATTGGTTCAGTGAAATGACAATAATAACTTTACTGTGGTATTATAACTTTCGTGAGACATACTAAATAAATTATTATGTTTTCGGCTTAGTCACGTAATTGTTTGACGAGGAACTCGACTAGTTTCAAGCTATGCTAGAGGCTCTTCTTAATTCTAATAATCAGGTGTAGTACAATGCAATATTGATCTTTAAAATCACTAATGACGCCAACTTGGTCAAGTTCAACGCTAGCAAAACCCCAGCCGTGTACTATTCTCCGCCAAATCCCTGTTTTTATCATATCCCTGCGATATATATTCATATGTATGTAAAAAGCGGTAATTTCAATATTGCAAACAGACGCTCCAATACACATACCAAAATAACATTTATCACAATTTTTGTCTGTCTGTCTGTACTGGCTAATCTCTGGAATGGCTGGCCCGATTTTATAAGACTTTTATTGGCAGGAGCTGATGTACTAAGGAGTAACATAGACTACTTTTATTTTGGATAATTGAAAATTAAAAAGTTACGTTCTAAAATCCTAATTCTACGCGGACGAAGTCGCATGCAACAGCTATATAGAATTCTATACTTTTTTAACACGTTAAACGCCATGGGGGTCACCGGTGACCGGCGTTAGCGGAGGATTTACCTTCAACAGTTTTTTATTGGCAGTCAAAGTCTTAAGTACCAAAGCGTTAAAACCAAACTCTTCTGTGTCGTGGCCAACACCAGTCAGTTCTTGCAGCACTAATCACACCTCGTAAATTCAGTATAACTAATCACCATACCTTCCGCAGATGAGAATGGCAAATTCTTCACGGATCTGAAGACCATGGTGGAAAACACATACTTGGCCAACAACAAATCTTCAGTGACACTCCTCGTGCACAGTATGGGTGGGCTGATGGCCATGCACTTCCTACGTCTGCAGCCTCAGGCGTGGAAGGACCAGTACATCCGACGCCTCATCTCCTTGTCCACACCCTGGGGCGGGTCCATGAAGGCCGTCAAGGTATTTGCTATAGGTATGTTTTTTTTTCTTTAATTTTCGGAAATGAGGTAGGTACAGGGGCAACGAGTAGCCGTATCACCTGATGGTAAGCCATTTATGCCGCCCATGGACTCCTACAACACCAGAGAAGTTGCTTAATGCTTTACCGTTCCTTGGGGGTTAGAGATTTCAGGGGGGGTAGTGGAACAGGATTGCTGTCAATACCTAATGATAATAGGGTAGTTTCCTTAATTTTATTTTAATGTCCGTCTGGTACATTAATTTAAAACATTAGACACGTATTTTTTCTTTTCTCACAATATTATATAATTTCGACGATATATTAATTTGAAATATCGTGTGACGTCACAGCGTGCCACATTTTGTAACACGCTATGACGTAACGACCTTCTACTCCTAAACTTAGCGCCATTTTATCTAAGTATTGCAACTTAATACGAGAAAATAAAAAAAATACGTGTCTAATATTTTTTCATTATCTAACTGACGGACTAATTAGATTTTTAATTTTGATACCCAATTATAACCAAAATATTGTGCGTACTTTATTATAATTAAAAAGGTCTTTGTTATCTCATTCAATATAGTACCAAGGTCCACATGATCGTCCGATCTCCATCTATCTAAGTAGGTTGATTCTAGAAGGCTTCAATATAATGTAATACAATAATATCAAAGATAAACATACGACTTGACCTCCTTTGTGTGACGTCACAGTATAAAGACGCGGATATTATGCAAAAGCTTGTTTTTTTATCTATTCATACTATGTCGCGTAGTAATAATAAGGGTATTATCGCTTGTTTGTAAATATGAACAGCTGTTATATGCCAAAACTTCTGAAAGGTCTTTGCGGATCAAGGGCATGCTCGTCAACGAAAACCGGATAATGAATAGTACCTATCTATACTAATATTATAAAGAGGAAAGATTTGTACCTATTTTTGTATGTTTGTAATGAATAGGCTCAAGAAGTACTGGCCCGATTTAAAAAAAATCTTTTACCAATAGAATGCTACATTCTTCCAATTTGACATAGGCTATACATTTCATTTTGAAAAAAATTAAGGATCCTTGGTAAAATTTGAACAATGTAACCGAAGGTGTAGAAACATGTCTTAAAATGTCTTTCGTCGAATGTGCTGCCGAAACTATTAGCGGTAGAACAAAATAGTGTACAACAATATTGAAGAACATCATAATGTCTACAAAAACCTCCGCGGTAGCATATGTCCGACTATTGTAGTTAGTCGCTACAACAATCCAAATTTCTAAAAATAAATAATTGTCTACCCCGTGCGAAGCCGAGACGGGCTGCTAGATTGATATACTTACTATCATTTTATTAGGTGTAACACAATTCAAATCATAATAAACTCGTCTAGCAACTTCTAAGCAATTTTTTTACTACGTGATCTAATTATGACAAATATAAAGTTAACAATTTTTATAAACCTACCTAAGTAAAAAGTCTTCGCGCTAAATAAATGCATTACTAATCAGATACAACAGTTTTTTCCGGTTCCGGTTACGAAAGTGTAAACAGCTACGTTATACAGCTCCGCAGATTTTATTAATTTACGAGTGAAAAAGGGATAATACAAACACGCAGTGTAATCAAAACTACGAACAAACTTCCTAAAACAGTAAACTAATATAAATTTAAAGCGAAACTGTTCGAAATCGGCGTAATTTTCAGCCAAAATATTGTAAATTCATCATAACCTCAAAAATTAACGACATCGCACAGAAGTATACAGGTAGTACCAACATCATCTGCCAAACTGTCAGTCGGCGGCATCTGACGTTGACAGACACAGATATCTGTCAAGTGTCGCGATATCTGACATTGACAACATTTGAAGGAGTTGCCATACTAAAAAAAAAAAAAAAATTCTACCAGTTACTACCGTTACCAACGTACATCATGGAAGAACAATTAGAAGTTTTTCTCTCTAAACTAAACGAAAAATTTAATCAACAAACCAAAGTATTAACGGCAGAAATAACTAAAAATGTGATGGAAGCATTGGATGAAAGGTTTAAAACGCTGAAAGAAGAAAATCATAATCTCAAAAATAACATAACAAATTTGAAGCAAAAGATATCATATATGGAAAAGGAGAAACGGAAGAACAACTTGATTATTTTTGGAATTGAAGAAAAGGGAAAGACAGTATTTGAATTAGTAGATCAAGTAAAAAACATTATAGCAGAATCAGGGACTTATCTCGACAGCCAAGAGATAAGTGATGTACAAAGAATTGGAAAGATATCTGAAAGTAATCGCCCGGTGAAATTATCTCTAACTACAACATGGAAGAAACACCTTATTCTGAAAAACAAGAGCAGCTTACCCGCAAATGTGTATGTAAAAGAGGACTTTCCTAAAGAAGTTCTAGAAATACGGAAACAGTTGCAACCAAAAGTTGAAGAGGAAAGAAAGAACGGAAATATAGCGTTTATTAAGTATGACAAGCTAGTTGTGAAAAAATTAGAGATGACTAACAGGGAAAAAAGAAAAAGAGAGAAATCAGGATCACCAATGACTCCATCACAGAAAAAAACAAATACAACAACAACCCACACTCGAAACTAGGGAAGTCAGCAAGCCAAAAGAGATCATAAGATCGAATATCCTTCATTTTGTTGAGCGTGGCAGGTCCAACTCACTCTCAGAGAACTCAAAAAACTAAGAAACATTATTGTTACCCGGAACCACAGTTGCCAAACTATAACCAAACTAACTATGAAACCAACCGCCCCAAGACGGCTGGTCACCGTGGGGCTTAATGACCAACACCCTTCAACAAAAATACAAATAGAAAGAAACCTTCCCAAAAGAAGAACTGAAGTATTTAATATAGCTACACTTAACACAAGAACTCTCAGTACCCAGGAAAGCTTATCAGAATTAGATCAAGCATTAGAACACATAAAATACGACATCCTAGGGATAAGCGAGATGAGAAGACCGGAAGAGAAAATAACAGAGTATGACAATTATATCTTGTTTCAAAAAGGAGGAACAGCAAGAGAAAGAGGAGTGGGCTTTATTATCAAAAAAACACTAAAGCAATATATACGAGACTTGATAGGGATTTCAGACAGACTAGCAGTTCTCAACATGAATTTACCTGGATATAAAAAGACATGGACGATCATACAAGTATACTCACCAACCGAGTTGGCATCCACAAATGATATTGAGGACTTCTACACCAACTTATCGGATGTAATAAAAGACTATCAAAATAATAACCTCATGGTCATGGGCGACTTTAACGCTAGAGTTGGCGTTAAAATGCCTAGTGAAGAAAAGGTAATAGGCAAATATGGATATGGTAAGAGGAGCCCAAATGGATTTCGACTAGTCAACTTTCTATTCCAAAATAACTTAACAATACTCAACTCACTCTTCAAAAAGAATCCTAAAACCAAATGGACCTGGGTATCACCTGATGGAGAATACAAAAACGAGATTGATTACATAATAACAAACAAGCCAATGCTCTTCAATGATACAAATGTGATACAAACATTAAACTTCAATACAAACCATCGAATGGTACGTAGCTGTTTGAGGAAACATCCTAACAAAAAATCTAGACCTAACTTGTCAAGCAAGCTGCTGCTGCCAGAAGAATATGGTAGAAATATCGATACCTCGTCCATAAAACCTCTGCTAGAAATAATTAACTCAGACATCAGTGTTCTCGAGAAATATGATAATCTAGAAAAACACCTATCACAAGCAACAAAAGGAAAGCTGGTGTCAAAAGCAAAATTCAGTGCAAAAACGTCGAAACTATTACAAGACAGAAAAAACTTAATTGAAAATAAAATGTTACCGAGTAAGGAATATCGTAAGAAATTGTCTATAATAAGCAAAGAAATTAGAGAAAAATATAAGAAAAGACAGAAAAACAAGAAGAAGGAAAGTGATGGAAAAGGAAATAGAAAAAACAGGTGGAACAAAAAAAGCACTAAAGGAATTGAGAGAGCATGGAAAAGAATGGATACCAAAACTAAAAAATGGGAAATCCAGACAAACAACGAACCGCAAAGAGATTCAAGAAATTGCAACAGAGTACTATAGAAGTCTCTACTCAAATAAAAATGTCGAAGAGGACAATAACAGTATAAACACTAAAACAGAACACACAGAACTCGACATGGTCCCACGAATACTTAAACAGGAAGTGGAGAAAGCTATCTTGTCTCAAAAACTAGAAAAATCTCCAGGACCTGACCGTATACCAAACGAATTAATGAGAGGCACAATGGAGGAACTAGGCCCAATACTTACCAAGCTCTTCAACGACATTCTAAACACATGCACCATCCCAAAACAATGGGATGAATCCCACATCGTATTGCTGTATAAAAAAGGGGACAAGGACAACATCGGTAACTACAGACCTATAAGCCTTATATCAAACTTATATAAAATCTTCGCAAAGATAATATTGCAAAGAATAACGCAAACTCTAGACGATAACCAACCAATCGAACAAGCAGGTTTCAGAAGAAACTACAGCACTATTGATCACATCCACACTATTAAACAAATTGTAGAAAAATACCACGAGTACCAAAAAGCTGTATACATATCTTTCATTGATTATTCAAAGGCTTTCGATAGTATAAATCATAAATACATCTGGTTAAGTTTAAAAGAACAAGGAGTCGAAAATACCTACATAAAACTAATAAAATCCATCTACAGTAACAGCAAAGGTCGCATAAAACTAGAATCAACAGGAGAGTCATTCCCTATAGAAAGAGGAGTGAGACAAGGGGACCCACTATCACCCAAACTGTTTAATGCAGTGCTGGAACACATCTTCCGGAAATTTAATTGGAATGATATGGGGTTAAACATTAACGGTCGTAGACTAAACCATTTAAGATTCGCAGATGATATCATGCTAGAAGAAGATCCACAAAAACTAGAACGAATGATAAACATCTTAGCAAACGAAAGCAGAAAAGCAGGGCTAGAAATGAATGCAACTAAAACCAAGTTAATGACTAACTCCACAGAAGTCACCATAAAAGTTTATGGAAACAGTCTTGAGTATGTTAAGGAATATGTTTACCTGGGACAAATAATAACACCGGAAAACTCAATGTCCAAGGAAGTAAACAAAAGAATTGCTAGTGGTTGGAATAAATACTGGTCGTTGAAAGAAATAATGAAAAACAAAGACATAAGCATGCATATAAAACGAAAGACTTTCAACACATGTATCCTCCCCTGCTTGACATATGGGTGCGAAACTTGGGCTTTAACAGATAACCATAGAGAAAGACTGGCATCCTGTCAAAGGGCAATGGAAAGAAGTACGCTCCAGATCAGGTTAAGTGACAAAATAAGAAATTCAGAAATAAGATCGAGAACTAAGCTGGTAGACATACTGACACGAATAGACCATCTCAAATGGAGCTGGACGGGTCACATGCTGAGGTGCAAGCAAGATAAATGGAGCAAACAAGTCACTCTGTGGTATCCAAGGGACAGTAAACGGAGGCAGGGCCGTCCAAAAACCCGATGGAAAGATGACATCTGTCTGACTTTGGGGCCATACTGGAGTAGAGTTCCACAAGACAGGGCGCAATGGAAGGAGTTGGAGGAGGCCTATGCCAAGAGGCACACCGAGCTTAGGGATATCATTTAATAAAGTAAACATTTAATCAAATATGTAAGACTGTAATGATATTCATAACTGTAATAACTGTAATAACTGGAATAACTGTAATCACTGGAATATCGGAAATAAAGGCTATTATTATTAATCAGATACAAAGATGCACAAAAGATGCACTGAATAGTGTAATTTTCACAATTGATTAATACATAACATATAACAGTAACATCATTTCACAATATACAAAGGTTGAGATATTATGAATCAGAAGTTGATTGAAAATTAATTGTGATCACTAATAAATACTTTTCTCCAATTTATGATGACCTTTCGTGCCATTGTTTACAATCAAATGAGAGATTGATTCATAAACATTTGCTGACAAGTAAAATGATCAAACAATGCTACAATAACTATTGCAACACGCCTTTTAAAGTAAAACAATATGAACTTGAATTAGGTAATAAAAAGATATTATTATATTATACAAGTCGGAACACATATATGAATTAATTTTTATAATCCCAAGTACGTTTTGTTTCGTCGTGTGAGGTTACCGAAGGCCCTTTTATCTCCCCTCCCCCCCGCCCCTAATTTCCCCAATCCCTGAATCCCCAACAATCCTCAAAATTCCTAATCCCAAAAGGCCGGTGACGTACTTGTAACGCCGCTGGTGTTCCAGGTGTCCATGAGCGACGCCGATTGTTTACCATCAGGGGATCCGTCTTAAAAATTATGTGGATATTAAACTAGTAATCAGAACCCCTCTTAATATGTACACAAGGCCCATATTAGTCCAGCAACAGTTTGTCATGGTCTGTTGATCATAATCTTGTAGAAGTTTCTATCTACGGTTAGTTTTCCTGTAAAAACAACATGTTTGTGTAATAAATTACAAGCGTATTACGTAAATATGTATTACAGACTATCTGAACCGGAATACTTCGTACAGCCAAAAAAAATCTTACAATTTTATCCTTCTCTGGACTAGCCAAATCGGTTCAGCCGTTCTCGTTTTAGCGAGCCCAACGAACGGAAATTCATTTATATTTATATAGAGAGATTACAGCTAAACATTATTCTCTATGTTTAGTTTTGTAGGTAACAGATTGATAAATGTATAATTAATTAAATTACTAATATTGTTGCTATTAACGGTTGGTATAGATAAGACATTAATTAAAACTGTTGTGGCTAAATAGCTAACGAGGCGGTGAAGCCACAACTATATGGACATAAATACATATATGTACAAAGTATTTTGCACCATATCTATCGGCTCCCAACTTGTGGTATTACGCATTTTATGATCCGAAACTAGTGAAAAGTGCAGTTTGTAAGTCCACTCTTCACCAGTTTCGTAATTGAGTTATGGGTACTTTCCTTTATCAAAAATAAATTATTTCGACTGTTCAATACAATAAAATATTAAAAAATAATCACGCTTTCATTAATTGATTTTATGACCAACTTAATTTTAGTATATTTCCAGTAAATTCTTGAGAAATAAGTATGCTGTTTGACGCTAAAAACCGTGACGTCACAATACACAATCTCGTACAAAATTCATAGAAAACTGTCGTTTTTGACAGTTCGAAAAAGATATTGAAGTTGACTAGTTGCCAACTACCGTATTTTATTATTATTCCTATTGTTACATTGAACTAGGTCTATTACTAAATACAATGCATTTTTTTAAGCCAAAAATTTTTCGCTAGCCTATTTATCGAACCCGTAATCAACAAACGGGGACGTAGTAGTAAGCATAGTAAGATACAATACAATGAAATGAGTTGTAACGTACTAACTGTTTACTAAATATGAGTCAACGGATGTCCTGATCAGTATCTCCGCTGTAAATACTAACAAACCGCACATCAAGCTATACTTTCCGTTTTATCATGACCTCTCACCGTAAATGAATCCTATGTAACAAGAGATCAATGTATACTGGTCGGTAGTAAGTTTGTATTGTACTGTGATTGGCCGTAGTAACATACGATCTTGTTAAAATTGAGTCATTCAAGTCTGTATCATCGTCATCGACAGCCGTGGTGGCCCGGACGGTTAAGACGCCCGATTCTCATGTATGAGGATGCGGGTTCGAAACCTACCAACGGCAAGTACCAATGTGACTTTTTCCGAGTTATATGAACTATACTCTAGACACCACTGACAAACTGTGAAGGAAAACATCGTGAGGAAACCTGGGCTTATAATTTCTAATTATAAGTTTGACATCGCCAACCTGCATTGAGCAAGCGTGGTGATTAATGCTCAAACCTTCTCCATGCATGTGAGAAGAGACTTTGCTCAGCAGTGGGCACTTATAGGCTGTTGATGATGAAGTCTGTATCATATTTAATGTGAACTAAATACATGCCTATTGTTTTTGTACTAATGTTTTGCCAGTCTAATGGCCTGGAAAAAGAATTGATTAACAATAGGTTAAAGTAGTATTGCGTTTATCGGTTTAGAAATTCTCCTGTTTGATTTAACTATGGGAATAGCTTTGTTTCTATTAAAAAATAGGTAAAGGTGCATTGCTCTCCACCCTTATGGGGAAAATGAATATGACTGTGTATGTCCTTACCTACGTGTATTGTTTAAATAATATTCTTGTAATGAAAATTTTAATAAGGGATTACTCATTGTGGTCGATGACCGCTTCATTATCACATTTGTATGTATAAAAGGAGAGCTTTTGGTTGCGATTTCGCTTGCATTAATTATTTTATTAAATAATTATCCTGTCGGAAAGTATCTTAATGCCAAATTGTACAAAAATCTGTCTAGCGCTACAATGTATCGTTCGTCAGTTAATAACAAATATGAAAATCCTAAAATTATTCGGCCGTTTTCGAGGTTTAGCCAATTTATTTCATTTTTTTATGGGATAAGCCGGTAAACGAGCAGACGGATGACCTGATGTTAAGCATTCGGTGCCACCCATGGACGCCTGAAACACCAGAGGCGTTACAAGTGCGGTACCGGTCTTTTGGGAATTTGAGGATTGTGGGAGATTCAGGGATTGGTGGAGACTTGGGGGGGGGGGGAGGAATTGGGCCTTACCTCCGGTTTAATAGCAATAAGCAGTTAATAATTGCATGTCGTTCTAAACTACCTACCTACTTATTTCAAATGCTTGTTCCACAGGTGATGATCTAGGCAGTTTAATGCTCCGAGAGAGTATAATGCGCGCGCAGCAGATAACGTGCCCCTCCCTGGCGTGGCTGCTCCCCTCGCCGCTATTCTGGAAGCCCGGGGAGATACTGGTGCAGACCGACAAGTACAACTACACCATTAATGACTTCCAGAGGCTATTCACGTGAGTATCCTAAATTAGACATGACATAGGAAATATGGCAATAATGAAAAATTGGCCAACTCATTGAGACTGAAGGAGTATATAAATAATTAGGTGCATTTATTGTCTGTTCACTGTTATGGTAGTATTTTTTTAAGGGGGGAAAATCATCGAATGACTTCTCCCGCCTGGGTCCGGCGGGAGGGAGTGTCAGACTCATACTGACTAAAAACCAACCAGTTCCTACTCATGCACTTCGAGCCGGAGTCCCGGCAACCCGTTAGGTTCTCCGCGGCTCCGTATCGGCATCAGCCCTATTGGGCCCCATCCGTGGTTATGGTAGGATAAGGATTGATTTTTGACCTGATGTCTGATGTAGGATTATATTTGGCTGTAAGATTCTAGTTGTATATAGGTAGGTACAATTCATATGTCATGTCATGTTACATACCAAGTGACGTAGTGAAAGGGTTTTCCAGTCCATTATATACGTACACAATACACAAGTGATATATGTATGACGATAATTGTCTAAGATTATCTTAAACGATAACTGATCATATCAGGTTCTAACTACTAAAGTACTAAGAAGCAAAAACCCTTTAATGAATAGGATTTTCCTAAATTCTTACATCATTACGTATTAACTGCCGTGCCACGGGCAGTAGATAGCTCGATTCCCTACAATATAGTTACAATACAATTGAACCAACGAAACAATGTACCTATAGAATTGTAATGTGAACCTGATTGAAACGGAGTAACCTATGGACCTTCTTTCTCGTTCTTCTCCATAGGAATCTACACCTTGGAATGGGCAAATAGCTTCACTAGAGGACTGACCGACAGACTGTCAGTTTTTAATGTTTCAATATTTTGTTTTGACATTCAAAAGTGCCTTCCTGGACTAATTGAAATAAATGATTTTGACTTTGACGTTACTTATAGCTATTTACTTAACCGATGATGAATTTTTACTGTTTTATTTACATTTTTAAATGTCGTACCGTATAATATCGTATAAGTAAAAATAAATTCTTTAGTGATGTATCAATAAAATTATAATTAGGTATTGTAAACCAATGGTCGATAAATAATGTGATAGTGCATATCGGTCAAAAGATAAATTAACATACACACTTAGGTATCTGAAATTTGTCTAGACTGCTCAACCAATAATTATGTTGATTTTTTATAGATAATTCAATTAAATATTGCATTTTAACCTTTCTTTCTATTTATCGTATAGTTGCCAATCATTAACTACCGTTTGTAACCGACCATTTACAGCATCTGATTCTAATGTCTATGCCGATTCGGAGTCGCGGAGAACCTAACGGGTAACCGGGGCTCCGGCTCGACGTGCAGGAGAAGGAACGGGGTGGTTTTTAGTCAGTAAGAGTCTGACACTCCCTCCCGCCTCACCTAGGCGGGAGCAGTCATTCGATGATTTCCCCCCTTAAAAAAAAGGCTAAGAACGAACGTTTTGATAGTTAAACAAACCGAAACAAGAGCTACTTATTCTACAGTTACCACGTAACTTAAAACATTTTGTTAAAGTATATTATATTTTTGCCGTGGGTAAAACTGAGAAGTATAATAATATTATTCCAGTGATATGGAGCTGCCAGACGCGTGGGAGATGCGCAAGGACACAGAGAAGTACACGAAAGACTTCGGCGCGCCCGGCGTCGAGGTGCACTGCATTTATGGGTACAACATCAGTACTGTTGAGAGGTAAGCCTACTGACTATTATTATAAATATTGAAAGAAAAGTAGAGGTGGCTATAATCGTCAGGTAGAAGGAGATGCTTCATGTGTATATTTCTTTGTGTAACCCTCACTGCGGGGTTTTGTTCCATTAATTGGGTAGTTTCCGAAGTATCAAATTAAAAATCTAATTAATTGGTCAGTTAGATAATGAAAAATTTATTGTATAAGATCTGTTGCGGGCCCTAAATAGTTTTTAATAAAGGCAGGTAGAGATGTTTGATGATTCGATCTGTGATATATTCCTCTATACCTACTTTTGTCATTTTATTTTTTCCTTTGTATCTTTCAATATAAAACATCATATCTTAAAAACAACTTTTCATTCCAGACTAGTATACAAACCAGGCACCTGGCTCGATGGGTACCCGACCCTTGCAATGGGTGACGGGGACGGCACAGTGAACCTCCGCTCACTGAACGCCTGCGAACATTGGCGCAAAAAGAGGTTCCGTAATGGAAACTCCGTGAAATCCCTCGCACTACCAGACGCTGAGCATTTGAAGATATTACACGATAAACGAGTGCTGGATTATATTCAGTTGGTTATGAAGAACTGATTGGTTTAATGTGAGTGTGAATGCAGTTTGTGGCAGTCGCGGATTGTAATTTAGGGGATTTAGGTAAGCAAGTAATCAAACTACACCATCTGTTATGGATTTTCAACTTTGTTTGTTTTGTAATTGAGTTTAAAATCTGATAAAGAAATGAGGACGAACTTTTTACGCTTACCAAATGTCGATAGTGTAATGTTAGGGTGCTATTCGTCCAATCACTATAACTGTCAAAAATTTACTGTCCTATGGTTTGACACTAAGAAATTCTCTGTTGAACAGACAAGACCTCACGCGACATAAGTGCCGACTGGTAGCCCTCTTTGGAGTTGTTGATTGATTTTCCTACTGACGTCGACTTGCCTATCATCACGGTGCAAAATTTTTAATAAAAATCAAGTAGAAAAGTCTCCATTTTATAGTTTAAAATTAAGGATGCTGCTTATCTTCGTTGCTAGAATCCGCCTCTGCTATGTGGGTTATTGTATAATCGAAGATATTCTTCGTGTCAACAAAGTATGGGTGCTTAATTTGTGGAGAATTTGGTTCGACATATTGATTTTTGTTATAAGAAAGTCGTGGAATTAATGAAGGTTTCAATAGAGAGAGTAAAAATGAAAGATGTTTCACGTACCTACTTAAAATATTCTTTCACAAACTACGTTTAAACTGTCAAATACCGCGAGGACATCGGTGATCGCAACCTATTGTTCTTTAATTGTGTCTATAATGACGGTACTCAAAGGGTTAAAAAGCGATTTCAAAGCGCGGGTGCTCTTTTTTGGTGGTCGGTTAATTAACCTCTTATATGTCGGTATTTAAGACACAATGGAGAACACATTGTCTCGCGTAGATCTACGCTCCGACATAACAGAGGTTAATAATCTAAAACCTTCTCTAGGTGCAACACTTTTCAGAAAACGCATCAAAATCGGTTGAGCCTATCGCGAGATAATCGCGCACAAAGATACATACATACATACAGGTCAAACTGAAACTCCTTTTTTTTAAGTCGGTTAGAAATAGTTTCTACTTTTTTGCATTTGTTAAGTGTGTGTGTTATTACTATTAGAATTTACAAAACGTCTTCCTATTGATATATTTTATTTTAAACGGACTGAAGATAATTCAGGTAGGTTCAATCATATCATAATTTCTCTATTGAACATTCTTCTAAATTAGAACTAAACTCTCCATGACACATGTTGAAATGTTGTGCGTATGTTAAGTTTACATAATTTTAAGGAAAAACACACTCGATATTAATAATAACAGCTGTTTTCATATACTCTAGAATATATTAATAAGGTATTATTTTAAAGTTACATGATTCGGGGATCTGCGTCTTTTTGGAGAATATTTAAAAAAGCTGACATTTGACTGCCTCGTTGGCCGAGTGGTCGTAAGTGCGACTGCCCGGCAAGGGGTCTCGGGTTCGATTCCCGGGTCAGGCAAAGTATTACTGGGTTTTTAAATATTCTCAGTATTAGCACGGAGTCTGGAATTGTGCCCGGTATATGGCAATAGGCTCACCCCCTATTACATGGGATTCATAACATAAATAGTGAAAAGTGGGTGTTACATTGTACAGTGGTATAATGTGCACCCTTCGGGGATAAAAGGCGTGATGTTATGTTTATTTAAAAGAGCAGCTGTTGAATCCAGTATAATACAAGAGCTATTTGCCAAATTTCATCTCATTTAGAACTGCCACCGACACCCATCCACCAAAATTTTCGCTTTTATTATACCAGATATACCTTAACCGCTCATGCATCAAGACGAGATTACCGAACCATGTAACTTTAATAAAAAAACATACCTCTAATATTTAAATATGTATAAATACCATCTACTGACCTCTTGCCAGTTACCTGTATCGCTTTAAACAGAGCTAAATATTTATTTACTTAACAGAATAAATAATAAACCATGTTGTACTCACAGAAATATATTTATTAAACCATTCTAGATCTAAGCTCTTATCTTAAGTAGAAAATTGAACCTTATGATGTAGTCGTAAGGTTGACAAAGGAATATTCCTTTTGTTCTCATGCCTCAGTATGTTAGCCAAGCTGTTACGGCTGTGATACTCTTTAACATTAAAATTGTATTTATTTATGTACCATGACAAGAATAATTTGCCTTTTTTGTATCGTTTTTATTACCATTATTTTTCGTTTATACGTAACTACATTTAATTAAGATGTTTTTCAGCTTACTCACGTAACTGTTTGAAGAAGAACTCTATTAGTTTCAAGCCATGTTTTTTTTAAAGGGGGGACCCCATCCAATGACTTCTCCCGCCTAGGTGAGGCGAGAGGGAGTGTTAGACTCTTTACTGACTGAAAACTACCCCGTTTCTACTCATGCACTTCGAGCCGGAGCCCTCTCGGTAACCCGTTAGGTTCTCCGCGACTCCGTATCGGCATCAGCCCTACTGGGCCCCATCTGTGGTGGTCTGATGGCTCTTTGAGACGCGCGCGGAACGCTCGGCGCCGTACGCTCGGGTCTGGTTCTGGTCGGACGGCGAGCCACCCATGCTCGCCACAGGCCCGCGTTCAACCCATGTTAGGAGATTATATAATGAGCGGCATTGTACGAAGTTTGTCACGCCGCGCGCCGTGTGTCGCACTCGCACGAGTCGAGTTCCTCGACAAAGAGTTACGTGTGTACACCGAAAAACATAATAATTAATTTATTATATCTCACGAAAGATATAATACAAATTAATATGAAATACATTTATTTTGTTTAAGAACAATAACTGTCGCCTTAGATGCAGCTCATAACTAGTCATCTAAGATCATTGTCACCTAGTTTCATGACAATTTTCAAATATTTTTGTATTTATTTTTTTAAATCGCATTTTAATTGCATAATGTACTTCATAATGATTCCGATGTTAATAAAGATGAAACTCTTGAAGATCTTAAAAAAATATTTTGTTTTGTCAGTAAGTGTAATCTTTCTGTTTTTTATTACATTGTAAAAACGCATACGTTATTTTAATTACGACGTTATTAACTCATTAAGAAATATAATTAATAACGAATTTTTTCTCATGAATCACTCTATGAATGATATTTTAGATAATAAAGAAAATGTCCTCCAATCATTTAAAGTGGTATTGTTAAAAGAAAATAAACAATAAACCCAAATAAATATTTATTTCATTTTGTACCTCAAACCGGTTGGTATCACTAACAGTCATAAATCCAAGCCATTCTCGCGCCTTCTGGAAAATTGAGAACAAAAAAGAAATCAAAATGTGGAAAATGATTAATTTTGAACTTTATACCAATAGAGCTAAGGTCTAAAGTACCTGTGTGCAAAATATAAGCGGAGTATTCAGATTATTTACAAACGGAAAATACATATTGGACAAATAAAACACAGACTTCAGTAATAAACATGTATTTTCGACTCTGCATTTCATGAAACCGCCGTATTCATTACATTTTCGTCAACATTGTAAGTTCACACTTGTGCAAATACAAATACAGAAACGGAATTATAAGACCCAAAAAGAAACCAGTATTTTACAATTATTTGTAGTCCTATATCCATGAGCTGATGAGCGCCACTAGAGGTACTTTCAGGGAAGTAATTCTACCATATACGAATGCAAAACGAGTAAAAAACCACTTTTTTTAAGGTATATTATAATTTGAGCCTTTAGTCCAACCCTAAATTCTTCACTAATCGCAAATCTTATTTGAAAGAATTCGTGTTTAAAGATTTTGTAAATGGGCTCAGCCTTCTTCATCCAAGGTCATTCCCACCCTGTCCACTAATCAGTAAAAATCTTTCTATAAAGGGTGTGTTAAAATGGTGGTGCGAAAACGTTGTTTTTGGCTACGACCTCATAGTTTTCAATTTTGATTTTGTTGAAACAAGAAATACTATTTTATTTATTTCTCTTCTACCTGTATGATGTAAGAGTCCCCCCCTCCCCCTTGCACCCTGATGCTGCCTATGCTTATTGTATCAACTAAATGATAAGTAAATGTGATTTAAACCATCATTGTACTGACAAGACCTTATTTGCTAGAAGCTCCAACTACTGGGCGCAAAAAAGGTAACTTCAGATAGTAATATTAATTGTAACAGTTTGTAGTGCACAAGTATGAGCTCACAACATTCCGCTGCGACATACATACATACATACAAATAACGGCTTTTAATAGAGTATACCTAACCAGCCCCATTGTAAAGCTTAATACATAATACTAGAGTAAAAGCGGCTGACTTGGTCTATTCGCATTGCATTACATCATTATATTACCCTTCAAGGTAAGGTTCAAATGTATAGTAATTTCTTACCAATCACTAGGTTTTCTATTTATAACAAATGACTACAACTGAATTTTGAAACCCAAAACCTCGGAAAGACTAGGGTCATTGAACTCGGTCAAAAACAGTCAGCCGCTACTTCCCAAGGGTAAACAAACAAGACTACCGTATTTTTGATCACCAATTGGCGCCAATGTAGCATTTAGTCTATTTGTCTAATCACTGTAGCTGACAAAAATTGAATGTCCAAACTAGCTAATTTTCTATTGGACAAATAGACATAATTTAAAATTAGCGCCATCTAGTTAGCAAAAATGGTAACTTTCCTTTGTTCACCCTTAGAATTAATTGGGAACAACTTTATTAAACTCATCGCAAGACTTAACTATCAACCACGTAATCAGATTCAATCAATCTCACTTCTTTCATTAATACGAAGATAATTAAAATAATAACACTGCAAACAATATGAACAACGAAAGGACTATATTTAATGTGTATTATATTTATATACAATAGATATTTACAATGTGTCGCCTTTTAGATTGATTCTTATAACAGAACTTAGAAGAAATTTATCTGATTAGTGCGTAGTTATTTCTACTGTAAAAAATTAAAATAAGACAAGATAATTAGGAAGCCCTATCAACTTTAGGCCAATCTTTATTAATTCAGAGGTCAAATTGTAAACCAATGTATTTACTGTCTGG